TTCAAAAATGTATGATTACATTCAACAGCACTCAAATTCTAAATGTATTTGGTGAGTTTGAAAATGCTTAAAATATATGATTTTAAATTTCTGCCTCTAACATATTATATGCAAATACTTAATATGGAATGTGGGAAGGAGCCATAGCAAATTGAGATCACAAAGGCAAAAAACCTGTCGACATTAGCTAAGCATTTGCCACATGTGCAAATCGCTTCATGTCTGCGGTGTATTGCAATCATACCCATATACTTGACTTGATGACACGCCCGCATTGAATGGTCAAAGAACTCTCTGAACTTTTAAATGTAGGTGACATAGAAATGCCTTTCAATGCAACTCTCGATCTTATACTTCAGGTAACGCTACGCCGCCTATTAGCCATGCCGGACCTTCACAGATACCTCATTGGTAAATGTATTTGTACTTAACTTGACTGATTCAAAGGTTGTCCACTGCAGAGAGCCTCCTTCTGAAATCTTTTCCAGTCCGTAGCAAGTCAGGTAGGAGAGTAGGCCGCATGATGCTGCGGCGGAATGGAGATTGAATGAGCTGAAAGCCCGAGCGAGCGAGAGGGGCAAGACGCGCCCACGTGCATTTCATGTGACCGCGTCATTCACAGACAAACTCACAAGTATACAATGCATTGTTCAGAATCGAGCGTCCGGGCTATTTGGAGCACCAGAAATAAAATGTTCCCCCGCGCAACTCGCCTACTCCGTCCCCTCATCCGAGTCACTAGCATCCTTGGCAGCATTCTTAGGCTGCTTAGTTTCCTGCGCAGGCTGCGCCTTGCCCTTCATCGGACGCTTCACCCGTGCGAAGATGCCGACCTCCGGGTCACGGATGAAGTTGATGGTGACCATGGGCCAGGACGGGTGTGACGGGAGCGTGTCGTAGAATTCCGGTGCGAGCGCACGTAGCGCTGGCAGCCGTGTCCATGCGACCGATGGGAAGTCATGGTGTTCGTTATGGTACCCAACCTAGATAATTGCACCAGGTTAACAAACGCTGCGTGAGTGACTGAACAGCACACTGACATTATAAGCGAGGATGTTGAGAGGGCCGTAATACGAGTACGTCTCTTGGAGAAGGCCATCCCACACGTAGTGCTCGGCGATGAAGTGGCCCGCGCACGGGTGCAGGCTCCCCGCAAAGAAGCTTGACGCCAGCAAATATATGAGCGGGCGAACACCGCAAGTCTTGACGAGCACGTAGTCGAAGACGACTTGTACGATCAAGTTGGTGATGTGCCATTGAGTGATACGTTGCGTGCGCACGAAGCCCGGACGTAGGGCATAGAAGAATATCTGGAATGTACTGATGGCAGCGGTCAATGAATATAGTATGAGAAAAAGGTGAACAAACTGACGCGAAGAATACTTTTCCGAGAACGTTATTGAGACAGATGAGCTCCACGTGGGTGGGAAGGTCTGTATCTATGCCGTCTTCTCCAAGATATTTATGATGTTCCATGTGATATCTCTGTATGAATGTTAGCCATGTCCTCTGTAGTAACTCGCGCTGAAGGACATACTTTGAACGCGGCACAGTACGGAACCCCGATAGGCAAGTTCGCGAACACAGAGAGTGCCTTGTTCGCCCATATTCCCTTGAAGGCAAGGTTGTGGGAAATCTCGTGAATGGCGAGGAACAGGTTATGGTTGGCTGTCGCGCCGATGACGTAGACACAAATGCACCACAACGGTGACAGAGGCTTGGTGTTTCGTAGCAGGTACGCGACGGCGATTTGGAGCGAAACAATACAGAACACGACGTATTTTGTGAGCGGTTCATATCCCATCAGTTTTTTCACCTATGATAATGATGCAGAACGTTGTTAGACGCGTCACGGAAGGCTGTATAAGGGAGAAGCACCTCCGGATGAGCCTTCATGATCGCCATGCGGCGGCTGCGGTGCGGCTCCTCCGTCATGATCCAGAGAAAATCAGACGGGTCCTGCGGCGGAGCAATATGGTGTTTGCCATCATCTTTAGCTGTTGGGGAGGCGACCGCCGTCCTGCGGGGAGACCTGCCCTCCAAGAGCGATTCCGCACCACCGAAGTAGCTGAAATCTAAATCGGGTAAGTGCGGCGCTGGCGACAACGCGAACCGAGCAGCGCACCGACAGCAGCTTTCTCAGATGGTACAACCATTGGCGTGCTGAGTCTGCTCTACGCAGGAGAAGGGTCGCAGCACCAGCACGACCGCAGATAAAGTGGTGAAATTGTCGTGAGATGAGGCTGTCGGAAATACCGAGTGACGATCACGTTACGAATAATGTGTTTGGCTTTGTTGCCCAAAGACTTCCGCTTTCAATAAAGCCAAATCGTCTCGACGCACGCTAGAACTGGCTCCAGCCTCATCGAGTGTTCGAGTTCATCGGCAAGACATGTTGCCCTTTCACATCGTACGATACTGCTGACGACGCCAGGTAAGCATGTTGCTGCGGGACGTAATGAACATCAATATGGATTCCGTGCACAAGCCGTTGCGTGCCGCCCCGGTGGACAGATGAAGAACTGATCCTCCGGCTGATTGACGCATGCGGAGGGTCTGAAACCTACCAGGCTTCGGTCTGACGTCGCAGTCAACGATGGTGGACTAGTTGATGCATGCCATTAATTTTAATATGCGATGCGCTGAAAGAAGTCCGGACTTTTGTCTGAAACGAAGAGTGATGGACTTGCGCGACGACACTGGGCTACTGGCATGTTTTACTATTTCTCATCATGGTGGATCAGGCCACTGCTCGCCGAATATGCTTCCGGACCATGTTTCGCGAAAAGTCCTCCGTGGATCTGATGTTCAACTCGCGGGTGGACAAGTTCGGAGGATCAACGTTTCAGTGTTCATAACTCGTCCGCACCAACGACAGTACTGAGTATTATGTCGCAGTGCCTTCTTGTTTCTGAACCTCACATCGGTCACTTCGGCGGCAGCAACTACCAGTGATCGAGCGCAATAGGCTCTCGTTTGATATTATCACCATGAATCCGTCAGGAAGCAGCAGACAAGGTGAAGCCAGCACTCATGCGGGCTTATCCAAAGTAGCACGCAAAACAGGCACTCCTCATAGCGCCGATGCACCTTCAAATGACGGACATCGTCCCAACACTTCGAGGAAGGTGGCCACCCGGAGTGGCCCTCCATCTCACTCGGCGCCGGCGCGCGCAGTCGCGCCACAGCCCACTCGTCGGACTGTTGCAAAATCCACGTCTCGCGTAGTAAACGCGCATGCTCAAAATCCGCCTTCAAACGCGCCTATGAGGCAGCACGCGGCTCCTCGTCTAACGGCTACAAAACAGGTCCCCGTCGGACGTGGTGAGGATAGGTTCAGGGCGCCTTCTGCGCATGTCCCGCCATCACGCTTGCATGTGGACCTCACCACGAAGTCCTCGCCGTTGCGGCCGCCATGGACGACGCAAGATGAGGCCCGCCCATCATCCATTGGCCACGGCTCTCGTGCACAGAATGGCTTTGCCGGACGGTCCACCGCGCCGCGAATGATGGCGTCCGCTGCCATCAGACGGCCAGATGTAGCAGCTGCACCGTTAGGACTGCATGCGAGGGACCATGGCCACACGTTCGACCGAACTTCCGGGGAAGACGCCTTTTACTTGGAACGAGGCCTTGTATTACGCCGGTTGGGTGGTCTCGGCGCAGAAATCCAACGTGATCAATCGGCAATGTATGTACGATGTCCCTGCTTGCAAAAGTCTGCACTACTCATCTGGTTCTGTTGGCACAAAGAGAGTCACCGCATCCGATGGAACACCGTGCGGGACCGTCGGCTTTGAGAACCGACAGGCCGGAAAGGCAGTTTGGAAGGAAATCTAGCGGGTTTCCCAAAAAAGCACGGAAGAAAGTCATTGACGAAAACCAGGAAGAAATTCCGGATACTTCGGATTCAGAAAGTGAGGAAAGTGAATCGGAGGACATTGAGCAGCTGACGGCTGCCCTCGATGCCCTCACCTTACCTACGACACGGATGAAAGAGTATCGACAGCTACCATTCCTCTTGCGAAACCTCCGCAAAGGCTTCAGGCATCGTTGCCAATTGCTAGGAGTGAAGATGGAGCCGAAGACTACCCCGGAAGCTCCCATAGGCGTATTGTATAGGTATAATTTGGATGATGACGATAACACTGTAACGTCAGCAGACTCAGGAGAGTACGACTACGAAGAGTGGCAGGGGCATATGCTGCAGTGGGATTGCCCATTATGCCAGCTACATCCGTCCTTTGATACCCGAGAGATGTTACGGTTCCATCTTCAATGCGATCATGCCGAGGTTCAAGTTCTGTGGAGAGGAATCGAGCGGAATGGCGTAAGCTCTACTCGGGAGATCTCATGAATATGAATGCTAATCGGCTGCGGTGGAACAGAAACAAACATGGCAGATTGTGCTCACCGTGTCAGATATCGATGACAATGTTTCATCTGAAGATGAGGAAGATGATGAAAGCGACTTGGATAGCCAAGTTCCTGGACAGGTGCCTCTCAAAAAAGAAGACGAAGAGGACGAACTCGAGTAAGTCTCAAGTCTTCTCTATGTAGCTTGCAGTGGTCTTGACTGGTGCATAGTGAACTACGTTCAACTCCGTCGCGGACGCCACGTCCAACGCCGTCGTCAGCTGCGGATGTGGATGAGGTGGATGAGGCACTCCGCATGTCTGGTTCAGCCCCGGTTGCGTCTCCTCCGCCTATGATCCAGCCAGAGTTGCTCTCTCCTGAACCCCCGGTGTTCATTCCCAAGAAATTCCGGGCAGAATCGCCCACTCCAGCCACCGCGCCTCGAGCGGGAAGAATTGCACAGCCATCGAGAGGCTCGCTGCCAGAGCGTTACCCGACTCCTCCCCCGCCTGACGACCTGCTGGGTCCGTCCGCTCAGTATCCATATCTCCCGGATGGGGCGAATGCCGAGGAGTACTACTCTTGTAGGCCAGGAGGGCCACGAATATACGATCTCCTGAACGCATTGTCGCTTGAGCCGTTCGGGGTGCTCTCGTGGGTTATCGTGGATAGGGAGGAAGAGCTCTTTGAGATGGATGATATTCGGGATGAGGACAAAGTGATGATGGCTCTTTGGAACAGGTGGATCATGCTAAACAGGTGGGCATCTCACTGCCGTTGAGGAAGGGCGTGACCATCTCTCACCGGATCGCTATGTAGGACTAAGTTCATCATGGAACCTTACCGCAATAGCATCATTAAGTTCGTCGATCAATACTGGCGAATGATCCACCGCGCTGCAGGGTGGGCCGCGCTCCGAGCTTTCCTCCTTGTATGTCTTTGTATCTGCTACTGGAGTTAGGGCTGAAATACAGAATTGCTGTCGCAGATGCTGGCTAGCAACAGGTTCCTCAAGGCGTCGGAGATCGTCGAAATTCTGAAACACTACGAAACTTACACGGGGATGGATCAGTGGTACAAAGATCATGACGCTGAGGCTTGAATCAAGTTTGTATGGCCTGCTTATGTATGGGATTTCTGCTGCGTTGATTTTTTCAAACACGTAGAGTGAGGTTGGAATACCTGTCTGGGAAATCATCCAACATGTACTGACAGAAAGACTTGTATAACTTACATGACATTCAATAGATCAGTCCTTGAAGCGACCTATGAAGCGGCGTCGGGGACGGTCACTGGATTCCATAAATTCACGACATCTCTCTTTAACGCGTTCTTTGTTGTGACAACTTGTCCAGAAGGGAAGTTCTCCCGGTGACGATGTTACCTCATGCATAGTACTATGTGCGCGCGCTCACTACTGCCCGGAGACATCTCCCGCTGCTATGAGCTTATGGGCAAGTGGTTGTCGATTCTCGACGGTGATGATTGATCTGCTCATAAATACCAAGGGGAATATGCTCAGCTCCTCGAACAGCAGTGGACATGGTTCGATAGTATTGAAAACTGTTACGAACAAGCAAGGAAACGTGTGGACAGTACGTATGCAATGCATGGTAGAATATGTTTCCAGAGTAGTAAAATATTATCAGTACCTCGGATATCTAGAGCAATAGTGGCGAGAATTTGGAGAGCACAGACTTCAGGAGCGCGCGTTTTTGAGGCGTGGTATGAAAGCGCGGCAGCCAGGGGAGTTGGCGATTTACTCGAGACTGTACGCATGTACGAACTCAATCATCATTCATCATTATGTAGACGCGGTCACGTGGTGCATTGCTGTGAGCTGTGGCGTGAAGTTAAGTTGCCATCGTCGTGCCACAAGCGCATCGTAACTCTCTTCGTCGTCGACCAACCGCTAGCCCGTCGTTCGTCTTTTGGAGTACCAACATTGTTCCAACTAAGTTATACTCAGTGGTGATATATTCGCGCTGTGGCTCTTCTTCCATCGTAACTACGCCGTTGCTTGATGCTCGAAGCGTTTGGCGCTTTCGCGCTCAAGAAACTGGAGATCTCGGCGCCAACATATAAATTAGTTATACAACCGGCCTGTTTTCGCTCATGGGCAGCACTTGGCCGTCCGAGAACGAGTTTCCGCATCTATTAGAAACTAAAATCCTCTATCTCAGCCGAATTTTCTCCCCCGACTCCAGGATTCAAGTGGACTCGTGAGTAATCTGTGACGGCTCCCTGTGATCTCCTGCTCAGAAAATGATTTGTTGAACTCAATATCTCCTCATCATTTTTCATTCGCATTCTAAGCAAAAGCTTGGGCAGCTGGGAAAATGATCGAGGGCGTGCGAAGCGCCATTCGGTTGATGGCTCGTCGAACCTCGCGTTCATAACCGCTCCAGAGAGGCAGGAGGTTCTACATGCTCATGCTCTGTTTCAAACAACAAAACGGCGCATGCGTGACAACGAAGCTTTATGGCATAAGTCAACAAAAAGCGTACGAATCTCGCCGCAAAATGCAGCTATCTGCCAGTGCGTCAATATATGCGTTCGATTCTTCTCAACATCTGTTCTGTCTTACTAATACGCGGCGTATCGCTTAAGACTGTGCCAGTGCCTCCTCTAGCAGATCCAACGCAACCGCCGCCGATCCCCAGGATGACTCGTAGCCAGTACCAGCATGCCTAGTAAACCTCCTCAGCTTCTGATGTGGCAGAGAACATCTGTGCAGCTACATACCCGTAGTTGAAGACCATGGGGATCTTCCGTTCTCCCTCGCCTGTGCCGGTCCAGTCAACTTGAAGCCTGATGCCACCTTTTCTTCCAGGTCTGAGGCCACAACCGATATCAACAATCAAGGGACGTAGATCATTCACTGTCGGAGCGCGCTTAGCACGGACTTCTGGCGGTGCCAGCTCCGGATTGAGATCAAGTGTTCTCTGCAGGATATCTTCTGTTTCTTCGGGACGAGGAATTGGATACCTACGCACCACCATGCCATCAGTTCGGTGGTCCCAGGACCTTCGTCAGTGACTGGTAATGTCACTTACCAATCGTTCGGCTCCCTGATTCCTCCCAAGACGACCTGTGCGCGCGGAACAACAACGTAGAAGCATCATTGTAATGGTGAAGGATGACGAAAGAATGGTCCAACTCACGTCACCGGTCGGTCGCGGGATGATATATGTGTCTTTCGTGACAGCAAGATCTGTTACTCCTCGAGCGGCTGCGATCCAGGGAGCATGGATGATCACCGTCTGTCCTCTGATGGGGAAGACGTTGTGATCTTCGATCCCACCAAGCGTACGAGCGCCGATTCCCGGACATGCGACAACAGCATCCACCGGGGTGGCAGACGCGCGTCCGTGTGAGAACACAGTTGGACTTCCTTCGACAACCTGGCTGACATGGTGCAATAAGGCGCGAACAATTGTTCCGCCTCGGGCCAAGAAGCGCGATAACAGGTAGTTGAGGTAGGCTGGAGGGTTGATGGTGTACGTATCAAAGCTCCATCCCATCTTGGCATTGGGTATGAGCTCATCCTCTGGCAGGACTCTGAACTGTTTTGGTAAACGTCAAATCTTCCATCCGCACATCTAAGAGGAAGGTCCCGCTCACGCTTGGCATTGACGTTTTCGGTATATCTGCCTTGTCATAGAAGTAGTCGAACGACTTCAGGCGGCGAAGACAACCTTCTGCGTCACCTCCCGGAGCAGACATCTTCCACATCACCTTGAATGTTTCTTTCTCAAGTTCTAGGGAGCAGCAGCTGTATCAGATCACAACTTCAGGTCCGCAGGGTCTGTTAACTCACTTCTGTGTCGCTCATCCGTGCCTGTGTACACTGTCTGATACGCTCCCTACGCGACCTCAATCAAGGTATATTACAGGATCGACGGAGTCGATGACTCACCGCCCACGGGCTCGTGTACCTTACTGACTTCGCGTCAGTTGGGAAGGTCTCCGCGACAATGGTGACCTTGAATCCGCCTTTTTCTTGTATCTTGACCGCGGTGGTGAGACCCACAACCCCTACAACCGACGTATAGTCAGTTTTCCTTTTTGAAAGGATATGACAATCGTGCAAAGGCAAGACATACCGGCACCAATGACAACGATGTTCTTGACAGGCGTACGCGACGACATGGCTGTACTTCGCGACTACCATCGTTATCAGCCTTTTTATCATCATTCGTAGGCGATTGTCGAGGGGTCGATATATATGGGCACAAAACAATTCGCTGCTTGAAATGCTAGCCTCTCATCCTTATATGTGCGTTACAAACTCTTGGCGAGAAAGCGGGGTTTCAACAACTGCAGCCCGAAGTCCCCCCAAGCTTCTTGTTATCTGCTCGAAGCGACCCTCGAATGTGTACATGAACCGCTTGATATCTAACAGAGGTGCGAGGCTTCGTGTTACGGCGCTGGGCCAAATCGATGTGGTGCCACAAAGTTCTGACTCTTTCCAAAAACGTCGCATTACTTGTGAGATCACACAGCAACAGTATCAAGAAGCTACAGGACAGGCCGTAGAATGGGAAACGTTCGCCCCATCGAGTCTCGGCGGACTATCTTGCGTTTCCCGGTCTAACTTCCGACGGCGTGCGTATTAGTTCATGAGCTTCTTAGCGCCTCCTCCAACAAGTCCAGAGCGATTATCGCCGATCCCCAGGACGACTGGAACCCAGAACCGCTATGCCTAATATACGGGTCTCAGCCAAAGACAATACCACGGGCAACGATACCCACCCATAGTTGAGAACTGCTGGAAGCTTGCGACCATCGATAGAGGCCGAAACCCAAACCGTCTCGAGTCTGAGTCCGCTCTTCCTAGCTGGGCGCAAGCCAACTCCAACCTCAATGATCAAAGCCCGCAGGTCATCCACAGTCGGTGCGCGTTGGGCCCGAACTTCGGGTGGTGCAAGTTCTGGACAGAGGGCCAGGCAGCGCTGCAAGATATCTTCTGTAGTTTCCGGTCTTGGCGCTGGGTACCTGATGGAAGACCATTAGGTGATTATCCTGCTTCGAGCAGGCCCACCTACCAATCGCCCTCTAACTTGGTCCCTCCGCACACAATCTGAAAAGCGGGTGCTTAGAACATGACAATACTCAGTCGTTCATGGACACACCTCTCCACTACGCCGCGGGATGATATAAGTCCACACACCTTCCTCCGTGTGACTGGCTGTACGTCCGAACTTCACCCAAGGTGCACGGAGCAACACGACCTGCCCACGAACGGGATACATCTCCTGGTCCTCGACGCCGCCCAGCGTCCGCGCTCCCAGTCCGGGACAAAGTACCAACGCGTCTACGGGGGACGGCGTGAGACGGCCACGGAAGATATCAACCCCGCCCTCGATGAGCTGATTGATGTGCTGGATGCTGGCTCTGACGATGCTGCCTCCGTGGGCAAGAAATCGGGATAGCAAATAGTTGAGGTACTTGGGACCGTCGAAGGTCAACGTCGTGAACGATATGCCGGTCTTTGCCTCAGGCACAAGCGCATCCTGCGACAAGACTTTAAACTGTACTGTCTCAGTTACGCGGCGTCTTGTGAAGAAAGCTACGAGAGCTTACGTCGGGCATCCAGTCCAAATGAGCGTCTCTGCCGTCATAGAAGAACTCGGTCTCGTGGATGCGCAGGAAGCAACCTTCTGCATCCCCTCCTGGAGCAGAGAGCTCCCACATTACCTTGAAAGTATCCGAGTCGATTTCTGCGAGTGTCTCAGTAACTACATCAGACGGCGACTAATGACGCCTACTTTGCATTTTCGGATCGCCATTAGCGAAACTGACATGGTGGCCACCCTTTGAAAGAGTCTAAGTCTGTGCAAAGAGGAAGATCCTGCGTTTCAGCTTACAGCCCACTGGCTGCAGTATTTGATGGTCTTCGGATCACTGGGGAACGTCTCCGCTATGATGGTCACATCATAACCCCCCTTCTCCTGGATCAGCAGTGCAGTTGTAAGGCCGACAACACCTGCGCCATAAGAAATTCAGTGGACATAAGTCAAATCAGAGATCACAACATACCAGCGCCGAGGACCACTATGTTCTTTCTGCCGGACATAACGATTAGGATCCTGGGAGATCGCGAAGATCAATGCCAACGCATTCCCCACGGACATGCTTTTAAAAACGGAAGAGAGGATCCAGAAGGCCCCATTTGGCTCATATCAAGGCGGATCTCAGGAGACATACATAGGCCGGAGCGAGACGTGATGCCTCCTCGGCTATCCTACACACAATTGCATCGCGATATACGAGCTACGACCGCTCGAAAAATCACCAGAAGTGGTAAATAAGCGGAGCCGACTTACAGATCACGTCAGAAATTTCGCGTCGCCGCAGGCAGATTTCGATCCTCTAACGCTCGACAATATACGCAGTCCACCGAGTACGTCAACAGTTCCGCGGATTCCTGCAGAACCGTAGAAGCGAAGACGTCGTTATCAAAAGCCCATTTCTGTCCTGATAGGGGGGCCGATTCGGTCCAGGTCTCATCCAGGTCTGACTGCGAAGGTTCCTGGAAGATGGTCGCAGCTTCATCGGAACTCCATCCTCTCCGGCCCGCCTCAACGTGCAAAACACCTAGGGAACAGGGATTCTCAATCAATCCAGTGCCTCTACCGTACAATGTATCGGGAAGCAGGGGTCATCTACTCGTATATATAGGTTTCTACACATTGATAATTGACGTAACGTACGCCAAAGTCGTCAATAATTAGGATGAACGAAATCGAAATCTACAACGAAAGCAAGACTAACACATGGCCACTGTAATATAGACCGGACCACAGCTGTTTAATATCTCGTCGAAACTCTCCTACACGACTGCTCCAACTCCACCAGCATATCAGTCACACGGTCCCGAGATCCCTCCAGCGCAACAGACAAATCCTCGTCCTCCAGCCGACCACCGCTTCCAAATTCGAATGCAGGCGATGCCAACGCACTCCTGAGCGCCATATGCAAGGCAGCATTCCGCTGAGAGGGAGATGGTGGCGGCGAGAGGATGAATGGCACTGATGTCGAGCAGGCAGGGAACGACGACGGGAATATCCGACGGTAGATCATCGTCGCACTCAGCAGCGACCGGATCTCCGCCTCATCCGTGCTCGCAAGGTCATGTGCATCCTCGCAATCCGCATGCTCGTCCGGATTCTCACTTGTGCGCCTCGGCGGTGGGAGCACATCCTCATGCGTGCAGAAACCCGTGTCCCAGATGCGCTCGAGGAGAAGCGCAAGTTCAGCCGTACGTCCGCCGATCGACTTGCCCGCCTGGACGGTCTCTTTACGCTCCTGCTCCTCGCGGTAATCCTTCTCGGCATCGTAGACGTAGCCCTCGCACTCGCTCACACACTCGTCCGCTACGCACGCCCGAGGATCGTTCCGTACAACGGTACGCACGAACAGCGAAGCAGCGTGCTTGCGTAGGCGCTCCCGGATGAGGATCGCCGCAAGGACACCAAGCGGTGTGCGCTTCTCGCAAGCTGCACAGCGGCCCTTGCGCTCCGTCTCGTGCCAGCGTTGCCATTTCGCAAGCCAGTCAGCCGCGACGTCCACGCTCATATTGTCCAACACGATCTTCTCGTAGGGGCGGAGGAACTCGCGCTTGCGAGCTGCCTCCCACAGTGTCGCAGCCTTCGACGACGACACGGGACGCATGATGAGTGCAAGCGTTGATAGGTCCGTTGTCGAAGCGGCAAAGGTGGATATGTGCCATGACATGCACCAGTACATTTGAAGCCGAGTGGCCTTGCCGACCTTGTCTGCAATTCGGGAAATGTTGTGAGCTTCTGACGATCATAGAGCGAACAGGTTACATACCGTTGAAAGCGACAAGTTCGCCCAATCTGACCCAAGCGCGTTGTTCAAGCTGGTTCAGCTCAATGCCCCGGTCCACTCTTCCCGCTTTGATGACGCCCTGCATCAGCCCGACAATCCCATCGGTCACGCCCAAAGCTCTGCGCAGCCGCGCGGTCTCGTCTGCTGAGCCTCTCCTGGACGGGTCTAGCGCATCCAGGAACGCCTCCATCAACGCAGCGCGCTGCTGACTCCTCGCCTTGGACACATGCACGTTGTTCGCGAATGTCGCAGAGGTCTCCGCAGTGGTGCACGACGTTCTGAGGCGCGCGACGTACGACCCGAGTGTCGGTGCACGCTTGAGGGTGCTCGAGATCCAAGGCAGGATCACGTACAGGAAGACGAGCGTTGACACAAGAAGATGTGCTGCTTGCACGAGTTCATGCAGCCCAAGGCCACTTGCGGACGAGGTAGTCAGATAGATGGGGACCTCCGCCTGCGGTCGCACCTGAGGCGTCAGCACCGTGCCATGATGTTCGTGTGCCGGATGTGCATGAGGGCGAGATGATGCCAATGGAGAGTTGAACACCGAGAAGAATGCAAACGCCGCAAGTAGGTACTGTTGGGCAGGTGTTTGCTGTGTCTGACTGTCCGACGAAGTCTGGACGAACGTATCTGGCATCTGCGCGTCAACAGGGAAGATCGGAGCTGCATTCTGTGTCGCAGCCACGGGCGTCGCCGCCGCCGTCAAAGCCGGCGCTTGAGCGACCGCAGGGGGCAACGGGACCTTGCGTGGCCTGCCACGCTTACGCTTCTCTGGTACAGCACCAGGAACAGTGGAAACTGCCAACTGTGGTTGTGGTGCAGGGCGAGGTGGCTTGTCTTTCTTTGCGACTTTTGCGACCTTGGGCTTCTTGCGCGCCCTACCCTCCTCGCCGTCCTCTCCTTCGCTGTCGTCACCATCACCATCCTCATCATCACTCGCCGCACCTGCGCTCTCATCTTCGATCTCATCCCTCTCCTCTCCGCCGAATCGCTCCCTCCACTCGCGTTCCCACTCTTTGAGCAGCGCCGGTCCCCCGACGAGCCCGGCGATGAGCGACTTGAGGCCATCCTGCTCGCGTTTGAGACGTGTCTCGCGCTTCTTGAGTACCCTAGGGTAACAGTTGTTCAAGTATCCTGTCAGATATGGAAGCAATCACCACCTACCTGATATACTCTGCTGCCTTCCCGAGCACATTCGCCTTGCTCATCTTGCGGGCAACCTTCACGCCATCAACGAATCCACGCGAGTCGACGACATCATTGTATGGATTCTCCTGGCCGTTCACCTTGGCCTCTAGCACGCGGAGCGCCGGCACAGCCTGCTTCAATCCGGTAATGCGCGCATTCAGATTCGTGCGATACCTCCGCTCGATCGTGGTATGGCTCGTCTTGGGACGCCCAATCACTGATTGCACAGGCGGAGGCACGGCACTCTCCGCGGGCGACTCGCTCTTGGGCGAAGGCGCCGTAGATGATGAAGCGGACTCCGGATCGGGAGAGCTCTTTGGTGAACTCTGCTTGCTGGGCACGGTATTAGGCCGAGGAAGACGGGGGATCGGAAGCTTCGCTTGTCCGCCTTCTGACGTGTCAGACGCGCACGAAGCTTTGGAAACGCGCGACTACTCACCAGCGGCAGCCATCTGCTGTACCTGTGCGCTGACAGGCACTGCAAGCATGACGCCTGCCATCTGACGCACTTTCTGGGCGAGCTCTTGCGCGGGGTCGCTCAGATAGCTGTCGCTCGGAGGCGAGCTACTGACGGACGCGTTGTCCGAAACCGGCGAGAGCGACGCGCCAGAGGACGACGAGGACGAGGTGACGCTGAGCCGTCTTCCAGTCTGTGGTTGAACATGCGACTGGGTCATCCAGCTGAAATCATCCGTGGCAGGATACAAGAGCTCGGGAGGCGGGTTCGTCGCAGGCAGGAAGAAGCTGCTGTCCGTGGGCAACGACATAGCCGCATTGTCGAAGATAGAATTGAAGTGCAACGCACTCGGATCGACAGCCATGTTAGAGTCAAAGTCAAGATCCATAGGCAACTCGAAGTTAAAATCGGAGAAGTCTGGCATCTTGGCCTCGTTCCTGCTCCACGCAGAAAGCTGTTCCCAGTCAATAGGTTCGGTGGGCTGGGCCTTGTCCGGATTCGGATTGGCGTTTTGGGAGAGATTGTGCTGGGAGATGGTCTGGAGGAGGAGGTTGAGGGACTCTTCGGGAGTGAGCTGAGAGTGGTCGGCGGTGGGGGATGGCGCGCTCATCGAGCTCGTCGATGAGCTGGCCGCCGAAGACGGGGAGGACATGGGTTCTGGACGTTCCGGACAAGGAGGACGTGGTGTGAGGCGACATCGGACCACTTTGTATATTCCTGCGAATTGTGGCGCCGGAGCGCTCAGATCGTTTCGAACCCCGCGCATATCATCTCACGTCCAAATCTCCCGTCGCATCGGTTCGATTCTCGGCATGGTTCATTTTTATCTAACACCTATTCCAAGCATATGCGGGTGATTGCACATCGCCTCCATTCCACAACATTCCTGGCAGAGCAACAATTCAACGACCCGCTTTCCATTGCGGCGTCTGAAGAATGCAGAGTGTCAGGGAAGATGGGCGATAGTGACGCAGAAACTCTGTCACAGGTACAAGCGACTGCCTTGCTCCCAAGAAGTTTGATGGCATGCCCGCCTTGCAGCCACGATGTGCACCCTTCAGGTAAAGAAGCGGGTAGCGGGTTCCAAGCGGCGTTTGAGCCTGTGACGACGACGAAGCTGCTCCACAAACGGAAAGTGCAATCCATCCTGAGGGTCTCCGGCACCGAGGATTGCGCGGCGGCACAACGAGAGGCACTGGAAGACACGCATCGTTCAATGTGACGTTCGGCAGATACGCAGTAGACCCGCTCGCGAAGGTGGTCTTTACACAAGCGGCCTCGTGTAAACTGATCGAAACTCACCACCGGCCTACCTGGAGCGGGAAAAACCATGGACGATCTGCTGGGGATCACCGACCCCAATCACAAGAACAACCCGACCCTCAAAACGGGAGCGGACGGAAGAGACGAGGACCTCGAACGCAACAGATTGCAGGGCTAGGACGTTGTCGCGCGAGTCCGTTGTGGCCTTCTCCAGTTGTAAGGAGCCCAAAGGCTGAGAAAACGCCTTCAAATGCACCAACGTTCGCTACGCAACGCTAGCACTGGCGAAGCATTGACGACGTCAGCAAGGCACATGAAGCGTACGCTGTCAACTCACAAGGCTTGAGTTTGATACTCTCTTTTCAGAGGCTCCCTTAAGATGGCCATGAGCTCCTAGATCACCACCTGATATTTTCTCCGTGGACCCGACATTTGAAAATGCGACTGTTTTTGCTCTCCCCCGGGTAGATTCGCTCTTCCCCCCGCATGCCGTACGTTCACGAAAAGGGCCGATCTAACATGCTGTGATGGTACGCTGTATTTGTAGGCTGAAGCCGACGGTCTTGCCACACTATAGCCACCAACCTTGCTGCCCCGCAGACGGATAGAGAGGCCCGCCGGTCCGCAAAATGCAAAATCTGATGGTATGTGATCCCTTCCTCGACCGTGTGCACGAGACTGGGGAAGGAAACGGATCATGTTCCGTCTTACCACCACGCTGGCGTCTTCGTGGTGTGATGGACCCAACGCAACGTAACCTCGAAACGGCTCTCACGCACCAAGCAAGCCGGTCTGATCAGTTCTGGAGACCGAAGCGCCTTTGTTTCAAAGCTCGGAATCGGTGAGCACACGATGAGCGGAGGACGGACTGCCCGTCAAGTGCCACCCGTGAGTATCGTAATGCAAAACTGGCCTCCTGTAGCTCCCGATGAATTGCTATGTCGGTTGGGGAGCCATAAGTGGACTCAAGTCTGAAAGCAAACAGCGACAGCGCCTCGTCGTCCATCAGCCCATTTCATGAATTGAAACAGAGCACACTCACCCATTCTGGTGCTCCACCGAACCCATGCATCCAAACACCGTCAGCGAGCGGTCGCCGAAAACTCCCGGATTTCAAAGAACAAAGAATCCAAAACATGATGCAAGACGTCACCTTCAGACTTCAGTCAACACAGCGTGACATTAGAACATGCTGTCCAAAGATCAATATCCATTGAGTCTAGATGACAGTAGAAAATAGCGCACACAATCTGCATCGTTAGAGGCTACAACGGTATCCACAGCATTGAAATAGAGTACACGAGATCAAGGGAGGGAATACAACAGATATCATGGGAAGATAGAAGAATACGAGAAGCTCTCACACGACTTCCACGAAATTAGCAGGGAACATGCCTTCCCGTCCGTCGAGTTTGCCAGTCCACCAAGTATTCGTATCGTCGCTCCTCTTCGTGACGGTAATGACCTGGCCCTTCTTGAATGACAGGTCGCCAGACTAGGTGAATGGCATCTCAGCACAACAACCAAGAGAAAGCCAACAACAGTTACCTGCACGGCGTCAAAGTTGAACAACGCTATCGCACGTGCGACGCCTTCAGAAGGATTGAGCGGCTTCGTCAACCCAAGCTTCGGTGTCATCTTCGGCGGCGGATTGTACACGCTCATCCGATGCGTCCTCGCCGAGCCGCCATAGTCAAAGTCCTCGACATCGTTATGCGTCTGGAACGGGTCCTCGTCCGCAGGTGGCGCATACGCGCTGTACGCCCTGCGATTGCTCGTCACATCTGACCCAGTCATCGTGTGCTGCGCTGAGCTGTACGGGGAGCCGACCCTGGAATCGTCGTAGTCGCCCGTCCTCCTCCTGTTCATACTTAGTGGCGGATGTCGCCGCAGCTGCTCGTCCGTCGCAAAGTCGCTATCAAATTTCGTGTCAAAGTACCCCGTCGTGGGGTTGAGCGCACGAGTGAATCGGGGCGAGGGCGTGTCCTCCCATGCGCGCCCTGTGGGAGTAGAGCGTGACGACGATGAGTACGGCCCATCGCTGATGTCGGACGGCATCGGCGCGCGGCCCGGGTCGTGGAACTCGTCCGCAAAGTATGACCCTGACCCTTTACGTTTGCCCCAGCTCGCGGGCGTGAAGCCAAAGCTGCTATTGCGCGACTTGCTCTTCCTCATCGGCGGCCGTGAGCTCCCCCCTCCCGTGTACAGCGCGTCTGCGCTATACAAATCCGTCTGCCCGTTCGCCTGCCGCGGACTCTCGACGCTGTCAAAGGCGTAGTCGTCATGCTGAGCGCGGAACTCTTGTACCCACGGCCGGTTGCTCGGCAAGCCCGTGCAGGACTCGAGTGTCCTGATTAGTGGCTGCGCCCATTCCGGAGGTGGAATCGCACCGCTGAGAAGGGCCTTTACGGAAACGTCATAGCCGTATGCCTGAGCGTTCGCATCTTGACGCTCGACGATGACCGAACCTTCGATGGAGACGCCACCGAAGAGACCCCTTGTCTTGGAATAGCTGTACCTGCAGAGGGCTTTAGGAATCGGTCCGACGGAGCGAAGATAAGCACATACATGGCAGCGACCTTCCCACTGGTGTTAAGGGAACCAAGTGCCTCCCCGTTCCTCCCAAGTGGTCCGACAGCGATGCTCATATTGCCGCCGAGCGTGAGTGACCCTGCGGACATGAACGACCGCTTTAAGTCGAGTTAGCATTGCTATTGCTGGACCGGCCATGTCTGCATAAGTCTACTCACCACAGCCTATGGAGTAGTTAGCATCGCCCGGAAATTATTCGGAAAGAACAATGTACACACCGACCGAGAGTTTAAGACGACTAGGAAGTCTGTCATCTCCGCGCCTGCCTGACCTCCTACACCAACCCCTGCGGTACCAATTGCACTCGGTGCAGACCACGCTGCGCAGTAGTTAGTGGTATCCTCCGGGTCGCAGCACTAGCCATACTCACTGCCATCGTCCAGCTTGGCAATAACGATTCCCGCACCCGCCCGAGCCGAAAATAAGAAACCCGCCTTGAAAACGGTGAAGATCGCAAGGCCCTTTGCATTGTACAGTACACTTCTGGGAATGACCTACGAGTTTGTGAGCCACGATTGGATAACAAAAAGGCGAATACGACGCACCCCATCGAGACCGTTATTTCCGCTATCCACGAAGGATTTGACTGAAGAGAATCGAGTTAAAGGGGTGTTATGAAGCAGGAACCTCGATACACACAGGTTTTGGCAGCCTTCAGACATTCCTTCGGCAGCGGTTGAGGTAGAGGCGTGTTAATCTTCATGAGAGTAAGCAGTAGAAATGGGAAAGAGCCTCCAGTTGGTGAGCGCAGAATTAATTATGATCACATGCGGAGTCGACTGCGGTAATGCGCCTCGGATGAATGACGAGTCAGTTTCGTCCGTATCCGGCGCCGGAAACGAGCTCAGAAAGGGAAACGTAACGCAATTGTCACGGGTCAGATCCTCGGAGTCTCGCTATATGAGTACAAGATACATTTCATGAGGTTTCGAATACCAACGCAGACCTCACCCTTGCATGCTGTGACAGTCTTCGAAGAGCAAGGCGGGGCAGATGGGAGAGTCAGAGCTGTGGCAGAGGCTAAGCGCTAATGTCACGCCGGACTGGAGGTTCGGTTTCCACATTTGGCCATTTCGGTGCTTGCCGCCGTCGCCGCCTAAATTATCTGTGATGGAGACCGTCGGAGTGCGTCGGAGATCCAACAACGTCAGTAGTTCCCAGCCACAACTTTTTTTTCTCCTTCCACCGCCAACACCTTATCACTCCTTTCCATGTCTATCTCACTGGGAAGGGGGCATTTATTGACTGGCGGAGAGGAAGACGGGCTCCTCTTTCGCTAGCAGCTCTAGCAAATCTGCGATGATGGACTTCTAGATAGTAGTGAGAGCTACATTTCTTTCGTTTCCTGTACGGATCCTGCTTCGGAAAATATATCCCTGGTATCGCGGTATTAATTACACTCACGGACCTCCTGTGTGCTTGACATGATTCGTATGCGAACTCTGGTTATGCGACTGTCCGACGACTTTGTGGTATGGTGTCCCCTCTACAACCTCACAAAGCTGCTGTTTTGCTTGAACGATGCAGAGACAGCCATGAGCAGCACGCACGACTCAGCGGCATTTTGCTGCCCAGGGAATTCAGAACGCTTTGCATGGGCATTGGTTTTTTTGAGGCATGCACTCGTGCTAGGAAGTAGGACTGAATTGAGCATCCTTGTACACAGTTTAGTAAGTGTTCGCTCATCAGGCAATGCTTCTGGTTCGTGACTGGACTCTTCTGACTCGAAAGTATCGGATGAATAGCATCGCTTCGGCCGATGATGTTGAGGCATATACTCGTGTCAGGAAGTAGGATTGAGGTGCGCACCGTTGTACACCGTGTAAGTAAGTGTTCCACTGCTTCTGGTTCATGACTGGACCAATGCATTCGGGTAGCATCACTTCGGCCGACGGTGTTAGCGTCTTAGGCTGATCCCGTCGTTCATGTGAACACCAGATGTTGTCATTGCAGTGACGTCCTTGACGCTCGAACATGTATTTATTGCCACTGGTGGCCAGAGGTTCTGGAGGTGGATCAAGACCACAGTCGCAGACGTTTTGACTTGACTAGTTCGAAGGCCTCACAACATGTCGCTGCAACACACTAACGCAAAGAAAGTAGTCGTCCTGGGTGCAGGTAAGATCTGGCTTCGATCTGCAAGATCTACAGCGACCCTGATCTCCGTTGATGCGATTTAGGAGTGGTAGGACTGACTGTTGCATTGACGATACAGGAGAAGGGCGGTTATGACGTGACCATCATCGCGGATACGTTCCCTAGCGATCCCAACAATGCAAAGTATGCAAGCCATTGGGCAGTAAGAGTGTATCTTCGCATTTGCGGCCTACTGATGTTGAGGCTCGTCATGCCAGGGCGCATGGCACGCCATATACAAAGGCACTCGCGAGCCGGAGCGACGTGCGTGCATTTCCTAATAGATTGAACTCAATTAACATGCAAAACACCAGAGATTCAACGCGACACGTTCAAGGTGATGTGGGACCTCTCTGAGCCAGGCAGCGAGGCCGAGGGGTGCTTCCGCCGCATTAAGACGAGAGAGTACTACTACGAGAAGACGGACATCGATGCAAGCTGGATGCCCGACGTAAGTCCTGTTGTCCAAAGATCGTATACATCACCATCATTCTTATTAACTTCGCCACAGTTCCAGCCCCTTCCGATCAACTCCCTCGTCCCCCCCACCAAGTCCGGCTATACGTACAGCACCTACACGGTCGACCCGCCGCTCTACCTCAATTACCTCCTCGCGCGCTTCCTCGCTCGCGGCGGAGTCATCGTTCGTGGCACCGTACTGCACATCAGCCAGGTGATTGAGGGCGGGCCAGACGTATTCGCTCGCGGGCACGCATCGCCCGCGCCGATCGACGCGCTGGTGGTGTGCTCAGGCATCGGCGCGCGCACGCTCGGCGGCGTGGAGGATACGGAAGTTATCCCGAGCCGTGGCCAGGTCGTCACGCTGCGCGCGCCGTGGGTCTCGGAGGGCAAGCGGGTGACCGATGCGAGTGGCACGATGATCACGTATGTGATCCCGCATAGGAAGGGAACGGTGCGTGTTTCATCATCTTGACCGATCCGCAGAAGGATCTGAAGACTTCCTCAGGTGGCCTTGGGCAGCACGAAGGATCAAAATGACTGGTACGTTTGTACATATGTACTTTTTGTTGCATCTCTATTGACACCCGCATGTGATGGCAGGTATCCCGTACCTCGTCCGAAGACAACCGAGGACATCCTTCAGCGCTGCCTCGGCCTGATGCCCGAGCTCGCTCCCCCTGAGATCGCCCGCGAGCGCAAGGCGACGGTCGACGATCTCCGCCCTCTCATCGTCGAGGTCGGTGTTGGCCTTCGGCCCGCGAGAAAGGGCGGTATCAGGCTGGACATGGAGTGGGTCGACGACAAGGATCACGGGCGGAAAATCCCAGTGGTGTACAACTATGGGTGCGTCTCCGACTCGCAATGCCGGTGTGAAGAAGGCTAATATTTGAGCTGTAGGCATGATGGCAGCGGCTTTGTGTTCTCGTGGGGATGTGCGACCAGAATCTTGAACATGTTGGAAGATGCGCTGAGCAAGTGAAGAGACGGCTGTGATATGTTTTCAATGATGCAGCGGTAGTCTCATCGTCTCGATGGGAAGGCAGCGGCAACCGCTCAAAGATGTATACTAGGTGTAATGTTACTCGAAATTCCTCTTGCTGCCCAAAAATGCTTGAACACTATGGCTGATATACATAAGCTACAATTTTGATTCCACTACATACTACAGTGCCCCATCTGCGAAAGCTTCACGAGCAACATCGTTAATTGACTATTGACCATCTTTAGCATGGTAACAAAGGCTACGGACGTGACCAGCATCGTCCTTCTGCATTAGTTTCAGAACAACTCCTTGCCACAAGATGAGCATGTCCGTTAATACACATGATCAAGGTCATGAGTGACACATCGTAGTAGTAGTCGCAAGCGGCACAGAGGCACCACCAATGGCGGACGAACTGCCGCCTACGCCGAACCCCGCCACAGATCTTGACACGGATGCCAAATTGCTGGCGGGCGTAGTCGTGGGCGAAGATGGTATCGTATTCGCGGTGGCGAACGCTGACTGGCCCGCAGCAAAGCTCGAAAGCAGGCTCGAAATTTGAGAGGAGTTGAGCGTGAACGTCTGTGCGGGGATAGTGGTGATCGATGCGGCGGACGCGGCGGATGAAGTGAGCGTCGACGCTGGCTGTGTGTTGGATGTTGCAGATGATGAGGAGAATACGGTCACTCCTGAGGCGGAGGTAGAAGAGCTAGCCAGGACAGACGAGGAAGCTGTGCTTGATGCAGCGTTCGTGCTGCTGGTGTGGGTGCTAGTGCTATTGGAAGCGACGTCACCATTTGCACCGGTCATGTTGATGATGGAGGAGGCAATGGCCTCTGTGGTGCAAGAAAGGAACTGATAGAGAAGATCAACGTTATAGCCATTCGATGTGAAAGCGTGCATTCTTAGTACTCACAGCGCCATTCCGTCGCAGGGCGGGCAAAGCGAAACATTGCAACGAGTCCGCGCATTCTTCTGCAAACCACGACTCTTCCACACAAAACGCGATCGCCCCAGAGATGCACGCCGTCGTTCCGGCTGGTATCATCATTTTCAGACCACCAAAAAAATGATATCCAAAACCGATATTACTCACAGATACATGAATCACTCGCGCTCAAATTCGCAAATGCTGCATTCAGATCCTGTGCTTCCAATCCATTCTGCAAGAGGGTAGCAGAGTCCAAAGAGATAACTCGAGCGCCGCACGCCACTATCCAGGCAGTAATCGCCGCGAAGATGGAGAGCAAGCGCAGCATCGTCAGGACGTTGGGGTAAACGAGCGTGAATGTGCGTGCAGCACCAGTCGTCGACGAGCACCAGGCCGTGTTGACTGTCTATGCAGAGGGGAGAGAAGGAAATCGACCGCTAAAGCCGCCTGCATTTTTATAACAAATGGATGAAACGGGTACCTCACAATCTCCATAGAACAACGAGGCGAGCTTATTGTCTCCGTCGACGTAGCCGCCCTCCATGTGGCCACCACGCTGAAGGTCACATGATGTGCGGCTTAGGGCAGGTCAATCCGGGCATAGGCCGCATTTGGGTACCCCGCCAGGCAGCATCGTCGTCGCTGATCGTCACCGTCCCGTCAAGCCACAGACTCAAGATGGTGAGCACGCTTTTTATCACATTTGTGGATTTCTACTTTGGTTTGCACGGCCGAACGGTCGAAAACGCGGCGGAACGAGATGGATGGCGGCCTTAGACTTCGGATGACGGTGGCTGATCCTGCTGTATCTCACAGACGAAGAAGAGAAGAAACAACGGCCGCAACAAGAAGGGCCGCGGCCATGTCAACTTTGTGCGCTGCTCGAATTGCTCGCGATGCGTGGGCAAGGACAAGGCCATCAAGCGATTCACCGTGCGCAACATGATCGAGAGCGCGGCTGTGCGAGATATTGGCGAGGCGTCAGTGTACCCTGGTGCGTACGCCGTCTTTACCGTCAGAAGGGTGCTTTTAGTCACCGTGATGTGCAGAGTACATCGTTCCCAAGCTCTACGTGAAAATCGCATACTGCGTGTCGTGCGCCATTCACTCGCACGGTACGTCCCACCCGTTCCAGTTTTCTCGTCTCAGTCTAAACTATGCAAAAGTCGTACGTGTCCGCTCGCGCGAAGGCCGTCGCAACCGCGCTCCTCCACCCCGTGTCCGATGGAAAGATGGCAAAAAGGTCAACCCTGCCGTCGTCGCGGCAGAGGAGGCCAAGGCAGCGGCTGCGCGGGGCGCATAGGCTGTGTACTCGAGACAATCGTATCCCATTCTCCATCACGCGCGATCGTGCGCTCGTCTCGTCACCTGTGCTGCGGCGCGTCCTGGTACTACTACGGTATGTACAGTAGGTGTACACAGAGATGTTTCCCGGCGCGATCCGATTCGCTTCGCATGTCGCACTACGCTTTCAGCAATTCCATCGCTTTCTCCTGACACGAACGCTCTGTGTGTATCTGTGAGAGCCAAACGAACCATCTTCTCATTGCATGCTGATGTTACATAATGTACACTTCGACGAATTGCTACAGTGTGCGGTCGTTTTCAAGGATTTCGAACAACGGTTCCTCGGATCTCACGTCTAATCCACGACACAAACGACTTTCCCCGCGGCAGAGTTTGCCTCCATGTATGCGTGCGCGACGCCAGTCTCCTCCATCTTGAATACCTTGTCCAGGCTTGGCTTCAGCTCGCCAGAGGCGACAGCGTCGACCATCCACTGCAGCGGAATTTTAGAGATGTTCAGGTAGCCCGACGAGCACATCGTCATATGCTATATTCCAGCTAGGTCAACGACAAGCTCATGCACCGCAAGACGTCTACTTGCCTTCCACGGCGCCAACGCCTGCATCGGGTCGAAGTTCTTAATTGTCCACTCTCCCGACACGCAACCGACAAACGATAGCACGCCGTTGTCGCTCAGACTCTGGCACGAGTCCACGATCGTCGTTCCGCCGACAAGCTCGATGCACTTGGTTGCGCCCTTGCCCGCGGTCGCCTGTTTCACCTTCACACTCACTGTGTTCTCCTTATCAAGCAGGACGACGTCTGCGCCGGCGGCCTTGACCGCTGGCACCTTGCGCTCCGCGCGTGTCGTGGAGATCACCGTGGGCTTGTTGTCTGACCCGAAGAGCGACGACTTGGCGAGTGCGGCGCAAGCGAGACCAACGCTGGTGGTTCCTCCGCGGATCAGTAGCGTGTCGTTGGGCTGGAGGTGTAGCGACTCGCTCAACGTGCCCCAAGCTGACGAAGTGCGGCGAGCCTGTAAGTCGATTGTATATGACAAACTGGATGTGAGCAGCGTACCAGTGGCGAACGTCTCCGGGATCGCCGCGAACTCGGCCCACGCCATGCTAGCCGGCAGCTTCACGGGCGGCGAGACAGACGTATGCGGCACCAGCGCATATTCCGCGTACCCCCCTATATACCGTACAAAGATCAACGACCAAGCACAGGGGCCCGCTCCTCTGAACACTCACCATCAAACTGGCGGCCCATCCCGCCCATGCACGCCGCAACGGTGTCTCCCTCCTTCCACTGCGAATCTCCGCCGGGATCCTTAACGACGCCGACGCATTCGATGCCCAACACGCGCGGGAACTGGATCCCGGGCGAGAGGCCCTGCCGCGTGAACAGCTCCGAGCGGTTCAGGCCGTAGGCCTTTACGCGGATGAGGACGTGCCCCTGTTTCGGCTGGGGCGCGGGGTGGTTCGTGGTATACACGAGCTCGGAGGGCGCGATGGGGGCGCGGGGGCAGACGACGGCTCTCATCATTGGCATCCTGGTTGTGGTCGACAAGAATCTGGTGGTCGTTCTGGTGAAAGTCTGCATGCAGACGGAGGATTTACGCGTTCATATATGTTCATATACATTTCGCCGTTGATGTCATCGGTCGCTTGTTCTATAGGCGCAAAGAGCTGGGCCACGATGACTCAACTCATTCAGGACCCAGCCAAAGCCCCGCAAGCGCCGCCGTGGTCACTCTCGCTAAGCAAAGCCAGAGGCGTTTGGGAATGGTAAGCGTTTGAGAAATTGCAACTCGATCGGGGACATGTTGGTTCGGCATCGTCGCAGCGTGGTAGATACTGGACAAATGTTCGTCCCACAAACATGTTCACATGAACACGGTCCCGGTGGAGGGTATCATGTATCGGTACACTTGTAACACAGTCAAACGTAGTTATAGCGCCATGAATCACAAAATCCATACTCGTACAGAAGCAGACAAGGAAAACGAGATGAAGTGACATGAGGATGGGATCGAACAGAGCATAGGAGGGCTGGGCAAGGAAAGCATTAAAGATTCAACGTGTATACACTACCTACCTCTCAAGGTGCAAAAATAGGCTGGGAGTCGAATGGCACGGAAATGAACAACTTCTGGAATGGGCAGGAGAACTCAGGCCTCCTCTTCCACCTCCTCAACGACGTCCTCCTGCTTCTTGCGTCCACGCATGGAGGCAGGCTTTGTGGCCTTTTTGGAGGCAGGCTCCGAACCGGACACCTTCGATGTGGGCTTGGACGACGACGCTACCTTTGATGCGGGAGCACGCTGTTCAATGTCACCTCAGTACTCAATGACCTGAGCGTGCGCACAGACGAGCTCGACTTACCCCGATCTTGCGTTTCTTCACAGCAGGCTCTTCTTCCTCTTCCTCCTCTTCCTTGCCCACCGCGGCGACCTCGTACCCAAAGTCCTCGCCAGACTGCTCGTCCTCGCTCTTCTTCGATGCGCGCTTCTTCGCGGGGGCCTTGGCTTTTGCCTTCTCCTTCTTTTCCTCCGCACTTTTCTTTGCAGGCCCGCGCTTGCGTTTGGGCTTCTCTTCCTCTTCCTCTGCCAATTCTTCCTCCTCCTCCTCCTCCTCCTCCTCCTCCTCCTCTTCTTCCTCCTCAGTCTTCTGCATATGAAGTGGAACGTAAGAAAAGACCAACAGCAGAATGAAGTAGATGGACACACCTTAGCCTTGCGCACACGCGTCCGCTTACGCTTGGGCTTCTCGCCATTCTCTTTCTTCGCTCTCTTCGCAATGGCCTTCTTGCCTGTATCGACGGCCTCGCCGACGCCCTTATCTTCCTCGGGCACAGCACCCGCCTCCCAGGAACGCTTGACCTTCTCCTGCTCGTGGGGCTGCAGCTGCTCAAAGCCCCCAATCTCGGACGCGTCGCCATAAGAGGCCTTCATTGATGCGATCGCCTTGCCGTCGAGGCAGCCCCAATGGCGCCATGTGCTGTGACGACAAAGATACATTAATAAGATTACTGTTGCTGAAGAGGGTGAACAGTTGACTGACTAGATTTTATTGCCGCGAAAGTCGCCCTCGTGGCCCAGCCTGAAGAAACCCTTACCGATCTGTTCTGGAAAATACTCAGCTTTTAAGGACATACAATGACATTCTATTCAATACTCACCATTGCAGGCTGTTCAGAAGCGAGGAGCAGTTGCATGAGTTAAGACTATGTTACAGAACGATCCATAGGTAGACCCACCTTTGCACTTCGACCGTCCAGAGGACGCGTACTCCAGCTTGAAGACGCCTTTTTTCGGCTCACCGTTACCTTCGTTTGCCTCCTTCTTCTTCGGCCTGCCAGGCTTTTTCTTGGGCTTCTCCTCGCCCTCCTCGCCCTCTTCTTCCTCTTCTTCTTCTTCATCCCCGGACTTCTTTGCAGACTCTGGGATGTCCTCATCCGCGACCTTCTCTTCCTCCCAGGCTTTGCGAACTTTCTCTTGGTCTTCGGGACGCAGTTCTTCGAAGCCGTCGAGCTCATCCGCCTCCTCGAAGGACTTCTTCATGTTCTTGATGACTTTCGGCGTCACGCAGCCCCAGTGGCGCCATTGGCTACGCGTATGTGGGGAAGTATATGAGCATGGTTGAATGAAGTCGATATTGAAAACATTAGAAGATGAATGATAAGACTCGAACGGGTTATGGGACGACGTACAAGGATGTATTGCCCCTGATATCAACGAGAGATCCCATCCTAAGCTCGCCCTTCTCAATTTTAGTGCCTGCAATGGTTCATCAGCAGTAACAAAGTTCGAAAAACGCTTCATATGCGCACCTTTGCATGGTTTGGGACCTATGGACGCGCGAGACACGCGAAAAACGCGATGAGCGACGACTAAAGTTCAACTTCGCAGCCACGAGACCACACGCACCAGTACACTTCGCCCTGCCACTGGATGCGTATTCCAGACGGTAGCCCGACTTCTTGCCGCCTTCAGCGTCAGACATGCTGTGATAGGAGAAATGTGGGGGATGTGAAAGTGAGATGAGGGAGAAGAATACGGAGGGCGGACGGGAGACGCGTTATTATAGCAGGAGCATGCAGGCTTCAAAGTCCGCTTGAAATGCGCTGCTTATTTATGAGGCGGCACGGGCCACGCCTCGCCTGCGCGCGCACGGACCCGTCAGCTGCCCGTCTTCTTCATGCGTGCTGATAGATCTGCTAATAGTCGGGAACATTGTTTGTCTTGCCGAGGTTTGTTGGTATTTCGACGAGCGAGAAGGGTTAGGGTTCGCGTTATAACCGTCCGTCGACGGACTTCGTAATCGGCTCGGTCAGAACTTAAACGGTGAGCATTGCTCTTCAGAGTCATCGCAGCCTCTAATGATGGTTTGCTGAGTTACCTAGATGCAGCGCGACGAGACTCGGGTACCGATGAGAAGGCCGTCGTTGACTGCATTGACGAGGACTTCCACCGGCGACTGCATTCAGGTGCGGACGTTCGAAAGTCAACCATTACAGACACAACTCACTCGACGCTCCAAAGTGTGGATATGGAGATGGACATCGGACATGTGCGCCACCAACGGTGGAGCATCCGAGCCAGGACGCAGAGTGGTGAGGCTCCATAAAAGCTATCAGGCCTTGGTGAGCCTTACAGTCACCTCGCATTCACATTTCGGCTGATTGAGCTTACGCACGCATCGTTCCTCGTCACCTCCTCTGTATCTCAGCTATGTCAGACGTTCTTTTCATCGAGGCCGTGTACTGCTCGCTGTGCGACAGGTACTTCCCTAGCGACGAGGCGCGGGCGGAGCATGTCCAGCACTCGAACAACCACCCGCAGTGCGTCGCATGCAACCGTCGGTTTGCCAACAAGAACTCTCTGAGGAACGTATGTCGTTTCAAATCACGACACACTGCCATATCTTGCTGACTCGGGTAATCTTGTGCTGCAGCATCTCGTTCTGTCTCGCCGTCACCACTACTGCTCATCCTGCGACAGAGAGTTCCAGACTGCAGCTGGCCTGCGAGTGGTACGCTGCATCTATTTCCGTGAATAATGACAGCCCTGACTTTGCGCATTGTTAGCACATCGAATATTCATCCGTCCACCGCGATGACTCTGACGATGAGGAGGACGAGGAACCCGGCGAGCCGGAAGGCTGGGAGGACCGCTACGGTCCCCTATACTTCCCTGATGAGAATCGGCGGGCGGAGGATGACTTTGATCTTCCATATGACGATGAGGTTCCCTACGAGGACGAATACTGGGACGAGGATGACGTGGCTGAGATTGAGGACGAGATCGAGCCCCAGCAACACTACAATCCTCCCGTGATGCGCAGAGATCCCGACAATCTCGTGCGTAATGATGCACGACCGCTACATCTCTGATGCTGATACATTGCACAGTCTACCGATACCATCAGAGACATCCCCGTTGGTACGACGGCGAGTAGCACGGCGGACGAATTCCAGCCTGAAGGGGTGTTGTTTAATTGCCCACTCTGCCTGGAAGCTCCAAACGAGACCAGTGCAACTCGCTGTGGGCATGTTTTCTGTACATCGTAAGTCGTCGTCATTCCCGAAAGTTGATTCTGAGGCACCCACTGACGAGACTGCATAAGATGCATTAGGCAGGCGCTTGACATCAAACCAAGTTGTCCAGTGTGCCGCAAGGGCGCAGTGCACTTGCAGCTGCGCAAAATTTACCTCTCTGCCAACTGATTCAGGGAAGAGAGCCTTGGCTGCTACAGATTATACGCCATCATATACCGTCATTCAGAGAAACAGACTATGTCTGTATTATACCATATTGCTCAACAGAAACTCTCACTATTAGAGAGTACATGACTATTATATCAGTTTACTGTGTGATGGTGTACATCGATACATCTGTGCAATATAGCTGGTCTCTTACACTCACAATATCCGTTCTCTTGAGCCTGTTATTATCATGAAAGCAACCATGGTGTGGCCACCAACGCGCCTTGCCAAGCGCGTCTGATCACCTGACCGTGTCTGACACCTCCATAAATGGAAACACCGCCTCGACGCTCTCAGCGTCTACTGCGGCTTCCCCGACTCTATCACTGCCGTCTGGCGCGCTCTCAAGTTGTCTACGTTATTTTTTTGTGCTTTCTTGTCTGCTTGAACCTGGCCTATTGTGCTGTTTAATATATACGCATACGTCGATTTAAATTTGCATATTGACCATGAAATTCACAAAGCCCTCATGGGTTATGCACAAAGGTACGAGATATCGCTGGATGTCAAAGCAATTATGCATAATCACGAAACGTACAGATACCTCCTTTCGAGGAGAACAGGAGAAACGGGTGTCAATATTTTCCGTCCATGTTCACCCTGACGGCTCCCGGATAGCAACCGGCGGGCTCGACGCCAAGGTCCGTATCTGGAGCACGAAGCCCATCCTCAACCGCAACTCGGAGCTCTCTGGGAGGCCGCCGAAGTCGCTCAGCACTTTAACGATGCACACGGGGCCTGTACTTGTCGTCCGATGGGCGCACTCGGGGCGGTGGCTGGCGAGCGGCAGCGACGATGAGATTGTGATGATCTGGGATTTGGACCCGTAAGTATGCTTGTGCTGCGGTGCCGTTTCTGCGTGAATGATGGGAATATATAGAGCTCATGACGTATTCTGTACATTTGCAGCATGGCTCGGGGCAAGACTTGGGGCTCGGACGAGGTCAATGTCGAGGGCTGGAAGCCACTGAAGCGATTGCCAGGGCATGAGAGTGGTATGTTCATTATCGCTCGCCAAAGTGTGCAGTCCCACCTGATGCGTAACGCGCATATGTAGACGTCACGGACATGGCGTGGTCTCCAGGCGATAGGTACCTCGCCACCGTCGGTTTGGATTCCCAAATTCTGATATGGTGTGGGTTCACTCTGGGTATACACTCCCATTTATCATCGTATACTTGTTTCTGACTTGACTCGTTCCCCTTTTGTGTTGTATGCCAACTATAGAGCGGCTGCGCAAGATCGAGCAACACCAGGGATTCGTTAAGGGCGTCTGCTGGGACCCCGTCGGAGAGTTCCTCGCAACGGGTTCTGACGACCGGTCTGTCAGGATTTGGAGGACTACTGACTGGGGGATGGAGGCCGAAGTCCGGAAGCCTTTCGATCACTCTCCGGGGACCTTCTTTCGGCGGCTTAGGTTAGTATATACCACTATCGATGTGTCATTTGTTGACGTTAACGACGGCCCCCTATTAGCTGGTCGCCAGATGGCGCGCATATAACAGCCTCAAATGCAACGAACAACGAAGGCTACGTCTTCATTGCAGCTGTGATCGCTAGGAACACTTGGACGTCAGAGATTAGCCTCGTGGGACATGAGAATACCGTTGAGGTAGCTGTAAGTGGAGTTCCTCTCGGTTCGTCGAGATATCGTTTCATGTTCTTCACCAGGCGTACAACCCCCATATCTTCCTGAGAGATCCATCTCTGCCGGTTATTGCGTCCAATATATGCTCTGTAGTGGCACTCGGAGCAGATGACAGAGCAGTTTCTGTCTGGCAGACGAAGTCGGCGAGGCCAATGATCGTTGCGAAGGAGGTGTTCGAAAGACAGATTATGGACCTCAGCTGGTGAGCTCTCGTGTGCCTCTCGGTGAGACTCGCCATTGAATCACTGTGTCTTGATAAGGTCAAAGGACGGGCTCACGTTATATGCCGTGTCATCGGATGGCACTCTGGCTGTTTTCGACTTTGACCCAGACGAACTCGAGGGCATCGCACCAGAGTCTGCGCAGGAACAGTATCTCAAGAAGTTTGGATTCGTTCCTCCTCCTTTGCCCGAAGGATACTCGCATCAGATTGCCAAAGCGCAGTCGGCGGCGCGGATGACGCCTCCGCCGTCTCCTGGTCCCGAGCACTCTCAGACAGGCTTCGACGACCAAGCCAACGGCGGGGAACACATTAACAAGCTGGTCGCGAAACGAAAGCCGAAGAAGCGCGTGCAGCTAACCTTTGCCGGGGTCCCGTCTGCCGGAACCGAGAGTATCAACACCGCGGGCACTACAACGGCTGCTCCTGTAAGCGCCGCAGGTGGCGTGGGCTCAGCGAGTGCACGCCCATTCAGTGAGGTTCCCGTGTCTGCCACTTCTATTTCTCACCGTCCACCTACATCGCGCTCTGTTGCCTCTCTTCTGAATGCCGAGCCCCTGCCACCAACCACAAGTACCTTCGGCCTTGGGATTGGCGAAGAGGATGTGGACATGTTCTCGATGGACATGAATACGGAGGTGTCCATCAACTCGCTCGAAACGGACGCGCAGGCGGGCAGAGTAAAGCGGAAGGCCGTTGAATCCGCCGACGATCGCGTCATGAGCAAGCCACGGACACTCGGCGGCGACCGTGTGCGGGAGACGGTCTCCATCCGGGAGATTGCTGGGTCTGCTGCTACATTTGGACCGGCGGGTGGGAGCCTTGGGCTGTGGAGCGAGCCATCGAGCTTGATGGGCCGACTGCAAGTCCCACCTGTGCTCACCTATCTCAAGGCGAATGTAGAGGGAAGCGAGGATGTGTTTGAAGGGCGGAACTCTGAGGACGGAGGTGTGTCGAATGAATATGGTTTGAACGTGCATGACTAATTGTCTACAGCAGGTGCGACGGAGGTACTGTTCGTGAGCGGGAAGCAGACACAGTGGCTGGACTATCTCCCGTCTCCGGTCATTGCGCTCGCAGCCACCACTACGTTCTGCGCTGTCGCGATGCAGGATGGATCCGTGAATGTTTACTCGCACACAGGGCGAAGGTCAGTTTCTTTGGCGCAATCATTGCGGTCCTACTGACGTTGTATCTAGACTCATGCCAACTTTAACGATCGGCTCTCCGTGCTCATGGTTTAGCGGAAACAAGAACTCGCTGATGCTGTTAACGTCGTCGGGTCTTTTGCACGTTTGGTGCGACATCTGATGCTCATGAGAGCTGTCATAGCTAACGCTCGTTACGTTCCAGGAATGTGAAGAAACAAGTTGCCGTCTTCCAACCGACATCTGTGGTTCCGATCCTTGGGCCATCCCCGAACACTACTATTATCTCCGCCGCCGTCCGCGCTAATGGTGCTCCCGTGTTCCAACTCTCGACAGGCGTGGCCCACACCTGGGACCCAGCACTCTCTGCCTGGGTCAAATTGAGCGAACCGTGGTGGGCTAAAGGTTCAGACGCTTGGCAAGGGCGCCAACGATCGAACAACAATTCCGCTACCCGCGGTGTAGTCAGTGTTTTGGAGAGCAGCATCAGTGAACGGATCTCAGACGAAAAACCGCCGACAACTATACAACGCCCGGCGTGGTGGAACGTAGCATTGACTTTAGGTCATTTGGAAAGCAAGTTGCACGCTGCGAAGGCATTGGATAGCCCGCAGGAATACAAGCAAGCACTGCTCTTGTTAGCAAAACGGATTGCAGATGAAGGATTCAGGGGCAAAGCAGAGGAGTTGGTGAAGGAGCTGTTCGGGCCCGTGTATTGGTACGTTGTCATTATCGCCTTTCTTCGCGTGGACCTCACCATCATTTGCAGGCGGCCGGGGCGAGAGGACACGTGGTCACCTACGTTGCTGGGAATGGCGAAGCGCGATTTATTGAAGGATGTGCTTGCCGTGTTCGGTATGCCGCTCGAAGTGTCCGAGGTGTCAATCGTGCTCATGGGTCTCCTTTTCAGCACGGAGTAAGACGCTGACGAAGTTGGCTCTCGACTGGCAAGACATGTTGAAGAAGGCATCAAATGAGGAGTAATGTAAATAATCTGCTAATGAGATACCCGCATTGTTCGTCGAAGGACCCGAGCCTCGGAATTAGGTTCCGTCATTCATTGTTTGCGGCATCGAGGGCCCGGCGTGCACGAATGGAAGCTCTGAAAATTGTCCATTGACCGGTCATTGTTGAAAACGTGATGACGCGTTTCCCGGCCGTTGATGGTCCACGTGGTATGTTGAGATAGAAGCTTGACTCCTGCATGCTATTCGTGCTCACACATATTACCAAATGCTTCATCATCCCGCCCTTTATCAACCGAGATGGAGAGCATGAGGCATCATATTTTGATTGCGTGGCTGTGAACTGCTTGGCCTGAATCAATACGAGTCTGGTCAGCCTGCGGATTCTCTGTTTGACCGGTGGTCGTATATATAAACGTCGCCTCCAAAGGGACGATGCTGGATAGGTCAGCCGCATCTCCTCATGCTTCTCTTCTTCACGGTCGCCGCCCTTGGGGCACTCAATCCCCGACCGGTGCTGGGAGGACAGGTTCCGACGCTCGATGGAGCGTGGGGAGCGAGCCATGCGCAGGCTACAGGTCACAGCAACGTCATCGAGCAAGGAAATATGGCAGCAGTCACTCCCGGAACGCTACGCGTCACTGAAAACAGCGGAGTATGCGAGACCACCCCAGGCGTTTACCAAGCATCGGGTTATGGCGACATTGCTGCAAATGAGAGTATTTGGTCAGTGAACGGATCGATCGTACCCCCATCAATTGTAGTTGACGATGACCCGCAGGTTCTGGTTCTTTGAAGCTCGCAATGACCCGGACACTGCGCCCTTCACGATCTGGTTGAACGGCGGGGTAAGTGACACCAGAACGTCTGTGGCGAGCCTAACACCAGGCTGATCCTGATCGAACACCCAGCCTGGCAGTTCCAGCATGGTCGGCTTGTTCCAGGAGCATGGCCCCTGCCGCATTACCAACGACAGCAGCAGCGTGACATACAACCCGTATTCGTGGAATGAAGTTTCGAACATGTAAGAAAGGTTTGTGATACATTTCTGTATGTGCTGATGACCACTCGAAGAATGTACATCGACCAACCCGTAGGTGTGGGATATTCTTATGGCACTCTGGACGTGGGTACCTCCGAAGAGGCCGCCAAGGACGTTTGGACGGTAGGTCGACTGCGGTGTCTCTTGCAGCAGATGCTCATACAGGAATCTCAGTTCTTGCAAATATTCTTTTCTGATCCACGCTACAGCAAATACCAGGAACGTGACTTCGCTCTCTGGACCGAGTCGTGCGTTGGTCGTTCTCGTGATGTGGGAGCCAAGCTAACATCCGTTGCAGATATGGAGGACACTATGGCCCTACATTCGCTGCGTATGCGCTGTATCTCTGCAATCATGTTCATGGCGGTTAACTCTCTTGAAGGTATTTCCTGGAACAAAACGCCAAGGTTGCAGACGGGACCGTCTCAGGTCTCCCAATCAACCTGAAGTACCTTGGCGTCGGCGATGGCTTGACAGTGAGCCGACTGTTCTGAGAATGCGAGCTGTGGTCGTTGACTGCTCTACTCAGGACCCTTTGTCCCAATATCCGGGGTACCTGAGCTATGCTGCCTCGAATCCGTATGTATCCGAATTTCCTTCTCCGAGCGACCTACTCACCGTGCCTGATACAGATATCACCCATTGGTGTCTACGTCCGAGATCGAAACGGCTACCTATGATTGGAACAAGACGGATGGATGCATGAGCCAGGTAAGGTGCGGCGCCCCCTTATCACGAACGGTGTTCTGATGCTCCATCCAGATCACTGCATGCTACGACAATGGTTCCGATGAAACCTGCTCTGCTGCACAAGACTACTGCAACAGCAACATTCTTAGTCCTCTCGCAGGAGATTACGATGTTTATTACGTCCTCTCTACCAACCCGGATCCCTATCCTCCAGATCCCACTCCCTACCTGAACAACGCGACATTGATGGCAGAGATAGGCGCGGACTCAAATTGGACGGAGACGAACTACAACGTCTATCTCAACTTCGCTAACACTGGGGATTGGATGCGAAACTCTGCGCCTGACCTCGAGGTTGTGATCGACGCTGGCGTGCGGACGGTCATCTACGATGGAGACGCGGTACGTGCACCTGTAGTCGATCGGCGTGATAGATTCAGGCTTTAAGAGGTATATAGGACTACATCCTCAATTACAAGGGCGTCGAGGCAATGGTGGGCGATATCGTCTTGTGGCCAAGTAGTGGTTTTCAACACCTTTCATTATTTTAGGTTGCCCATTTGCAGACCAGATTCAGCAGCGAATTCGCTCGACAGAAATTCGCGACTTGGACTGTACATGGTGAAGCTGCGGGCATCTACAAAAATGCTGGTACGTTCTCCTACGTCAGGATCTTTGGAGCGTAAGTGACAGCCTACTTATGCGACTGAGACTGATGAGACTGACTATTTCTTCAGTGGCCACGAAGTAGCCGCTTACGAGTACGGCGACCTCAGCCGAGGCGAGGCGGCGCTTCAGATGTTCTCTCAGATCATGAGCGACCGCTCTCTGTACTCTACGTGACGGATTAATGATCGCATATGGGCTAATTGAGCCCTTTTAATTACGATTTCCGTCGTGATCAGAGCGTATTACTTAAAACGATCTTCTACTAAAGCTTTAGCTTTACTATTGAATATTGATCTGTCAAGTGGCATAGAAGTGACATCCCAGAGCAAACGATTTTGCCTAACTCGCTACAAAGTAATGGACGGATCCATGCATAACATTTTTCGCATAGGTATCCTTTTGGCCTTTTGGCACGGGTTTCTGGATTAACACCCTCGAATTGACCGATATTATCCAGACTTAGCATTGATCTTCACTTCAAGTTGAACTGTCGACGACGACGTAGAGGTGGCTTCCCTTCGAGACAGACCTTATCGCAGTCATCAGAGTTTTATGCAAGTGATTGCTTACAGAAGTTTGTCTTTGCTATACAGTCACGCGGCTGCAGGCGTTCTGTCCAAGGAACATCGCAGATGTGAAATGTTTTCACGTATGTGGTGGAAACTTGGAAAGGAAAAGGGCGCGTCGCAAGGGGGCGAAACTACACGTGTGTGCTGGCGCTTACTGTAAGTTAGCCGTGACTCCGGCGACCAGCTCGTCCATCACTTCTACCTTCCAAAGGCCCGTCTACTACTAACTGAGCCCATTTCTCCACTGAGACTTGGGATTGAAGAGAAATTTATACCTCGGCAATTCCCTATCACCGCAAAGGAGCAAATCTGCCTTCCTCCTAGCCCTACGCAGATGGTGGCACTGAAAACATCGAACGCATATCTCTTATGCGCTCGCGAACTGGTGCTCGACTCATTGCTTTATGTTGGAATTACCTTATGCAGCATTCTATTCTACTCGGATGTTCCTCTCATGCGCTATTCCCGGCTTTTGTCTCGGGACTGCATTTCCTTGCTCTTGCTACGGTGCTGTCCTCAACACTTCGTCATGCTCAGGCTGTATCATGCAACGATGGCTAAAACTACTGCCTGCTTCTATTGGTCATCAAGGGTTATCTGGTTGCGACATTCTCTTATTCTACGGTGCCGTGGTAATCTATGGCACTGAAGAATGGACGTCGACAGGCAGCCCGTTCATCCAACCAGCAAATCTACATTCTCATCCTACATTAGATCTGTTACATTCTCTAGGGCACATCGACTGATCCTCATTCTCAACTTGATCTAGAAGACATCCAGATCCACTCCGGAATAGCAAGCACATTCCAATAATCATTTCCGCCTATCACTATCGTGAGAGCATGCGATATTCAACTGTCCATCCCAAAGTCATTATGTAGACAGGGGCTTACGTTCGCTAGCTCCTTCTGACCGCCTTGATGGGCTCAGTGGCGGTTTATCGCTCACTGGGGATGGCATCAGCATCACACTGACTTAATGGCAAAGACGTGAAGCAAGTTGCTCACGATGTCCTCATCGGGGCTCATGCCCGCATCGACATTGTCTGCCGCAGGGCTGCGGATAACGATGGCTTGGGCGACAAGCGCCAGAAGAGTCACAGCGACGAAAACTTTGAGGGTGCGAAGAGAGAACATTTTGGATATGTGGGTTGACCGTACGCGTGTTGCAGGGGTGCAAAAGTCACTGCACATACAGAACATGGCGGAAGCCTTTATAACGTCGCAGGCTCGGGCATCGCATCGGATAAACAGCTTCCCTCCCTGGGTTTCTCGACAGCCCTGCTGTGAACCCAATGACCCGACGATATTCCCTGGATCAAAATTCGCGTTGACTTGAGTCGCATCTCTGACAGTCTTCTGCCGAGGCTATGATGATTGACGCCGACGCTGATGTGCAAAATTTCAATCCGGCACAATCAGCTTCCCGCCATCCATGCATACAATACACTGATGAAATCGTTCTGAAAGGAGTACGGTTGTTGATTCGATCAGGCGCAAGGGATCCAGGCTCTTACATGGTATCTGGCAAAGCTCCCATGTCGGGCCTATAATTCGCATAGCAAAGCGCCCTCGTCAGAACGCGCAATGCTATCCTCAGCCACGGCACTGCTATGGCTTCCTTTGATGCGATGGAAGCATATGCCGTGGCTCCGTCCATCTCAACCTTGTAGCGGTAGTATGCGCACAGGAGCTCTGATCGGCAATAGCGTGTGACCGGACCATGAATAGCTATCAGCTCTCCGAAATCGCACTTCCCGTCAAACCCTTCCGGAACTTAGGGACAATGCGGCTCCGTAACGATCCAGGCATGAAGTCTCACAGAGTGTCCAGTTTCAATGGGTGTGTTTATCAGTGCGGATCTTCAGCACTGTACTACAGTTTCCACTCACTGGCGTCTCGATTCAGACAGGTAGGTGCAGATTCGGCACAATAATTGTTTTGCATTGCTGAAGCAGAGCTTATCGTACACCTAGAATGCTATCAGCGGCCAATGGCAGATCTCTCGCAGGAGCCACCGTTGTCGCAACTTTGATTCTCCTACCATACATGCTGTATCTGTTGCTCCACCAGAGTACTAGAGCACTGACCCAGCCAGGTATGCATTGCGTCAACTCCACGCCCGCATCACTCCCAAACGTATGCCTCCATGCAGGCCTGTTATCGTTCTCCGTGCCGGAGACGGAGCCCATCGTAATCGGCATGGCCGACACGATCAGATATCAGCTCGACACCGAAGAAGGGGCGGCCGAGTTCGCGCAGCTCCTCCCGGTGGGAGGACACCTTGTCTATGCCACTGATGAGAACGACTTGAACGCTCCTCCGAAAGCGTATAGTGTCACCTTATTTCACCAGCTGAAGTGCCTCGACATCATCCGCAGGCAGTTGCTCGATATCCGCACGACCAACTCTACGGCCATGACTCGCCACTGCATGAACTACCTACGACAGACCATCTTGTGCCACCCCAATCTGCGGCTGGAGTCTGCGAAAACTAACACTGGGTTAGCTAGCCGACAGTATGACACCGTCTGTCGGGATTGGACGGCGTTGTATGAGGAGGTCGAGAGAAATCAGAAGGCGTTCGTGGTATGGAAGGAGGAGAATGCAGATCAGCTGGAATACAATGAGGCGCATCCAGTTACCTGAAGTACGTGACGCTCCTTCTCTGCATGTTCTCTGCTGCTGCTGCTACTAATACCGAATCCTCTGTCAGGCTGATGTAGTGCGACAGCTATATTATTCGGGTGCTTGAAAGTGTGATCTAGTGGATTTGTCCATATCCCATATCACTTTCTCACAGACACTGCAATGGAAGATTGGCAATGGTTCTTATGGTTCTTACTGATGCCTGATGAGCATAGAATGGAGATCTCTTGCTCAACATCTTTCGGAAGTATCATTGTTGTGATGCTGCGCACGACATTGTTGTTCTGAATGATCATTGCGTCGAGACTCATCATTTAAGTGTCTGTTCCTTGGTCCCTGCGCAAACGCTCTACTGTTCTGTCAAACAAGTCGAACGGCAAGATGAAGGAATCCGCATACCGTCTGACGAAGTTCACGTCTACGCTGATGTGCTCTCTAGATCAGGTAGACAGCACGCACTCACTTTTGCGCTGGTTGTTGTGCTGACATGACGCCAATGATCCAGTCGAACCGCACAATAATAATCGCGGAAGCGGGTACGCTTGGCGGCGTGCAGAATGTCACGAGTGATGGCTCTCACTCTGGGCAGAGCGGTGGGCAAGAGACGTCCAACTTGACCAAGTCTGCGATTCTAGCAACAGTATCCGTTGTGGCGGCGGCGTGTTTCCTCATCGTTCTCGGACGCTATGTATTCTACAAGGCTCGCAGAAACTCTACGTCGATGCCAGACCTAGGAGCACCCCTCCTTTCCGAAGTCGTTTTGAATTTTTGCCCTGATGACGTGGACCGCGAACCCCGCTGGAGGGTACTGCAGGTACGTTTGTCTAGCCATTTGCTTATGGACACTGACCGATGAAAGCGCACCTATCAGCCGGTGTGCGCACGATACCTTCACAAAGCCTCATCGCTGAAAAGAGGAAGATACCAACAAATGCAGCATACATCCCTGTTCGACAGATGGAAGATACAAAATGAGCAGACAGCAGTAGGGAAAGGGGATGTTGTCGAGGTAGTTGTCATCGTTACTATGCCCACCCCCTCGATGAAAGTGCATGCGGAGGAACAGCCAGCATCTGAGGGGTGTTGGCCGGATGTGTGCCTGGGTGTCCAGCCGACGAGAATTCTGAAGTGAAGATAATTAAGCTTGCATGGCTTCTCGTTCGTTCATGTCGGATATAGAAGGAGGTTGGATGAATGCTTCTGATACAATCCGGACTGTATGCGTTCGAATCTCATCTTTCTGAACAGTCTGACAACGATGCGGAAACAACGAAGTTGATTAGCTTATGACCTGTACCTGCAATCAATGACAATGAAGATAAATAAGTAATGGAAGTAAACTTACGTTCCACTACATCTTCAAGAAGTCAGCCACTACTTGCATGTACCTTTCCCTCTCCTCAAAGCACGCTAGATGTGAACTGTTTGCAAACTTCACCCACTTCACTTTAGCAATGCCCCTGAAATACGGTGACACGCAGAGATCTGTTGCTTCGTCGTACGCTCCATTGATGAGCAACGTTGGGGTCGTGATTCGGTGCAAATCATCGATGATCGTCCAGTCCTTGTTCGGACCTGTGACGCACCACTCAGATGGGCCGTTCCTATAGCCATCATCAGATGCTGATAACCTCAGGAGACCTTGATCATGCCGCATACATGGTACGATAGACGGTCGGTTCTGCTGCCATCGCAGCGAGAGCCGTCTGCAAGTCCTGAGGCTGTGGGTCAATCCTGCAGACATGCCTCGCGAAGAAGACGCCTGTCGCTTTCTGGTATTCGGGATCGTCCGTCGTCCCCGCCTCCTCGTGCTTTCTGATGACATCTTGCACGTCTTCGGGCAGTTGTGCAAGAAGCGAGCGGCAGCCGTCCACCCAAAACTTCATCGAGGCAGGACTCGAAAATATCACGAGCCGCTTGAGGCCGGGAGGATGGCGGTAACATGCGAGCGAGGCAGCAAGGCGGCCACCGGCAGAGTGTCCAAGGACGTCGAAGTTGTTCTGGATGCCGAGACGAGCGACGAGGTTCTCCAGCTCGTCCAAAAAGAGATCCATCCTCCAAAACTCCTTCGGCTTGTCGGGCAAATGGGTAGACTCCCCGCAGCCAATCTGGTCATAGAACACGACTGGAATGCTGTATAACTTGCACAGATCGATGTGAGGAAGCAGGTATTGATGCGGAATGCCGGGGCCACCATGTAAAGTGACAAGAGGACGCACGCCAGACTTTAGGTCTCCGTAGACCTTGTACCAAGTCTGGTAGGTCTCGTTACTGACGACGAAGTCGACTCTGCCGGTAGTTTCAGACATGATGTACTATGCACGAATAGCCACTTGGACGTTGCTCAGCAATCTACGACCGGAGGGGTGGGATTGCTGTCAAGACTCACAATTTCCAACCACGCACGAATCTGATCAGACCACCAGGGCCAACGCTCGACTGGCTTGATGCTAGGCGTGATGTTGACTCGTCACTATCGCTGATCCTGTTTGGCGATGATTCCGTGAAACTCTCGCAGACGCGATGTACTGGACAGCTCTAGTAAGCCAGCCGTTCACTCCGGACTCCTGTGTCAGCAAATAGTTCTGATAAGACCCGGAGGATTCTTCAGAAGAAGTCTGGGAGCCATCCGTAGAATAGAAGTCGATCAGCGTCAGAACCCTTGATACCACCATGTGGTCCGTAAACCGGGAGAACAGGAGATGTTGCCGCAGCGCTCACTATCCACAACAATGCTGCTTCCCCCGGGATTCCGTAAGTCCAGACTGCACTGCCCCTGATTGGATAAAAGCGATAGAATGCAGGCTAGCCGTAGAACATCTTCACGGGAGCACTGCATACAGGGACGTCGAGTAAATTTCACAGTGGACCAAATAACTCCAGTGGCCAGGTCCAGGTCATCCTATCATTCTGCGGAGTATGTTCTGCGGAGTATGCCGCCCCTTACATTCTAAGAACATCCAAGCTCTTGGCCAATCCTGCCAGGCAGCCTATCTCTATCATTTCGATTCCGCGTGCATGGCGACGAAACCGCCAAAGGCGTTCGCTGAAATCGTGCTGTATATCCTGGCAGTTGTGAACATCGTCTGCACGATCCTACTTGTGCGTAGGCTTCAATTTCCTGGTTTTTCGCAAGATGGTGAGCCTTGGCACGTATTCCACAAACGCTGTCTCCCTACTTACCTCACTTCTGCAGCAGCCAATGTTTCCTACACATATATCGGCGAGGACTACCCTGTGGAATACCCTCTGGGTCAGCTTCCCAAAGTCGACATGACCCTACAGGAATCCATGCATTACGCCCTCGATGCGAATGACTCGCTATCGCATGAAGAGTGGAGGAGCGTCATGCTCCGGCCGGAAGGCGCGGGTCGAGTGAGACTCGGTCCGCAACATCGCCTCTTCGTGATGACATTCTATCACCAGCTGCACTGCCTCTACCATATCCACCGGGGCCTCGTAGGCTTGACAGACCCGGTCGGACCCCATCTCCATCATTGCCTGAACTATCTTCGGCAGACGTTCCTCTGCGTCGCGTCGGATGCGTTGGAAGAGGGCGATTTTATGGAGCGCGATTACGCGAAGAATAGGGTTGGAGATGAAACGATCTGTGAGGATTGGGAGATGATGTATGATGCGCTTGATCGAAACAATGCAGAATGGATGGAGTGGGCTGCCCAGTGGGATCGATAGAACTAATTCGTATTGACGGTGAGCGCAGATGTCATAAAGCACTGTACGAGTAGAATTGACATGACATTCATCCGATTGCCCAATAATTGAAGATAATTCAACACTGCAGCCTTTAAACTGTGGAATACTGCATGATGTAGATTCCTAGTAGAAATTGACGCAAAATCAGTCAAAATATTTTGGGTTTTGAACATAGCGGCATACCGGGTCCGTCACCCGTCCCATCTCGGTCCTGCCACCACTCTACATGACAGTCATAGTCGCTATCGAATGACGCGCGTATTAGTTCAAAGCTCAGCACCTCCTCGGAAGCACACAAGAACTTGTGGTGCCAATGATAGACGTTCCCAACCACCATAGTGATGTCGTCGATCTTGAACAACCGTGCGGGCCGAGTGTCGTAGGAGAGTGTCTTCGTGTCCACAGGGAACGACGCGTCGATCCGATATAGAGATATAGATATAGAGTGTCCGGGATATGAGGTCGAGTTGGTTTGCTGAGAGGGGAGATCGACATGCAGCTCGCAGGTTTCCATTCCGTAATCGATAGCTCTAAATTGTACGATGGTCGATATCTAGCGACAGCGAGTTAGTTAGAGAACTTAAAATGGGCACGAGGACACTCACCGTATCAGTCACAAGGATCCTCCGCCACTCCGACGAGACACCGCCAGAGTGTCCCAGATATCTCCTGGGATCATCGTCGAACACTCGATTGCCGTGCGCGCTGTCAACTGGGGCCACGACGATGGGGAAGTTGTAAAACTGCAGAGGAGTCGGAGGCGACGGCCTCGCTACTCGATCGAGACCAATGAATTGCGATGGCCGACGGAGATGACGCATGGCGTCTCGCTTAATAGGCCATTCCGCAAGCGTACTCCTCGTCGCAGGGGCGAGGAAGAGCAGCAATGCATTCGTGACTGTGCACAAGACGCATACAACCACCAGCAGCGGGTTGACTCTCAACTGTTTGGGTGGCTTCGGAGAGATGTCAGAGCCATCGCTCTCGGTCTCGCAGGATTGGAGGGGGATGTACTCCTCAGGCTCGGACGAGCGACTCAGACTGAGCATAGAGAGGGATGGGCAATGTGCCTTGATGGCCGTTTCCGATAGGGGATGTCTGCAAATTCACTCGGGCGGAACATTTTCGGAAGTCTATCTACCTATGATAATAACGTCGTGAGTTACGTGAGGACACGGGTATCATAGACCTGCATCAAAGGTCCGACATGGACGCGGATATACTGACGATTGCATTCATGAACTGACGCAGTCAGAGTGGGAAAAGATGGTTGATCGAATGGGAGCCGTTCGCCATGGGCATTAAAGCTTGAGCGTTGAAGTCCAAAACGTTGCGAACCATGATCTGTGCCCGGGCCCTGTGCCTAGCGTTTAACGATAACACCCCATTCCTTATCATTCTTGCTTCATCAGACGTGAAATTCTCTGCCTGTCTCAACCTTGTCACTTGTTTGTCGGACGAAGACTCCAATAATTTCATGGCGCAGTCACCGTTCGGCTGGATTGTTCGCAGATTGAACGTTCATGCCTAAATCTAAACAATAGGACATGTCCTAGCAGCTGCGTCCAGGAAGCTCGTGGGCTTTTGATATCAAGCATCATAGCATGCTAGCTAGCAGTTAGCAGGGCGATGTGAGAACTAAGAAGGAATCACAGACGCTTGCTTTGCAGCGGCCACCAATGGTTGAACGGAAGATGCCGACGCTAGTAGGTCTCACCTTGTCCTTCGCCACAAAGCGGTCCTCTGGGGACGAATTGTACTTACTCTTTCAAGTAGGATGCTTGTGGCTTCCAGTATAACAGTGCCTGCTGCTGTCGGAAAATTTCCGCTTCTTCCGGGAGGGTATGATCACTGGAACAATGTACTGATCAGACGAACATCCTGAATTGCGTCAAAGTTCAAAGTCCTTGAGGCACATCGCCGTGTCTATTCCCTTGCCGTGAGGTTTAATTTTGACATGAAAACTGAAACAATCACGAAAGCGGTGTGGTCGAGCGTGGTCGAGCCGGCTCTCGACGTTCGTTCTGTCGGGTTGGCTGTCATAGATAGAAGCAGCGGCGTGATGCAGCACGTAACTACTGTCGCCGCCAGGTACCTTTGCCGAGGTGAGCTGACCACAACCTCTCTCCTGCCTGCATTCTATAATTATCACGCGCGACTCAGCTGTATGAGCGTCATAGAAAATATCGGAACGAGCGCTAGTCATTCATTTCCAAATACCCGCCTGTGGACCGGCATTATGAGTAATGTATATGCGCTGCACTGTATATTTTTGGTAAGATAAACACCATCCTTGATCAGCCAGAGAGACGATACTCCCACGAATCCGGATATCTCACGACCCCCCTCGCGCCAGAAGTACCATGGCATGTGGGCAAGCTTAGCGAGGCCCTGCTTCGTGCCCCGTTCCACGTCCGCCTGACGGCGTCCTGTCCTGCTCAACCGTAATGGAAGACTAACGGTTCGTACATTTCTCGGTGCCGCTGCGTCGGCAGTGTGATCCCGCACTGTCGCCGAGCAACGTGATGTCCCTACCCGCTCCATTTTCACGTTGCATCTGGACGCCGCAACGTGAACACCCCCCAAAGGTCCGATCATGTCAGCCGGTGCGGGGCGCGAATAAGGATATTCCGTTACGTTGACACTGGACTCATGATTTGCTTCTGACCGGTGCTTTTGCTCCGTTTCCGTTTCTCTCCTGTTTGCCCGTTAAACCCATACGACCGACCTGTGGGGCAGCGCCTGCCCTTCCATGACGAACAGCTCAAACCCCTGGGCACCCTACGAAGATGCCGCGACGATCCTCGCGGAAGAGACGTGGCTGCAGGGGGCGCTCCTGAGCAACATCGTGTACGGAGTCGAGCTCACGCTCTTCGCGATATGCTTCGCGCTCCTCGTCAAGCAGGTCAATCGCCTCGATTACGAGCGGCCCGTCGCCTTCCTTACGTTCATTACGGTTATCTTCATCCTCGGCACGTTCTTCATGGGCGCAAACGACAAGTTCACGCAGCTCGCGTTTGTGGAGAACCGGAACTATCCTGGAGGCCCGTCTAAGTATGAGAACGACATGTTTTGGATACCGGTCGATGAGCTGGGTAACGTGTCGTTTGTCATAGGGAATTGGCTTATGGATGGATTGTTGGTAAGTCGCGTTTGTGTGATGTACGATTGGCCTGATGCCAGTTTGCGCACAGGTCTGGCGGTGTATGGTCATACACTCAAGTCTTCATCGGCCTGTACTATATTCAATAATGTTTCTGCCCTGCCTCATGCTTCTTGCCTCTGTCGGTAAGCTTCGGTCCGCCACCGATTCGCCCTGTAAGCTCACAAACGCACGCAGCACTGGGAACGGTCTTCCTCGTGCAGACCTCCCGCTCTTCTCCATTTGGGGCGGTCAACTTCACCCTCGCATATTTCTGCATGACGCTCGCTCTGAACGTTGTCGTCACCATCTTCATCGTGATCCGGATCCTCGCCTTCCGCCAGCGCATCAAGAAGGTCCTCGGCGCGGATCACGTATCGGAATACGTCAACGTGGCTGCGATTCTGGTCGAATCGGCGTCGCTGTTCTCGGCTTTCATGATTCTGTTCATCGTCCCGACTGCGCTCAACTCGCCGGTCGCGCAGGCCTTCATTGGGGCAGTGGGTCAGATTCAGGTGAGTCTCGATCTCCCTGAAATGTCATAACCTTATCATAGTAGCTCATCCTGTTAACATACAGACTGTATCATCTTTCTTGATCGTCTTCCGCGTAGCTACAGGAAAGGGCTGGACAGAAGATACGAGCACGAAAGTCATGACAAATGCCAGCTCGGGAGGTATTCGTCTTCAGAAGATATCTAGCCTACGGTTTGCCTCGGAGGGGTCAACGATGGAGGTTCGCAACGCGTCCAAGGTCGCCGTCAATGTTACACAAGAACTCGTTCATGACGGCGACATGTCGGTCTGATGTTCCTCTAATTTGGTTTGTCAGTGTTGCAATATGGTCTAATGCATATCTTTGCGATATCCCGCACTGCCCGCTTTGTCGTACACCCAATACGACCGTTCGTTTTTCAATTGGTAGTTAATTCAAGTCTATCAGGATGATCTGCGGTTATTACTCTATAATGCATAGCGTCCATTTCCGGCCCGGGCCCGCTTATGCTCTTCATTATGAGATCGGACTCTGGCAGAGAACGGCGTGTCTGTCCCCACCCAATGCTGCACTTTTTGAGGTATTCAACTGTAGAATCCTTGTGCATGAGGTTTGTGGGACGTGATACATAAATTGGAGAACACATATCCGTCTGCGACTCAATCGGCATGAATTGAAAGTCGACCGATGCCTCATCACGATCGCGTGGGTCGTGACGTGGTGTTCCCTGGTCCACAAATGTCGTTTCATCATGCTTATCCAAGGTCGTTTGACTTCACAAAAGATTAAGTACTAGATTATTTTGCAAGCTGTAGATAATAGGAATTATAGTGCAGATTTAACAGGTCGCGTCGCGTCAGAATGGCTCACGTGATCGCGACATACAGGGGGGGGGACGACGTCACTCGTCGCGGGGCAGCCTCATGCGTGTCGCTCGCTGGCTTATAAGCAAGTCATTTTCATAATCCAGTCAATATATCCCCTGCAGTGAACCTCCACCCACGGACTCAGCTAACATGGACAGCACATGCGTTATACGCGAGGTAAGGCGACGCCGACCCGTCGTCAACTTATTTCTTCTCACGCGTTCGAGTGTCGCAGGTCGCGAAGGGTGTCTGGACGTTCTCCTGGTAAGTCATCATATCCATTAATGAGCGGAAGGGAGATCTCTGAGTTGTTATTTAGCCCGTTCGCGCGTTTCGGTTTGTTTCCAGTCGGGGGAAGGTCGACTGCTGTTCGGCTGCAGAACGGTGACGTATGGGTGCTCGCGTCGACCCCGCTCACTGAGGACACGAAAATGACGCTGAGGGAACTCGGTCCTGTGAAGTAAGTGCTTGATCTGACGAACCTCCAGCCTTGCTCATTTGGGCATCTTTTGCAGGTGGATCATCGGTGCAGATGCAGTGCACCACATGTTCCTCGGTGCGCAGCCTCAACTCTGTCTTTTTTCGGTATCTCATGAGTTTGAGATGCCCTGGCAGGGGAGTTCAAGAAAGAATGGCCGGATGCCAAGTTGATTGCTGTGAAGGAAGCCGCAGACTTGAAGGCCAAGGAGGGACTGAAGGTCGACGGAAGTGAGAACTCTCCCTTCAGTCACCAATGATTACCTGAGATACAAGCTGTCTCATATAGCTTGGGGTTCTGATCCTCCGGATACCAAATACGGATTCGAGGATGACGTGCGTCATACTACTTTGATTCGGGTTGCATGGCATGCTGAAAATGTCCCATAGATCAAGCACTGGTGAGTTGTTCTTCTGAATGGATGGGTCATCCAGCTCAGGATTATTGATTCCAGCTATTTCTCTGGTTTCAAGAACAAGGACGTCGCGTTCTTCCATCCTGCGTCAAAGACCATGATGGAAGCCGATCTGCTCTTCAACCTCCCTCCCACGGAGCAGGTACGTTCTTCCCTCTCTAAACTAAGCAGAAGCTTAAGCTGCTGAATGCGCTGTTCGTGCACAGTACTCTAAAACCGGGTCGTCCGGGAGGATCCCACTTATCGGCGGCCTACTTCACCCCTTCGCGTCGATGCACAAGCGCTTCGCCTGGACTCTAGGAGTGGACAAGGAGTATTTGTGTTCTATTTTCTGCATCCATAGATTTATTACTCATTTTGCGCTAGAGCCATGAAACGCGACGTGAAGACGGTTGCCGGCTGGGACTTCGAGCGCATCATTCCATGCCACGGCGTGAGCATTCCTACCGGACCATGAATATTCCTGAGGCTCAGTATTGATGCTATCTTTATCAGGATGTGATCGAGAAGGACGCCAAAGCGGCTTGGTGCGAGGCGTACAAATGGTATCTCGACTGATCGTGGTCTATTTTCGTTTGTGGTGTTGTTTCTTGAGTCATTGCCTTTACGTCGCTCCCTTGTAGGATATTGTCAGGGACATGCATGCGGGTTTGTACTATGTATCGTACCACCTTAGGACTGTATATGTGATTCTTGAAACTTGTAAGCGTCGTCCGGCCACCAGTAAGATGCACGTCGCGTCGGACATTGGAGCCAGGGAAAGACTGGATAATGAGAAAAAGCGGGACTCGCGAGCGCCGCGCCGCGTGACTGTTTAGTAGGTCGCTATATGCGTACTGTAATCATGCCGCCACTTCCTTACTACTCATATGAACTCATATGAATGGTCTCAGGCCCGGGCAGGTTCAGAGCCGCGTCACGCAATATCCGATCTGCTCGACAGGCTGGTCAGAATTATCAAAAACTGATGTGATTCTAGGATTGCGCATCGACAAGATAACAACAAATACCGAGGCATTAAGACAATTTCTTGATAGACAGACCGCTGAGTCCTGGTATAGTATGCAGCTGCTGGTAGTGTGATGCTGAAGCAAGTGTAGTTGAGCATTACTCTTCTGAAGCGGTACCCAAGTGCCCATTCGATGTTGCAAAAACGGGCGCTCGAAGCGGAATGCGCCACAGGTTCGGGCGCAAACAGTAGGGTCCTCCTTCCCAGTTATCAATAAGACCATTCAATCTGAGTAAATCACAGCTTCTGGTTAACATTTCCAAATTGCAGCAAACAGGTACAATCGCACTCGGCGTTCCTTACAACTCCAACTTCAGGAAGTCCGACAGGACCTGCATGTACCGCTCCCTCTCCTCGAAGCTAGCCAGGTGCGAGCTGTTCGCAAACTGCACCCACTTCACCTTCGGGATGTGTTGGAACAGAGGGGCAACACAGAGGTCTTGAGCCTCGTCGAACGCGCCGTTTATGACCAAGGTCGGCTGCTTGATCGTGTGCAGCTTGTCGATGATGGACCAGTTCTTGATCGTACCGGTGATGTAGAATTCGGATGGGCCATTCCTATGAACAAGTCATGTCAATAATTGCACCTGAAGAGCATAAGTGCTCTTACATGATAGAGTAGACGGTCGGATCTTGGCTTTGCGAAATGAATGCGTTGGCCAGATCCTCGGGGGGCGGATGGATCCGGCAAACGTGCTTAGCTAAGAAGACTTCAGCTGCCTTCTGGTACTCGGGGGAGTCGGTCGTTCCTGCCGCCTCGTGCTTTTCGATTGACTCCCTCACATTCTCCGGCAATCCTTGGAGCAGCGAGCGCGTGCCCTTCTGCCACAATTCCATCGAAGAAGGCGTGCTAAAGAGGATGAGGCGCTTAAGGCCTGCAGGCTGGCGCGCACAGATGAACGAGGCGGCGAGCATGCCGCCCCAGGAGTGCCCCACGACATCGTAGCTGTCCTGTATGCCGAGCTTCGCGACGAGGTTCTCGAGTTCATCCATGAACAGCTCGAAGGTCCAGAACTCCTTGCCCTTGTGGCGCAGGTGGGTAGAGTTGCCGCAGCCGAGCTGATCGTAGAAGATGACAGGGATGCCGTTCAACTTGTACAAGTCGACGTGGGACAGCATGTAGGTATGAGGAATGCCAGGTCCGCCGTGAAGGGTGATCACAGGGCGCACACCCGACTTGAGGTCTCCGTAGACCTGGTACCAGGTCTGAAAGGTTTCCTCGCCAACGACGAAGTCGACTGTGCCAGTAATGGTAGCCATGGTGAAGGGATGCGTGCTGAGAGGACGATGGGTTGTGCGGATTGGGTGGAGGATGGGTGTACTTGGGTGTAGGCTTAGTATTGGCTGCAATTGTGTGATGTAGGCGCGCATCCCGATGATCCATGATCAGGCAAGAAGTGGGAAAACTTGTGAGAGGTTGGCCGTTATGGATCATCATGACTCATGATGCAGAATGGACGCCATACGGTATTGGTGCCGTGCTTGTTCTGTCATCACCGTAGATAAGAGAACACAGTGGTCGTGCTACCCGTAGGCGAATTGTTGACTGCGGACGGATGATCTATCAGAATATAAGTACAAACGCATATGTCATCTGCAACCGATGGCCGTGAAGTATAGTCATGAGCTGCATACGCGCCATATGCTCATAAACATGCACTTACAACAATGCCAGCGCTCGGGAAGACAGCATGTAAGCCGAAGTTATGAGTTTCGGCGATGCACCACGAGAACAGATTTCGAGTCAACGCTGATATATACGGGCGCTGGGCGCTGGGTCCATTGATGGATGGAGGGGCCGTGAACACGAGACTGTCGGCCGGCTCTTCAGATTGTGCGGCTACCATACCATCAATAAATTCTGATGCAAATTTGAAATAGGCAGCCGATAACGATCGTTTGCACCAAGCTTCGCCAGATTCCTTGAACAGCGCTCGGCACTCAACGTCAACGTTTCAACGCTCAGCCTGTGCATCGCGTCCTTGCGGAAGTGGACATCCACTGCACATCAGAAATAGATGCATCGTTGAGGTCCTCTATCGAATCGATGCAAGTTGACGGCGTTCGCAACTATCAAATTGAGAGGATCCACGTATTCTTCCTCAGTCTAGCAAAACGCGACCGCGAGGCCAATAGCTCGGTGCAGTGACTTTTCGGCGAGATAGCAGCGTTAAGCATCAACATCATTTGCTTGGGTGACGCCGTCAGCGCACAAGTGCATTCCTAACGTAGTCATGTCGTAATTGGCGACGCACAATCAGATTTGACAGACAAGGAGCAGACCTTTGGTGCTGAAGCCGCAGAGGAATTCGCACGCTGGCAGGACGTATGAGCGACGCCGTAAGCAGTGTCAAGCAATCGTGGAGTACCGATGCTCTGACGTGAGAAGTCCATAGGTTCCTTTCAACGATGGCTGGAATTGTGCTCGAGTGGTTCCCTCGAATTGAAGGGATGCATAGCATTGGCAACGTGCGATACTCTCCAAAGACTGCCTGCTCGGAAAACCGTGGGAGTCCGAACGTTCCTACTTGATATGCATCACATGAGCCTCAAGTCGCGACGCTAGAAGCTAAGAAGATAGGTCAGGACATCGACCGTGCCTTACGTGTACTTCGGTCACCCGAGACTAGAACCACCCATGTGAAGCACAGTGCGTCTGATCAAATCTTCCGCGGAGTCTTTAGAACTGGTATTCGTCGCACGTACCGTTGATGAAATTATAATGAGCACTACGTTGATGCTCATGAGAAGAGCAAGCCAGACGTACTATTGCAAACATTCCAATTAGAACGCGATTCCAGCACACATCAGGAAAACTCAGATCGACTTGTGGCTCGAGAACCTCCTTTTTGACTTGTTCTTGCTGGTAATGGCTTGTACAAGCCAATAAGTGTACAATAAGAAGCCTCCAAACTAGAAAAAGATTCGAAACAAGAAGGTCCTGAGACTTTCTCGAACTTACTGTCTTTTTTGGTGACGGCAAGCGGATAAAAGTGTTTCAAGCCGGATTTGAGTTTCCCTGATACCAGGAGCTCTGAAGAAGGGCTCTAGTATAGACCCGACTCATTTCCTGAATAGACTAGTGAAGGGAAATGGACTACATGCGAGCTCGGAAAGACGCACCATTCTTCAAGAGTAACTGCTGGCTCTCATGCAAGCACCATTCGAGTCTCCTTGAGGAAGCCGGCTGCAACTCGACACCTACCGGCATATATTTCCCAAGATCTGAATTCAGAGTGTATAAATGCAACCTTATACGAAAACAGTACAGAAAAGTCGAAAGGGGCTGGCAGTAAAAGAATACAAAAAGATCCTGCATCGCCCGAAGCGCAGGTCAGGCCGTTCACATTCGGGAGGACTCGTTTCAGCAAGGTGAAATAACAAGGCGTAAGAAAATTCACCGTTCATGACGGTTCGCATTGCTATAAACTACAAACGAGAGCGCTCAGCGTGCGAATCCCCACGTGACTTTAAGGGCCACAGTGCTCTCAGCGTGCTATCTAGACTTGGTTGAAGAGGCGCCGGGGCGCCGGTTCCAAATAACAAGGAAAGCCATGAATTACGTTTACAATACACCGTCGAACGTCGATGTTAACTCGTCTGCTGATCCAGCGAATACTACCGGTCCCTTCGCTCTAACCGCACACGCGTCACCACACGGTGAATCACTCATGCGCCATGAGACCGACAACGATTCGGATGAGTGGATGCCTACGTTATCGAATGTGATATTCAAGCAGCCGCCATCGAAAAAGAAACGTTGCCGCTTGGGGCAGCTCCAGCAACGACAACATGGCTGGTTTTCATCGTAGAAGGTGAATCCTCGTTCGACATATTTGGCTTTTGCTGCGAGCTGGGTGCCTTCGATAGTGGGAGAGCAGAACGCGCGGTGTTGCTGAACGTGAGTCGGATATGCGGAGATGATTTCGTCTGCGGTGAGGATGTTCATGACGATAGTGGACCAGAAAAAGCATATAGGATACAACGCGGATTCGTTGCGGCTACGCATGAGGTCGATATTGGCGTGCGGTCCTCTGATTTTCGCCATACGATCAATACCCTGGTTGAGCCACGGATAAGGGCTCTCGTAGGTCTCCTCTCCTGTGCCGTCAATGACGGTTTCGAGTACATTGCCGTTCAATGTGCACAGGTAGTGGAGGACACGCTCCCACTGACTATGTCGTACGTACAGATCATAGTCATTCGGTTTCCATGCGGCGTCGGTGTCTAGTATGCGAAGCGCAACGGACCCGGATATCACGGTGCCGGTTTCACGTTGCATGTCACGGAAGTCGTCAACATCCGAGGTAATCGGCTGTAGGAGACTGCGAACACGTTGCAGCAACTCGAACTGGACCTGCTGTTTCTCCACGGTGCCGACAGCTCGCCAGGACAAGAGTTGAGAAATGTCCATGCATTGCATCATGTGCAAACGGACGTCAGCGGGGATTCTGGTTGTGGATGAACATTATGACAGATATGGTGGCGCAGGAGGCTTACCGCTGGAATGGGAGGTCAGGCATATCGTATGAAACGGGTTGAATAGGTGAGAGTTGAACACGCAGGGTCGGAGTGTGTGTTGACGTTGGGATTCGGGCAAGAAGCTGGAGAGGGAGTTATGAACCATGCAATGTATCAGTGGAGAAGGGGGGTTCGGTAAGAGAAGAGTTCGAGTTAGTCTGTTGAAGATTAGCCTGTAGAGATACAGGGGCGAGAATGGAAGGAGTATTTGAGAGAGTCTGGGGTGAAGGGCAAAGGACCCGTAAGGGGGGAAGGGGGAGGGGGTGCGTTCTAGGGGTCGGTCACGATTTGGACAGGCATCGCAGATGGTTGATAAAAGCTTACAGGGGTAACTGTGATTGTCCATCCCTGCAGTGCACTGGCGCGAACACCGTGGTGGAAGATCCATCGAGGAGGCTGCAGAAGGAAATGGCACGTACTCGGTCCATGGGTCTGTTTGGAATGCGACAGACAATTCAATTCTATGTATGTTCCGCTCGCCGCATGTGCAAACTGACTTACAGAAAATGTGTAACAGCGACGTGAAGTGCGTGGGTACGCATTCAAGCGAGACAGTGCTGCGAAGACGTCAATGCTTCAAGTAGATCATTGTGTCGTGAGGGGGAGGATAGAAGGTCGACGGGTGGCTTCTATTGATATCGGTCGTGCGTCAGAGGATCTTACCAGCGGTAGGCAGTCGGTTGTTAGGGAGGCGAGGGTGAAGGTGCGAGTCAGCGGTGGAAGTGGCCGATGGGTGGAATTCGTGGTTCAATTCACCCTCGACGAGCAGTTGCCGGTGAATGCCGCAGTGGCAGCGCTGACGAACATCGACTGGCATGGAGAACTGTTGATATACAGGTGTGGTCGGAATCTCAACCGCTTGGTACATATGCACGGAAGCGATGCACGTCTTGCATGCCGAGCGGCCACGAGGTGAGTAGTGGGATGAGATGTTGATCGCACGCGCTTACATGTTTGCTCTAGGGTTGTCGTATATTACAGTCGGGGAGAGTGATACGGGGAGAACGACGGTGAAGGGAGTCTGGGTATGGACCGTGTACTCGTGTATTGGCGAAATTGGATTCCAGTGGTTGTTGTATTGAGTGGAGGCGATGTGGGTGTATGAGTGCAGCGGTACACTTCGTGGCTGGGTGAAACCGAGGAGTGTTTGATCAGTGAAATTGGAGCATGTCATTGTCCACCAAAGATATGGTAGTGTACAGGGAAGAGTAATAGGTACAATGGTGCGACGGAAGCGTTCGGAGAAAAAAGTCATTGTTCATCAGAAAACGGTGCTGTATAAGACACAATAGCATGTGGTGAGTTCACAGCGACGGTGTGAAGTCATCGATGGGATCCGGAAGAGTGTCCTCGGGGTCGGGGCCAACCTTCAGTAGGTAGATGTTACGGAAATCGAAAGCAGCCCTCCAGCGATGCCACGACCCGTTGTACAGTGTTTTACCTTCTGCGTTAATCCTCCATCGTGTGACGGTGCATTCGAGCATGACGACGTCATTGATCCCTATTCCTTCGACGGTTAGTCAGTAGTCATCTTCTTTTGGGGGCAGTGTGCGCTTAGCGTCCCACACGTTCTTGAACAGAGAGGTCTGATGTACGTTAGCGACATGTGCAGGGTATACCCCTGTAAACATACCGTCCAGTCACCCTCGCGTTTGCCTTTCCTGGACTGTCTTACACCCGTGGTGATGGTCGTAGGCGGAGGGCTGTCATCTGAGCAAAGATTATGGTTTCGGTTCATGTTAGTGTAACTAATCCACACCTTCGCGCCATTCAGAGATGCGACGGATGAGGCTGTTCGCAGCGTGGAGATCAATGCTGCGCAAAGGGTTTACGGTCATCGTCGCTTGCTTCTTAGGTTCACGCGTGAAAAGAAAGGATGAGTTGACGATCTCTCCGACGATGTAGACGACAACGGGCTCGTTGTTGATACACAGGGTTGGCTCGTTCATGCCAGCGCCCCAAGTCGAGGATGCAGGCAGTTTGCGTATACCGTATATGTTGTGTGCAATACTGACATAGTCACCAAGATTTGATATGCGCCTGCAAACACACGTCAGTCCATACGTTGCTGCAACTCAGAAGAGAAACTGACTTGGCAAACTTCTGTGTGTAAGTGAACCCTGCGATACTGATAACCGAAGTATCCGTTTCTGACTCATCGTCAGTGGTGGAGACTGACGACGACCTGAAAGACAGTTAGTGCAGTGATAACGGAGATGAAAGAGAGGAGCTGCTACTGTGTATCATCGACGTTGTTGTCGTTCAACGTGGAATCGACGGCGGCAGAAGTCAGGATGGGATTGGGAGGATGAACAGCATCAATACGTTCAATGGCTTCGGTGGATGTCTGTGTGGTGGTATGTCCACGGACGGGTTGTTTACTGATAGCGTTGGAGGTGGTGCCAGTGGTAGGCAAATTCGACACTGGAGTGTCGGTCGCATGCGAGGATTTGTCTTCAACCGATTGGTTGGACGCTCTAGTAGTACTGTAACGGATAATATTGGGAGGTAATGTGAGGAGAAACGACGATATATACATACCGTTTAGCAGGGGAAGCCATTTCAGCAGCGTCTTCGGGGATGGGGTGTTTGGGAGCTGGCATGATGGGATGAGATACGCGTCTGAGTAGGAGACGGGTGCTGAGAGATTTATGGACAGGAGACGATAGGAGAAACTCTACATTAATATTTGTCATGCAATTCGTGCGGAGGCATTAGGACCATACAATGTACAGTCGATAACGGCACCGTCCACGTCATGATGGAATGCTTTGCAGAGACGGATGAGCCGATGAGATACGGAGTGGTGGAGAGTGACAGGGTATATGGTGGACAAGCGGACCGTGGCTGGAAAGGAGCTGTTTACGTTGTCATGTGAACCGAGAGATTGTCGGAGAGGGAGGCGCGTGTTGGTACCTAGGGGCGGTAGTGAAGCATAAAAGGCTTAATGTTTAGTGCTAATACGCAGATGATGAGTGCCGAGCAAGACAAGAGAGGAGTACACATGCACCAAAACATGCACGGGGTGGCATGTCCGTGATGTAGATGGACAGATCCGTGCAGTGGAAAACGGGGGTGAAAACTTGACAGGGGGAGGAGCTGTGTTCGCATCAACTTCCATTGGCTATGTACAATTTGTCTGGGCATGTGTGATAGGAGGTAGATGGCAGAAGTCGAGTATGTGACTATTCGTCTGTGGAAAAGGTGATGTTGAGGTAGGGAGGACGTTCGAAGAGCAAATGCACTACAGATTGCAGACCACGTGAAGTTCATGCGCTCGGTTACAGTTGCGACGAATTAGCAGAGCGATGGGTTTGCACAGTATGTAGAAGCGATGATCGGGCATACAATGAACAGGTGACAGCAGGCATTGACAGGAGCTGGGCTATGGAGAGTTCATTCAGGAGAATGTTCACCACAGTTCACGCACTATGGTCAAGGAAGAACATAACAGCAGTAAACTATGAACAGAATTGACAGTCAAAGTCAGGTAGTAATACATCAAACGACGCACAACACAAGCAATACTAGGTCCGGCGGGCACAATAAGATGGTGAAACAGTCCATATGCTGTACATGTAAACGATGTCGGAGTGAAGATGGGGGAAAGTTCGTAACTGCAGTACAAGTCCGCACACGATTATGACAACGGAGAAGCGAGCGATGGAGGAATGTCGGGCAGAGAGTAAATTTACTCATCAGTGTCCGCCATGGAAGTGTCGGCAGCAACGATGAGGCCATTGTCACGTCGATACTTGGTTCGAAGAGGGATTTCGATGGCGCCGAGGGCGACGGTCTAAGTGGACATGACGTCAACACCAATGAACATGGAAGACTGACATATAGACCTTCAGCTCTGCGGCACTTAATAAACGTACAAGGTGCTCTAGCACGAGGTGAACCGAAACGATCGACGTTCTGCCAGAACGTTGAACGGATGCCTCCATGGTGAAGCCTACGTCGACGAAATCGCCGGGACGGACCGCAATGGGAGGACACTGCAACAGTGTCCCCTGAGAGAGAACTTGACGTGCAGCGGTGAGTTTGTCGCAAACGACCCACTGTCTTGAGATCTTCCGGGCCTGGCCCTGAGGATCATCCGAGGAACGGAGTATGATGGGAGGGGTGTGGAGCGTCGGGTGAACCTTTGAAGGAGATGAGAGTTGGCAGCAAAGCGAGGAGATTGAAAGAACACGTACACGTGTGAACACCCGCCTCTTCAACGTCAACTCTTCCTGGTCATTTGCGAGTGGACTGGGCTTTAGATCAGAATTGAGCACACAGGCGATGTATTCCTCCACGGTCGCAAGATTTTCGATCTGTGCGGTGAAAGGAGTGTGGTGGCCACCAGATGTCAATGTGACGGACTGCATTGCGCGGACAGAATTGCGTGGTTCTCTAAAAATGAACGCGATCAGCAGCGAATGCGGTAAAGCACTTTGTTAACGTACCCGGTCCAATTGTCGAGTGTGGCAAGAATCGCACTCTTAACAATGCCCTGCACACGGAAAGATACTACAGTGACATCGTCGTCATTATCGGGCACGGGTGAGTGGACTAGAACAAAGCGACGATCCCCAGTGCGACGAGAATCTCTAACAGGTATGACAGTTGCCCAGTCGCACAGCCCATCAATACTGGTAGGGACTATACGAGACTGAGGGAGGGTGTCGATGGTGTCGACGTCGTGAATCGGACGTCCAATGTAGTGAGGCCACATATCACGAGCAAGGCCGTTAGATGCTGAGGATTGAATTTCGTTAGATGATGGACGGTCCATAGCACACGTTCACGTACCTGTGAAGAAAGACATCGTGCTGAGGGCTGTAGACAACTGAAAGAGACGCAGGAAGGATAGGGACCAACGTGAGCTGTTATATATCCAGCAACACCCACGTGAATTGCTGAAACATTTAGGAGTGGTATACAGTTCAGGGGCGCAACGGTTGAAAGATGTTAAGCAAACTGTCGGGAGGTCGTGTTCTCGGGCGCTAACAAGATATAGGGGAGCACGGCGTAAATGAGCGTGCCTGATGCAACAGACCGCGTTAGCGTGGTCACGCGAACAGCAGCGGTCACAAACAGGATGAAACGCGTACGAGAAAAGGTAGACGTTACATGTAGCTACATTCCAAAACCAGGTTAAAGCAGAGAAAACAGCAGTGACCAATGACGGAAACCACAATCACAGGCGAGAGGGAACAGAACATACCAATGATGATGACAACACTCACTGCATCGCTTCTGCATTCAGTTCACTGTCACAGGAGAGGAAATCGCACGCACGGGGGAATGGCGTACAACGCAATTGTCGCCTCCCTTCCATACGCGTGTAGCACATCGAAGTCATCATTCTCGCTTGTTTCCAATGTGCAAGCTCTACCGGTGAGGGCCCCATCGTGATACCACACCGAATTGTCTTGTGCAAAGTACCTGGAGGTGAAATGCCTGCCTCCAGCATACACAATACCGACTAGATTATATACCACATCTCCAGCGACAGTAGACAGAGTACAGGTTCGTTGCAGCACAATATTCGGTTGACCGACGGACCGTTGAGGCTGGATTTCGAGGGCCACAAGGGGGGGATGGCGTTGAATGATAACTGACGTGGATGTACGACGATGACAAGAGCGACACAGGGGGCCGTTCGCATTGTACAGCAATAGCCGCAGACAGTCGGTTGTCGTTTGAGTGTCAGGTCTTGAGTCAAGGTGATCCCAGTGACTTGGGTAGATGGAAAATGCTGCACAGGACAGATTTTCACGCACAGAGGGAGAAGTAGGGCTGCAAGTAGAACATGTACTGGAACTGTAGCCAAACGCAGCATGCGATGTGAGCAACGTCGACACCACATCAAGCACCGCGCATTCTTGAGCGCCTGAGCGTGGAAATCGTTCCGGATGCTGGGCAGATACAGTATCACAGAACCTGTTGCGGACGACTTCCAGGAGATGGCAATCCGATATACATTGTATGAAACTGGATGCGATATCCTGTAGTGATGGGTAGAATGCAGAGAAGTGACTGAAATGATCGACCCCGATGTCACGGAATACATTCCACAGAATGGAGAGCATCGCATCGTACGCACAGCTCCAATTCTGCTCATCCCACTTAAACCCAGTGGCGACATATGATGATGCTGCGTTAGCTGAACATCCAACAGAAGGTAATGTTGAGTTCGGACGACCGCGTTTCGAAGCTGAAGAAAGTGCATCGTCGCCTTCAGTACGCCGTTTATTTCCATGTGTTGAAGCCGGACCGGCTGTGGTGAGTACAGTTCCCGTTGACTTGCGACGACGAGCTGATGTCGGTTGGGCGCAGTGTTCCTTTTCGATAAGACGCCAAGAGGCAGGTTCCAAGGGAGGCATCAACGAACCCACAGGGCTGTTGTGCCAATCGAGAGCTGCTGGTACGGTAGGTGGAACATATCGAAGCCCGAATGTAGATTGGAACGAGCGAACCAAAGACGATCTGGTGCATCCGACAACAGATGTTGGTAGCTCATTTCGTAGTCGCAACTGTCCGATTTCATCTAGAATCTCCAGCTCACGGAATTCACGACGCAAGTCACCATTAATACCTCCTGTCAATTTGGAAGTATCAAAACCGTCAAGAATTAACATTCCAGACAATGAAGCACTGCGTGACAGACAGGTATACAAAGATTGATGTCCTCTGCAATATTTCAGGTGACACACGTTAAATGGGCGAGTGCGTCCTTGGGAAGCGAAGTCAGTCATTGCGAAGTTCGGCAGCACATTGATCTGGTAGCGGTCAATATATACACATGTGTCATTCGGTAGAACACATTTCACTCGTGTCTTTGACCGAGTCAATGCAATTACATTGGCTGGGAGCCCTTCGATCTGAACGGCCTGGGGGGGTGATTTCAATCGAACGAAGAGAGTGTCTAAAATGTCATGTCCATCACCATCTCGATGAGAGTCCCAGCTATACACATACCCTTCAGCACCATTCGTAGCACATAGTTCAGTGGCTTCATTGCTTTTCAGCATTACAGGCATGCCGGGACATAATGACAGAATACCCGCTCTATGACCAGTGAGATTAGGAGGTAGAGACCAGAGGACGTCTTGCAGTTCACTGTGAATCTTGTCAGAACGTCGTGCAGGATCACAGATCGACCGATGTTTGCGTTGTGCATCTCGTACTGAATCAGATGATGAAGCAGAGGACCACTGATCAATGGAGTAAAAATTGGTGAGAGCCAAATTGTTGTCCAATGCGAAGCGATGAGTACATATCTCATTAATAGTGTCGCGGTGTGCGTTAAGACCTGTAATGATTGATACATTGCGGAAGTTAGCGCTGGCGAACACGTCGCTCAAGGAAGAATCACCTGCAGTGTAAATCCGTGTACGCAACAGAGCGATGTCATCCGGAGTGCATGACTTAAATCTACAATTGTTCAACGCGTGACGGAATCGATTTTGAGCATCGTCCAATCCCGTCTGGCGCATATTTATTCGTAAGATAACAACGGTGGTAAACGTATGCCATAAGGCCTTACCTATAGCAGCCTGCTGGGAGCGCAACGTGTTGGCCGAGGACCACGCTCCAACACTGTTTGAGTACAAAGACGCGGAGTTCTTGCCAGCCGGTGGTAGTTGACCAAAATCACCGGCAAGTATAACATGCAAACCGCCAAATGATTGATCGGCACTGCCCAATGCCTTTGACATCTGAGCGCTAATTCGATAAAGTTCAATACAAGATATCATGGATACTTCATCGATAACAATGATATCGACCCCGTTCAGACGTTCGCGGACCTTAGACAAAGCGGTTGAAGTACAGTTGCCACCATGGTCTGAATTGTGAGAGAAACCTAACACAGAATGATATGTTGAGCCAAAGATCAACGATGCAGCAGAACCCGTCCATCAGGAAAACTCAAATCGACTTGTGGCTCGAGAACCTCCTTTTTTGACTTGTTCTCGCTGGTTTTGGCTTGTACAATCCAATAAGCACACAATAAGAAGCTTGCAATCCGGAGAAAAGTCCAAAACAAGGAGGTCCTGAGACTTTCTCGGACTTACTGTCTTATTTGGTGATGGCAAGCGGATAAAAGGACGATAAGCCAGATTTGAGTTTTCCTGATGTCGGAGCCATCAACAAAAATCGTCCCGCCTCTCCACGACGTATAAGGAAAGTGCAAATGGCATGTATACACAGTGATTTGCCTGTACCGCCAGTTCCTCCAAGATATAGCTTAAGTTGATCTTTGTCATGGTGATGAAGATGACGAGCAGTGATACAAAACACCCGTGCTTGCTGTTCGTTGAGATTAAACGTCTGCAAAATGTCCTTCATCAAAGCGATTATGACATCATGGATAGAGATGGGAATAGCATCTACGTCAGCAAATGCAAAAAGGTTAGAGTGTAATGTAAGCACCTCGACGACGTTTGCACAAAACCTATCGAAGTTGACGACATCGACGGAGTCGGACTGTCGATCGACGCGCACTGACGTCATCCGACGAACGACAACCGCTTCTCTAGCAGAAGCCATGATAGCCTTCCATGAACCCATAGGCTTCGAAGCAATCACTACATCTATAGGAATTGTATCAGGGCACAAAGTCATAACTGAGCTGTCCGCATGTAGTTTATGCAGCAGAGTGCGCATCTCAGCCATTAGAGCCTCGTTACGGGAAGTGAACTCACCATGAGAAGCCAGCCGATCGTGAAGCATATCGAGCAAGAGCTCTTGTTGGGCATCTAAAACTGCGTTCGCATCATCGCTATCCTGGTCTACATGATCCAACGAACTGGGGTCAAGAAATGCAAGAGTTGATGCCAAACCTTCGTTAGCGCGCCGTTGCGCTGCAAAATCGTCCCGGGCATCTCGGCATTCATACAAAACGTTCATGTTGGCCATGACACGAACATGGTCTGTGCTGAACACGGTTTGGTTGAAGACCGACTCCCAGTTTTGCTCGACGGTCTTCAGATCGGATCCGGTATGCCAACCACCTGGGTTGAAAAACGTTAGCATCGATTGACAATAACTCTCTCGATCACCTTTGTCGTGTCGAGGCAACGGCTTCCCAAGAAAATGTAAAACATACTGCTTCGCGCGATCCACATCCACGACGACGTGGGTATGGCGAAGAGGATGTCCAGGCAAGAATGAATGATAAACTGTGGATCGACCATTACCGTGCACACGTTCGTATGCACTATCATCTCCAACTGCATCTCCATCGTCGCCATCATCGGGTGTGTCATCTATAGTCGTAGCAGAACGAGAGCGTCGATGCTTCACAACGTCAGTTTGAATGAGATAGTCATATAGACTGTAATGTTCATAGCGTACAGGTCGATAAACGTAATCATTGATTTTGTTCAGAGGCACAAGCTCGCTACCAGATCGTCCAATAACGACACGTTCATTCGCATCGGGAGCACGGTCGACAACGACGTCGTTAGCAGAGGCTGGCGTGACCGTCATGGAACCAGAACATGTACTCTCAATGTATTTGACATAAGCAGTCCAATAAAATTTTTTGAATGAGATATTAGTGTAATGATCCGGAAAGCCAAGCAAGTACGAACATACCATGGGGGCCCCGATCTCCATTTTTGCAGATAGCGCATTCACCGCTTTAGTAATAACTAATCGCGCACGATCCTCGGCTGTACATTTATCCTTCAATGCCTCGCTGTTATTGTCTAATACGGTACGCACCGTGTCAAAAATCGCATGCGTCTTCAAAGGAGATTTCGTGATATAATCCGTGATGTATGCGATGACGGCACGAACTGTCGTCCCCGATAAAAGAGATGTAACATCAGTATTACATCGCAGAGCCGCGGACACGATAGGATTGAACGTATTAATCCACGGTTCCGATTTCTTAAAGAAGATCGCGCCCGTTTCTTCATCAACTTCCGTGTCCGAACGAAGATCGCGAGGAAAGCGAGCACGACAGGATGCATCGTTGGTGAGCCGACAACCCTTGGAATGTGCGGTCTGCAATCGACAACGATGGCGGTTAGACTCGTATACCACGTCGTCAGCATCGCGCAACACATTACGATAAACTTCATCTTCCTCTTCACGCGTACAAACGTTACGAGGCCGCACAGGCAACGTTGTGGAGGGTAGACGCTGACGACAGTTCTGCTCATCAGATTCGATTCCGCGCGCGTCCAATCGAGCCTTAATATCGTCCGATCGACCAGTGGAGAAATCACCCTGTACGCAGCTATCCAACCAATGTAATATAGCCTGTCGAAACGTAAGGTCGCCTTGAACACGCGACCTAATCTGCAAAGGACTAAGTGAGTGAAGGATCCACAACAACATGTGCATATGCAATGTCTGACGTCCCTGTGATTCAACGGTACCGTAGTATGCGGATATACGTCCGAAGAGACCTTCGGTATCTGCTCCAACACGCAAAATAATTGTTACGAATGCATTTACTACAAAGTGAAAGAAGCGAGCGCAGGCGACAGGGTTATCAGCAATCAAGCGTAGTCGCTCAGCATAAGACGGATATTCACCGTGTGAATCGAACAAATCGATAGACTGACCACAATAGTAAAGGCACAGTGGGTGGTTGATGTCCACGGGAGAAAATGTCACAAAAAAGAGAGGGACATTAAGAGCGACGATAACGCTTTGGATCTCGCTGCGTTGTTGCTTTCGTTTAGCGGACGAACCGTCGACATGCCCTGCAACATAGTCAAGAATCGATATTAGCTCAAAACAATGTCGCTCGTCCTCATTCTCCGCCCGAAGGACTTCCCCATTCTTTCCACGATCGACAAGTCCCTGGAGAACATCGGGCTTCACAGACGAAACCAAGTCGGCAACATGGCGAAAGTTGTTACGCTCAGTCAACAAGTAGCCTCCACGGGTCGACTCTCGGATCTGCTGGTGATTAAACACAATAAACGGGAAGTAGTAGTCCGTCTGAAAACGTCGATCAGCGTAGTAAAGCAACTGGCGGATATGAGCAGCTCGACCGATGACTGTCTTCACCAGAGGATTTTCAGGTGCCCCTAGCCCGTATGGAAATAGCCACGGAAACATACTCGGCAACAGAGTACTGTTGTGATATATACTCTCCGGCTTATCACTGTGACCGTAACCCAACACAGCACCCCCGTCATGAAAATACTGCAGAGCCGTCGCGATGCGAGTTTTGTACGACATAGTAGCAATGTCAGCGGCTGATAAACCACAGACGACGAACGGACACGGTCCGTCAACCGTTCCTCGTTCCTCATCAACTTCGTGCACAGACATCGACTCGGCAGGGGTAGTTCCATCTGACAAGCGTCTTAGAACGGTGACTGGCGGCTCGTTCTCGGGATATGTAGCAAGGTTTGCACGAGAGATGAACACCCCAGCATAATCGCAGTGGTTAAGAACAAGCCAATTCAGCGCGGCAAGAACGACTGCGTGGCGTACCAGCAACGGAGTCCGCTTAAAGTCCTCTTCAGTAGGACGACAAGGACCGGTGAATAGAATAGCGAGAACGTCGTCCAGCTCATCTCGGGGAGGAGGCAGCACGCTGTAGACCTTTTCCAACGGTTGCGCGAATGCGATCGTGTTCGCGATCATCTTCCGTTGACCCTTGTTAACCTTCACAACGAATGAGTTATGCCTCACTTTAGCAACCAACATCTGCTCCACAAACGTGAGTTCACGCAGAACTGAAGGAATGTCTCCGACCCACAGCCCATTAGCGAGCGCCTCCTTCGGTAAACCGCGTCGCATGTCCAGTGCCGTACGACACGACTCGCACACATCGACGAACGTTACACCGCCCACGACATGAACAGCAGGAGCGTACAACACAGGACCGACCACAGGCTCAATAGCGTCATCAATGGAACGACGCTCAATGCGGGTCACGAACTCACCCGCGCGATGCAAAGCAGAAACATCCACAGTATCCAACGGAACTGTACTGATGTCTTTATCAAGCGTCAACCGTGCACATACAGCGCACGGCTTCTCACATATAGCCGGAACGTCAACGGTATCATGCCAATCGCGCAAAATCGTCAACTTATCGTTTACGCTCAACGGACAGGGGGGAAAGGTGACCGGATCGGCCTCCGTTACTTGCGGACGCGAAGGCGACCCAAACGACCCACTGCTCGACAACGACGTTAACGCGGGAATGTCAATGCGAAACGACGGAAAAACCCTTGCACAAAGCCAACAACGATGAGAAATCAGCTCGCTGGCGATACTATCTAACGTCCATTGACCACCAGGAGCAATAAGTCCATGTGCACTTGCAACCGAAACAAGGGAAGCGAAATCGAGCCTGCACACGAGATCATTAATCGGCATGTCAACTAACACGCAGTCCGATTCCATGCGCGGAACACTTAAATCGCAACGAACAACACCAGCAAATGAATACCTCGTCCGCGCTGTTCGGCAAAGCTGCCCACTTACTACAGGAAAACGTTCCAAGAGAACGAAATCCATTGTACAAATACCATCCGTCCGCACCTCATGTAAACCATCATCTACAAAATCGAACACCGCCACAGCAGACACACAAGCCAGTGTGCATCGATGCTCGAGCAACACACACTCGAGACCGACGACTGAACGTTTTCGACGATCCCTTCCTATATGATGGAAACGTGCAAGATCAATCAACGAGCGAAACGGAAGTACGCGTGCGAGGAACGACAACGGAACGTCGAGCGCGACGGATGAAACATTGGAACACCATGAAGAGTCCAGCGAAGCGACAGACTGCATACCCCTGAACGTCACTGACGAACGACGAGACAGCAGAGCACGCGAACCGTACCTGAGCAAAAATCCACGTATATCATCAGTCGAGCACACGCACGACCTGCGAATAGCACCCCCAACCGGAGGAATGCAGTATCCAACGAAGGAATGCGACCGCGCAAACTCCGAACCGTCACTCGAACCCGCAACCGGCGGCCGACGCTGAAAGAACCACAGCATGTACAGGACAACCGCTGTAAGTGAACGTAAAAATCATTATGGAAAAACAGGATAAGCTAGAGCGAGTTACTCACCACGCACGGCCGCGAGAACGTACGCAGTAGACGTCATGAAGCCACGGGACCGTATATAAACCAATATAACAGCATAAAGCACTGCGATCACAGGCGAATGAAACTGTCAGTCATTGAGAACGTCGAATGAAAAGAAAACTCTCACAGTGCACCGCCGCGAGCACGAACGTAGTGAACGCCATCGAGCGACGTGAGCGGATAGAAAGCAAGAAAGCTCAACAGGGGCAGCGCGATGACGAGGAGGAGGGGCGAACGTTACGTAAACTACTTCCTAAAAGGTGTCGAACTGCAGCGACGATTATTACGTAAAGCCGTTCGCGTCCACATTCTGTCAATAGCCAAATACTTTGTTATTTGGAACGTAAGGCTACTCGAGCGAACTTTTCGTCAGTACTAATTTCAAAGCACCCTCGTGCAGCATGCACGTCCCTGCAGGGCGTTTTCTCTTCAACAGCGCATGGCTCTAGGGTCCCGATGGGCTCGGCGACCGGCTATCAGTGCCTCCATGGTCGCCACTTTTTGAGAAGTTCTCTTTCGCCGGGTCGTACTGTCTGAATCGCCAATCAAGACCCTTCATGCAAACAATACCATACGAATGAGAAGAGATAAACCGTCCTGCCGTGCATGGGTTAATTAACCCTTCCAGCCGTCTTGATGTCCATCCCTGTCGTAGAGGGGTTTGTTCCCTTCTCCTGGCCTGCTGCAGGCAAGCCGTGCCAAACATACTACAAGCTGTACGGTGATCTTAAATCCGGGCCAACTCCGCTCATCTTCATCCACGGTGGATACGGTTATACGCACAAGTACGGCTTACCGCACACAGACCTAGCGGCAGGTCCACGCGCCATCCCGGTGCTGTTTTACGACCAGATCGGCTGCGGCCAATCCACCCACCTCCCAGAGAAAGTGGGCGATTGGGAGTTCTGGTTGATACAGCACTTCATCGACGAGTTGGAGAACTTGATTTCATGTCTCGGGATACAGACGTATGATGTGCTGGGTCACTCGTGGGGCGCGGTGCTCGGCGCCGAGCTAGCCATCAGGCGGCCCAGAGGCCTTCGGCGGCTCGTGCTCGCGTCCGGTCTCGCGTCGATGGATCTGTGGTCCCTTGCTGCGAGGAACCTGCTCAAAACCATCCCGGATGACCTTCAGGTGGGTAAAATGAACCGACTAGGCCTAGCATCGACTGACTCCATAGTCATCTAGAAAGTTATAAACGACTGTGAAAAGGCGGGGAAGATCAATGCGCCGGAATATGAGGCAGCCATGACGGTATTTGCCAAACAGTTTGTCTGCAGACCCGAAACGTGGCCTCCCGAAGTCTCGTCTGCCTTTGAGGAGAACGAGAAAGATATGACAATGACCAAGACTTTGTACGTGCTGGATGATCATGCTCGTACGCGTCATCCGCTTATCGACATTACTTCGACAGAGGTGGTGGCATGTCGGACTTCCATGTCACCGGCAGCATGAAAGATTGGAGTGTGATCCCGGACATCCACAAGATCAATGTTCCTGTGCTCATGACGAACGGACGATACGACGGGGCGCAGGACTATGTCGTTGGGAAGAAAGAGAAAGCTATATGAGATTGGTAGGCGATTTCTTGACCAACTGAATGTGATTCTCGATGGGTGGTAGTGTTGGCGAGGAATGCAGTAATGCTCACGGAAGAATGATGTCTGCCTTGTGAGCTGCTATCGCCTTCAATAGTCTGCAACGAGTGTCGATGCAGCATGTGTGCCATCTCTGTCTGTTCGTCCTCACCAAAGGGAAATGCATTGCCAAAATGTGCAAAGGCAATAAGTACGTTTCGTGCTACTCCTTCGCTTATTGCGCATGCCACACCACATCCACCTCATGGTTCCTCTCTTTCTAGGCATGAGGCCATTTTGGCATCTTCAACAGCGGCAAAATAATGACGTTTACAGTGCGTTCTCGCGTAACATGGACGGATATTAAGATATCTTGTGGCAGTCTTACGGCGGTTGAGGACCATCTTTGAAACACTTCGGGACGGAGAGTCTGACCCCACAAGGAGGCCTGAGGCCTTCATTGCTCAAATGATTTTTAATTGTCGAGCGCCTGATTGCGCAGCTGCTTCTTCAGCAATCCAGATCAACCGTCACGGAACTTCACCGGTGATATCAGGATCATGATCCTTCTGTCAGCGGGTCGCTGTCCTTGATGCCTGTCTCACATCTAGATGCAAACGAGTTGACGGTTATTCGGTTGTTCCCTTCAGTCATTCGAAGGCAATCCCACCGTATGGATAGGTTGGAGACCGTCAGGCACAAACGTTGAAGTCGGCCTCGAAGCTTCAAGCTCAAGCTTCAGCTCTTGAAGGTGTATGAGATAGATATTCGGCTCATTTTATCTCTCGGAAGCAAAATGGCATCCTTCAACCGGCTGTTTGGCGATGCGACATTGGATAATTGTCCGCCAATATCGATCAAACAGCTCGTCAAGGGGAATCTATAAGTTCTCGAACTGTGATGAGATTCTTTCAAGGCACCTTGATGCTCCGTGTCGGTTCTCCCGGTGACTCCTGGTCCATCATTCCCACCCATATATTTTCTCACTGTTCCGCATGCGGTTCTACGAAGCGCTTGATGAAAGTTCACTCCAGCCTCGGGTCTGTGTCAGACAGGCACGAGGCGTGTTAAAGACAGCGTCACATTTTCAGCCTTTCCAGGTGCCAGTTCTCACGTCCACCCTACCGTAGCGGACAGTGAGCCCGTACAGGTGTGTCCTTATTGATTTTCTGGAAGCAGTCGCAAATCTGTACTGAACAACGTGCAGTAGATCATGAATCCTTACGCCCCTCACGAGACTCCAGCGCAAATCTACGCGGAAGAAACATGGCTACAGGGTGCCCTGCTCAGCAACATCGTGTACGGCGTAGAGTTAGCGCTCTTCGTGATATGCTTCGGGCTCCTTGCACGCAAGACGACGCGCTCTAACTACAAGAGCAACGTTCCTCTCCTCGTTTTCATCACGGTCATCTTCATGCTGGGTTCCTTTTTTATGGGCGCCGGGGCAAAGTTCACTCAATTGGCATTCATCGAGAACAGAAACTATCCCGGAGGGCCAGCTGCGTACGAGCAGGCCATGTTTTGGATCCCCGTCGACGAGCTCGGAAATGTTTCCTTCGTCATAGGTAATTGGCTGATGGATCTGCTATTGGTAATTCTTCGACATTTTCATTGGATCCTTCTCCCTTTAACGTTTGTGTGATAGGTGTGGCGTTGCATGGTCATTTATAAAGGCAGTGGAGTGCTCATCTGGTCCGTAATGTCCTGCGCATTCGCTATATTTTTGGCATCATTTGGTGTGTTCACTCCTAGTATCAAGTGGCAGGGGACCGTTCTGACACGATGATACAGCTCTTGGGATTGTGTTCTTAGTACAGACGTCGAGCTCCTCGCCATTCAGCGAGGTGAATTTTACCCTCGCGTATTTCGCCATGACGCTCTCCCTGAACGTGATCGTCACTCTGTTCATCGTCGCACGTCTTCTCGTCCTGCGTCGACGCATGGCTGCCATCTTCGGGCCAGACTCACACTACACCAACTTGGCTTCGATCTTGGTCGAATCCGCTACGTTATTCTCGGCGTTCTTCATTCTCTTCCTCGTCCCATTCGCCCTGAACAATGCTCTGTCCCAAGTGTTTTTGCAGACCTTGGGACAAGTGCAGGTAAGCGTGAGCGCTGCGGATGCTGAACGCTATATACTGAGCTTATCTGTCTACTAGACGGTCTCCTCGCTACTCATCATCATGCGTTTGGCCCTGGGTAAAGGTTGGACGGAGGCCACGAGCACACGTGTCATGACTTGCGTCGGTACGGAAGAATACGATGTCAAGGAGATCTCTCAGGCTTCGTCGGTGGACGATCATGCTGCAGGCTCGGAGAAGTTGGGATCGGAGGACACGGCAGTCTGAAACGCATCCGTTGGTGTGATGATCTCGATTGTATGGTTGGTCAGTGCACTCGTATGCTCGTTCAGTAAGACTTTCTCATATTGTCCATGCGCCAAGCGGGGCGGTTGCGGTATTGGTCGTGAAGCACGAGCGTATTTACGCGGGCATCATGATATTTTAATGGCATCATACTATGTCTGAACAACGAATAATGAACACCGTGCAGATTCAGGGACGACGAAGTGGCACGCGTACATCGGAGTCACAGCTTCTTATCTGTTGATCGTTTTTAACGCGTGCATTACTTTCAGTCAATCCGTTACGATACTGGTTATCGGAGTAATGCTTGAAGCAGTTTCCGTTCAGGAATGCTTAGAAGTGCGGCTGATGATCGATGTACGCGCGGAATAGAGAGCAACGTCTATAAACGCTTAGCGCTCGCAACGAAAGGAAGACAGACGCCCATTTCTCCCAGCCACTGCCCAACCACTGCCATCGAAAATGTTCAAGTTCGACTTTGATGTGGATGACGGCGATCCAAATATTCCAGACTTTGCGAATGCTCAGCCGCCTACCAAACTCAGAAAGGATGAGCCTCACGCAGAGGGTGTTCTTCCTTCGGAACAGAATGCGCCTGTCGTAGACCACCTTCTGGACGAGCTAGTGAGTTTTTGTGCGATGTGAAACGTTATGGCCCTCGCTCATCCACCCAAGCACATAGCTCGATGCTCTCCCTCCAGCCATTTCATTCTCGCCAATTAACATACCTGTCGGCAAAAATGATACGGTCATCCTTGCTCGGAGAGACCTATTCGATGCCCGCTTTCAGCTGATATCTCTCGAGGAACCAGAGTTGGAGCATCTTCCCAAATCATCGTCACAAAAAGAGTCAAAAGGAAGACAGGACCTCGAATTCCTCGACGCTCCATCGGATCTCGTCCCTGGAGTTTATGAAGGTGGCTTGAAGACTTGGGAGTGTGCACTCGACCTTGCAGGCTGTCTGGACGACTTGCTCGGCGATGATGCAGCTAAGCAGTTGAGAGGCAAGAGGGTGCTGGAGGTGCGTAATATACAAATATGAGTTAACTCGACCTTTGTTTAACGAATGATTTGGCACGACTTGCAGCTTGGGTGTGGTACTGCGATCCCCTGCTTGTACGTGCTCCATCGACTTTTCTCTGTCGAACCTACATCAGAACAAACCGAGACACTTGTACACATGCAAGACTACAATTCCCTTGTTCTCCGCCTGGTCACCCTCCCAAATGTCATACTCGCGTGGTGTGAGTGTTCTCATCTACCATCTTCAATACTCTACCTCTGCCTGAAAATGCTGATTCGACTGTTCGTCCTGTAACTCAGATATGTCCCCAGCCTCCCTTGCTTTCCGCACATCCGCTGTAACTGAAGCTGTCAATGACTTGGATGATGCTTTTCCACCGGCAGACCCATCCTCCCTGGGCATGCTTCCCATCACGCCCGCGCTCATTGCGGCCTTCCGTGGGTCCCTGCATGCATATCGTGTTCGGCTGCGGTTCTCCTCTGGATCATGGGAAGCCTTAGCAGACCACGCGAAAGGCGATGCCGAGCTTGCATATGACATAACGCTAACATCTGAGACAGTATATAGACCGGAAAGTCTTCCTGCGTTGGTCAGGACGTTGAAGGGCGCATGTTTAGGATGGGGAGTGAGAGGAAGGAGTGAAGGCGGATTGGTGAAGGCGGTGTTGGATAAGCTGCACGACGATCTAGGCGAGCAGGACGGAAAGGAAGGGACAGCAAGGCAAGACTTGCCACCCCTATGCCTGGTTGCCGCAAAGCGCGTTTATTTTGGCGTTGGTGGGGGAGTTGCAGAGTTTATTCGTGCGGTCGAGTCTTCTAGTGTGACGGAAGGCGAGGACGGCTGTAAAACTAAAGGCAAAGTTGACACGATATGGGAGCAGGTTGAGGGCGTGAAGAGGGTGGTCATGCGAGTAACATGGGCATAGAGAGGGTGGGCTATCAGTGTGCGGGAACTCGAGGTTCGTCTGCTACGAGAAGCTTTCAAGTATGTTTACTGACCATCCCTAGAAGGTATTATAGAATATCGCGTGAACGCGGTCACGTGATAAAACGCGTAAAGCCTGTGCGACGGTGATTGTCCAGTCGTTGCAAGCAAGACACTCTTCTTCTCGATTGCTGCTTGCATGCCTGCATATAACATTTATAAGCAACGGAATGATCCACCATTCTTGCAGTTTCCTACCTAAGTCTCGGTATGCGCGACGGATACGTTCTACTGAACCACGCGTTCTTTCAAATGATATCCACTCCTCCATAGTCAATGACATGAAATGCTTCCATAGTTCCGCGCACGATTGTTTCCGAGAGGTCATAGGCTTCGAAGGTGCCGGTGTGAACTCGATGAGTAATTCTGTTGCACAAATGTAAATCCTTGCATTTCGCAGCGTTGAGCATCATCTTTCTCTGAAATGTTCCGCTAAAATGCCTGGTCAGCAAAGCAGGAGATGCATAATGTAGACCTGAGTATTGCATGATCATGACGCCCATAACAAAAGGCCCATCAACGCCCCATCTTCTCATTCACGAGACGCCTCACGTTCCACCATCCAAGTCGGACCAGCTGCGCCAACCCCACCCCTGCGTATGTGGAATGGTTCTCGCTGTACTTCTTTCTTCACAATCTCTTTGTGCAATCCGGTGCGAACGATACACGTTGGTCCATTCACTGCGGGAGTCTATACGGTGCACCGGCAATCTCGCCTTCGCGAACGTACCTGGATATATTCCTGAATATCGCGACCGGCTCCTCTCGCAGTCGCGGAGGGCCCAATCTGTGCGTTGGCGGGCCGCTTATCAGCAATGATGGCTGGGCGGCGAACGCCTTAGTAAGTTTCGCGTCTGTACATACAAAGCTCGTATGCAGCGCCACAATCTCAGCCCTCCAGGGATGTACGACATGCTGAGGGCTTCCGAACACGTAGGTGGGTATACGAGGACGTCATAAAGATACAAGCATCCAGGTGATGCAGAGATGGCGAGCGTGCTGGATAGGATAAAATAAATGGTGAGTATGATAAATATATAAGCTGCCATGATAGATCTTCGAAACAGTGTTAGGTCAGAGCAAAATAGCAAAACTATACACATGATCCGATGGAATCCTAGTGTCAAGTGCAATAAAAGATAGTCAATACAGACAATAGTTCACCTTTCACCTACCACCAGATGTTGTCAGAAAGTGATGATTGAACACGAAACCAAGGCGGGAGCACGTTCTCCAGCCCACCATACTCCATGAATGCCTCGTGGCTTCCAAACCACATCAATGCAAGGCGCCCTCCTGTAGCTGACCTGTGCAAGCCGTCGAGAAGTCGATCGACGAATGCCGAGACATCACCATGGCCAGGGCCAGATAGGCGTTCTGGCACGACCAGCAACGTAACGACCATTTGCGGCAAGACATGCATGATTCGCGTCAGGTGCTGACCAACCTGGTCCCAGTCTAGTATAACTTTGGTCGGCGACATGCTGATACTTAGCTTCTCGAGCTGAGAGTGTGATGGTCGTATATCGGAGAGGACGTCTAGCAGCCCATCCCACGAATGGCACGACGGGTTGGACAGCAGGAGGGGAGCACGTATATATATCGCCTTCAACTTCGTGGCTCCTATTAGGAATGGGTGATTGGGAGTTGGTATCCCCGGTCGGAGTCCACTGAAGACGTTCATATGGAGCTCCTCCAGTGTTTCAGCTGACTGTTCAAGAAGATTGCGGAGTCCAGGGGTCATTGTCGTATCAAAGTCTCTGCATGAAACGGAGAGCCGACGGAGACGCAGATTCCACTGATCTCCATTGCGGAAGTTCGTTATGACCTGCCAGTTCAAGGGCCTGATGGGCTCCCATATCAACGTCTGGATAGGAACTCTCTCGTTGGGTTCAATTGGTCGGCAAGGAACGGTGATAGGAATAGCAGCGTTATTGGAGAACCACTTTCTAGCCGCAACGCGCCATAATGGTGCAACATCCGAGAATTCGATCTCATTCCAGGGCGAGCTGTGATGCATCGCAAGGTGAGTGAGTAAGGGGCAGGAAGAAAGTAGTATCTGCAATTCATTGTTCCTGAAGGCGACCCTGGCCATACGGAATCGCTTGATTGGCAGTACGGGATGCCGGGTGTTGATGACATCCTGAATCGGGCCGGAAAGGTCCAGATCAGATTCGACGACGTTAAGCACTTCGAGATTGTTCAGCCGTAGCAGCAACCACACCCAGGAGGATTCCTGCTGGGCGATATTTCCGGCATGATCATTTGCATCCTTCACGGAAAGGATTCGAACGTGCAGCCCCACCGTGGGGGATTCGTCGAGAATGACCCTGAAGTGCTCGCACTCCTCGTCGCGTTGTAGGAGCACCTCGCCAAAGACGTAGGAGCGTGTCACTGGAAGCCAAGCGCGGCAAGCGAGGCTGCAGGCCGCGAGCGTCTTGAAATCACCCTGAAGATAGCTCAAGATTTCTTCGCACGTTTCGATAGGCAACGTAGGCATCTTTAATGAACCCTCATCGGTGCCCATGCCTACAAAAATGGTCAATTTGGACCAATGCATGCAGAACATGCTGACAGACCTGTCGTCCACCGTAACGATGACTCGTGGATGGGCCGAAGACTCGCGATCGCTGTTGAGAACATCTTTCTCATTGCGATTGCAAGCCCTTGAAAGAATCCGTGCGAAGGTCGTAACGGGATGATTGATTTGAAGAGATGAAGGTTTGAATGAGACCCGCGTCAGGACAATTCACGCCGCATGTCCCGCTGACGCCGTGACATACTGCGGCCATTGTCACGTACATGATGCTATGCTTTGTTTCGAAAAGCGTTCCATGCAGCGAGTGATAGGAGACGAAGAAAATTTATTGGAAGTCGCAGAAAAGTTGGTCCAGACGGCCTCAGCCATGCCATTGTTGCAGATCACACCTCCGAAACAACACGAATCCCAAGAGTTAAAAGTTAAATATTCGATTACAGGCCGCTCGCCGAGCGACTATAAGTTAGAATATTATGACAGCGCGTCATCAACGCAATCGTGATCCTTCCTAATCCTACATTCAAGATATGGCAGTGAGCGGGTATAACAGTACATAGTGAGCAAGATCATATCAATTCATGAGGTATCATGCATGATGCACGCAAGCGGTGCGCTAGCGAAACAATGCCCTCGACTCCATCACACAGCTTCCGAGACGAGTCACAATATGAGTGGCGTTCACGAACACCACAGCGGTCGGAGCACGCCCTCCCCACAGTGTTTCTCCGCATCTTGCTGCTTGTCGAACCACATCACCGATATGCGCGCGCTCGACGCGAGCACGCGCGGCATGCCGTCCAGGAGTGACGTCGTGAAGTCGGACATCCACGCGTACGGCTCGCGGCGAAGGGCGACGGGTAAGGCGTAGAACGTGAGCGCAATACGCGGGTGGTCTTCCGCGATGCGCACCAGCTCGTCATCGAGCGCCGCCCAGTCAAAGGTTGCGCACAGCTCGTGCGATGGCGAGAAGACGATCTGGATATGCCGGAGCTGCGCATGCCTGGGCTCGACATCCGAGAGTACCTCAAGGAGGCCATCCCAAGAGCGACAGAAGCCCCGCTCGGGATGAGTGAGCGGGACGTTCACGTACAACGACGCGAGGTTGGTGTTCGACGCAAGACATGGCCGGCCCTCGGACTGCGGGCCCAGGCGAAAGCCCTCAAGGACGTCCACTGAGAGACTCTCCAGCAGGGTGCCGGAGGATTGGAGAAGGTTGATGGTGCAGGCATTGACAAACGGATGGTCAGGCTCGCACCGGAGTGCGAGCCGTCGGAGGTGAATCTTGTTGGGGCGTTCAATGAGCCATGGGACGATGAGGTTCCGGGAGAAGGGGTGTGCGTCGTAGATTAGGGTATCGATCGCGACGTGATCGAGGGACGACAAGGCGAGGGACAACTGAGAGGACCCTGCTTTGCCTCGACCCTTCAGGGTATAGAGTGAGGCGCGCACGCGTTCCAGCGACGAGTACGACTTTAGCTTGCTGATGACGGACGGCTCGGGTATCGCGCAGTGCGTCAGCCACAGAGCAGAGAGCTTCGGGCATGCGGAGAGGACCAGCTTGATGTCCTTCTCTCTCAAGCTTAGCATCGCAAAACGCAGCGTCTTGATTGGAAGCGAACGGCTTCCGGTGCGGAATGCAGACAGCACGTCTCCTGGAAGCTTGAACTTCAGCCACATCACTGTCAGCTCCTCGAGGTTGCGCAGCCTGAGGAGCAAACGAGGCCAGTCGGAACCCGACCACTGGGTATCTGGTCTATTGGTATCGCATCGTAAGCTTGTGATGGAGAATTTCCGGACGTATCCTGCCACAGCCGGCGAGCGCTTGAGCAGCCGCTTGAAGCGACGATATTCCTCAGCGCCCCGTACAGACACGCTATGGAAGATCTGTGCTCGCGCTCGTGCCAACCAGGCACGGTTTGCAAGGCCACAAGCTGCGAGAGAGGGATAATCATCCTCGATATAATCTAGGATGTTGTCGCATAGCTCCGGAGGAAGTCTGGGCGATGGGCTTGACGTTATGGTCGTAGAGTCCTTGGCATCTGGCAATCGCGTCAATCCCCAGGGTCAAGAAGAGACGTAGGGATGCTCACCGTGACTGAGGTGTCTATTGACGATCTTGCTTAGCCTCAACGCGCCAGCTGTTTGATCCATACAGGATGCGAAGAGGACAACGTAGAGATGAGTTCGGGTGAAATGCTGTGAAAAGTACGATGCCAAGGCGGGAGTGGCCAACTCTTGCAGAGTTATATAGCCCCGACTTGCGCTGGTGCTGTTGCCAGTGTTAATAACATTTCCACGAGTCGGGATGGGCCGGGTTCAAACCCAGGCACGTGCTATCACGAGCATGTGATCTGTGACAAACGCGATGGCTCTTAACGCCACCAAGCTTGCGCCTGCAGCTGATGCTCAATCGGGAGCATCACGAAGTCCTACGATGCTTAACACCATCGCCATCGCAGAATTTGCCGATCTGGTCGTGTTGAGAGTGCTGGGAGCCCGCCGTCTCATGGACTTGGCACTTGCGCTTGTCACTAAAGATTGATATTGACGTCACAGGGCGAAACTGCGCGAAGAAACGGGCCTGTATTTGCCGCAACACCCAAGGACCATGTCGACAATTCCATTCCAGGCTGGAGCGGACCAGACACCGTTCACAATGGTGAGACTCGATGTGAAAGGAACCAAGACCAGGCTATCTCGCCAAGAGAATGCTGAGAGCGCAGCATACACCGCAGACATGAAGCGATTTGCGCATGTGGCAAATGCTCAGCAAATGTCGACAGGTTTTTTGCCTTTGTGATCTCAATTTGCTACGGTTCCTTCCCACATTCCGTATTAAGTATTTGCATATAATATGTTGAAGGCAGAAATTTAATATCATATATTTAAGAAATGACACCATTTTCAAACTCACCAAATACATTTAGAATTTGAGTGCTGTTGAATGTAATCATACATTTTTGAATTTCAAACTATGACATGTATAAAATATCCAGTAGCAGATGAAGGTGTGATTATGCCTACATTCTACTTCCCTACTGAAGTCATTCTAGCCAAGATTACCAGAATGAAAGTCATTCACCGTAATTACACCTTCATTTGCTACTGGATATTTTATACATGTCATAGTTTGAAATTCAAAATGTATGATTACATTCAACAGTGCTCAAATTCTAAATGTATTTGGTGAGTTTGAAAATGGTGTCATTTCTTAAAATATATGATTTTATATTTCTGCCTCTAACATATTATTATGCAAATACTTAATATGGAATGTGGGAAGGAACTGTAGCAAATTGAGATCACAAAGGCAAAAAACCTGTCGATATTTGCTAAGCATTTGCCACATGCGCAAATTGCTTTATGTCTGCAGTGATATAGTACCGTGTTTCCTATGTCCGACCGATACCTGACGCAGCTTGAAACATAGTAGCATTGAGGTCGCTCAGATATGCCTTGACGATACATACGAAGCTTGTCATGTTCCTATCCGAGCGTGGTAAGCAAACTATTCAGTGAGACAAACTAACTACATGTTGGTGGCATACCCACTGAATTCTGCATCAAGAGAACACAGGATATTTGGAGGAAAGGAAAATACCTGGCGCAGAACGTCACCAGTAAGTGTCCGCTCGGGGACGGACCCCACTGCGAAGAGAAGCAAGAGAACTAGCAGATGGACTAGTGCAAAGTTTCAAACTGAGAAGAACTGCGCAAATACCCAGGAGATATAACACTGGAGCCTGAACACTTAACGATGAGCAAGGGTGTGACAGAACAGAAGTTGTAAAGGCGGAACATGAACTTGGTGACGCAAAGCCCGATGCGTGATTTTTCGTAGCAAGCGCTCGCAAACCAGAGTTACCGTCTCACGGCAGACATGATGCGATTTATAAATGTGGAAAATAGTGTGGGAATGTCAGCTGATGTCTTACATTTGTGGCAAAGGTTTGCCAATGTAGCATTTAATCAGCAAATGGTGTACATCCACAGCCAAAGTGAAACATTTTAGACATGAAATGCCACTCTTGCAAACATTTGTCACATGTGTAAGAAATCAGTCGACATTCACACACAATTTCCCACATTGATAAATTGCATCATGTCTGCCGTGATTGGGTTGGCGAGATGCAGTGTAAGTCATGGTACATCTGAAACACTTAAATTCTCACGCAGGGCATCGAAGTGAAATGACGGAGCCGACGAAGTCAACATCGAACGTTAGTAACTCCCGGCATGCCGGCGACCATGAGATCGGGGTTCACGAGAAGACTACGATCCAGCCACAGCTGTGCATCACCGCAGACATGAAGCGATTTGCACGCGTGGCAAATGCTTAGCAAATGTCGACAGGTTTTTTGCCTTTGTGATCTCAATTTGATATGGTTCCTTCCCACATTCCATATTAAGTATTTGCATATGATATGTTGGAGGGTGAAATTTAAAATCATATATATTAAGAAATGACACCATTTTCAAACTCACCAAATACATTTGGAATTCAAAAATGTATGATTACATTCAACAGCACTCAAATTCTAAATGTATTTGGTGAGTTTGAAAATGGTGTCGTTTCTTAAAATATCTGATTTTAAATTTCTGCCTCCAACATATCATATGCAAATACTTAATACGGAATGTGGGAAGGAACCATATCAAATTGAGATCACAAAGGCAAAAAACCTGTCGACATTTGCTAAGCATTTGCCACGTGTGCAAATCGCTTCATGTCTGCGGTGCATGCTGAAATCACACGGCAGACATGACGCGATTTATAAATGTGGAAAATCGTGTGGGAATGTTGGCTGATGTCTTACATTTGTGGCAAAGCTTTGCCAATTTAGCATTTAAATGGCAAATAGTGCACATTCACAGCCAAAGTGAAACATTTTCAACATGAAATGCCATGGTTGCAAATATTTGTCACATGTGTAAGAAATCAGTCGACATTCACACACAATTTCCCACATTGATAAATCGCATCATGTCTGCCGTGTCAGCATCAAACGCGCTCATTCGTGCGTGTGAAAGCGGCATTGAATCTCGTCTTCGTTTTGTGCCTCTTCCTGACGCCAAATAGAAATCCTCAGCCAAATTTTGTCATGCTTATGGCTACGCAGAATTTGAAAGCTGAGTTATGGCTAGTGCCGTGATGTCATTTGTAGTAGAGAATGCGAGTTGACGTCCATGGCTTTAACACGTAGAGCACGGGTGATTTGTAATACACGATGTTACCCTCGTTCATCCTTTTAAATATACCCGACTTCGCGGTGAGTAGGAATTATTCGATATTTTCCATGCACATCAACAAGTTGTGATCGCGTCAGCACATGGACGCGGAGACAGATCACGGACAGGTCGTGCTTTAGACAATATAGTACATGGTCAAAGGCTAACTTCACCCCTGTGGTTGAGCAGTGTCAGTCGCAACGATAACAGCGCCGTACTAACACAACCGCAGACAACCATCGTCCACGTTCTCAAACTGCCTCCGGAGCGCCTGGGCAATGTCGCGGCCTAAAACCTCCTGTGTATAAGCGCCTTACGTCATCCATTGAACCACAGCTCATACACGCCTTGCATGCCAGTTGGGGCTGTTCCGAATTTCGATTGAGCAACACATTTTGACCACCGCTCCCGTGCCTAGCATTTATTCCCTCTTTCCGCCGAGACACATCGCTGCGTAGGAGATATTACTTGCTTTGATTCCGGTGCTCGGATGATAATCAATTCAATTAGTGTAGACTGGGATTGACAAAATCTATGCATAATGTCCGAAGGTTCAAGCCGCATCGACCTACCAGACGAATTATTCTTCGACGCCGCGCCGTATCCAAGAAACGAGAAGGAATTCAAAACATTAGTAAAGCGTCTCAAGCACAACGCTATCGGCGCAGAGGACTTCCTCGACGAACCTCAGTCGCTTCTCGTGCTACGACGATGGCATGCCCTTGACTTTCCCTGGCACGAACCCTCGGGTTGGGATGATTTTGGCACCGAGCGGCGTCCCGTCCCGCCCCCTCTACGTCCGCACCAGTACGCAACGGAGACAGTCACGATTGACGTGCAATTAAAGAAACCACTCCAGACAGGCCGCCATAAATGGTCGCAGGTCTGGCGCGGAACAATGTCCGTCTCGGAAACAAATCGGTCCGCTCCTGTGGTAGCGAAAATATTCCTTGAGAGCTTGTTTCCCCCTCCGGAAGAATTCGGGGTTACTGAAGAGGAGGAGCAGAAGTCGTGGCCCACGGGAGCACAACAAGCGCGGAGGGAAGCATGGGCGTACTGGACGTTGCGATCGCTACAAGGTGGGCGAGAACGACGTCGCCGAGGGCTGTAATGCGCACTGATTACGTCGCCATAGGACGAGCGTTGCCATGGTCATTCGGATTCTTCAAGGTAGCCAGCTCCTATTTTTCCCCTCAGTCTTTCTGTAGCTCAACGTCCTGCATGGATCCAGGTCCAGCTGTGCCACGGCGAGGAGGCCTTCGCGCACATCATGGAGTTCATTGACAGGCCGTCCGGGCGCGACACCGCCCTCGACGACCCCTGTAGGGAAGGAGAGATTCGGCGCTTGGTATGTGGCGCGGCGCGCAGCGGCCGAGATGTCTCTCGAATGTGCTCTTCTCACGTCTCTCACAGGCAGATGCCATATCGGCCTCCTTTTACGAGATGGTTCAGCTCGGAGTGATGCACACCGATGTGAACCGCCGCAACATGCTCATCGAGCTCGGCGACGAGAATCCTGTCGTATGGATCGACTTTGCAGGGGCAGAACCTGTGTGTCCGGTGGACGTGCATTATGACGGCGCCGCGTGAGTCTTGATGTGGGATTTCTGAACATGTCCGGATGACGCTCGCTACACTTTAGTATCGTCAATGCCCTTATCAATATGGACTTCAAGCAGAGGAGACTCGTCGACTGGTTGCAGGACCGGAGACGCCTTGGGCCACCCTGGATGTCCATATATGAGGAGCTGATATCCAATCCTCGGTGGCTGCACAAGGTCGAAAAGAACAGTTGGGAATGACATACCAGCATGAATTTGATGCAAGGTGAGCTAGAGATCATTGGCTTAGAGCGGTCGCATTCCGCTAACACTACCCAATCTCTCGATTGTTCAGGCCGTGAGACGCATATATGTACTGCCGTTATGTCGTCCTTTAATTGAAATTCTGTCTTGTTGCCATACCAGGAGTCCTCAGGGTGTGCAATACGAGGCAGAGAAGCATTAATATGGGCGTTCATGCGCCACGAGTTTTTCACTGTTGCTGTCGTGTGCATGTTCCGTCATGTATGCAGCGTTCTAGATGCTTTAATAACTATGGGAAACAGGTGCCGGCGGTGAATGGAACCGATAATGAACAGCAGAGGACGGGACGTTGGGTAGATTCATATGCTGAGTCGAATGATTGCCGAACCATGCCAGGTAAATGACTGTACAGCATACCCTTCGAGGGCAATCACATCAGTTATTCCGTTAATTGGACGTGCAAGTATTCTCAGACGGGTCTGAATGGAAGCATACGGCATTCCTTCCTATCGAGACATGCGTACTGTTCTGGGTATGCTCGTCAGAGAAGTGGGATTGTCACTAGGGGTGCACGGCTGCAAGTGCGTTTCCCACACTATCGACTGCTTGCTATTGTGTCGTGAGCGCTTGATTTCTCTGCTTTCCGATGCACAGAAGGTCGTATGGGCGGAGCCTGACTGATGCTGCCTGTTCGATATACCAGTGCTTCATTGAGTACGTCCTCGAGCGAGCCGAGGCGAAATTGGATATAGTGCCGCAGCTTGACAGGCGGAGGAGCACTATTTGAGTGAAGAAGCATTCGAAAATTCTTTGTGCATATGTTCTAAAGAGATCTTTGCGTTGCCAGTGTTGCGCCCTCCATGCGCTGCTGTGGCGGCGGGAAACAACCATCGGGGGGTCCGATCCTTTTGAGGATTGCAATCTGACAGCCGAGTCCACGATTGACTCGTCTTGTAAGTTAAAAATTAGCGACAGGTGACTTGCATACACCGTAAGGCTATGCGACCGAAATGTGCAGGGCCGTGTTCTGAGATCAGAGATCGATCGGACGCACTCAGAATCATCAGGAGGCGCATTTGATCACATGACCGTGATGCAAGCATTCCCATCAACTGCGCTATTTCTGGAGAGGAGACAGTTGTTCTAACCCAGCATCACCGTCTTTCGTTAAACCATCGCCCGGGCGTGCTGACGGCGAGAACAATACCCCCCTTTCCTCCATCATGTCGAAGTATCTGAAGGATATCAAGCATGCAGTCGATCAGAAGTTCGAGCAGCTCGATCACCAATTCGACAACATCGACAAGCTCACTGCAAAGGGGCTTCGTCATGCACAGCTGACGACCATGGGCCTGATTAATCCGAACCGTGCGTACCGTGCCAGCATTGCGATGAGAAAGGGACATTGAATACCTGTCGCGTGACATTGCAGGCCGACATGATAGTGAGACGGAAAAGGAGGAGGATCGAATACGCGCCGCAATCAATTCAAGCCACCGTTTCGAGTCTTTTGCTGGCCTGCGAGAGCAGAATTTTGTCAAGTGGTACGCCTGTCTGCGAACATAGCTCTCGCGGTGTACCCTGACGGCTTGCATAGGCACATTGACGGACATGACTACATGTACGCCCTCTCCGAGATGCTTGACAGTGCGAAAGAGGTGATCTTCATTCTTGTAAGCATGATGCAACACCTTCTGCGATCGCGGTACTCATCTCACACCGCACTCTCACATTCTAGGACTGGTGGCTCTCCCCGGAGCTCTACCTTCGCCGGCCCGCGGCGTACCACCAACAGTGGCGCCTCGACCGTCTGCTCAAACGCAAGGCGGAGGAGGGCGTACGCATATATGTCATCGTCTATAAAGAGGTCACCCAGACGATGTCTATGAGTTCGTCGCATACCAAGGTATGCCCCTGTAGCCCCGTTCTAATTCCATGGGCTTTTCTTGGCAAGGGTCGATCGTGCTGACGCCCAAATTCTCCCGAATTTGCTATTGCTGTTCAGCACGCTCTCGAAGACTTGCACCCGCACATTGCATGCATGCGTCACCCCGACCACATCGGTAGCCGCGGTACGCTCTTCCCCTCCTTTGCTTCCCTTCTCTGCTCATTCTCCCTTCGCAGACGATGTTGCATTCTGGTCGCACCACGAGAAGGTACTCACCACCAATCCTTCCTTTCCCCACGCTCACATTCCTGCAGCTAGTGATTGTCGACAATCATCGTGCAGCCGTCGGTGGGCTCGACCTGTGCTACGGACGCTGGGACTTGCCCGCACACCCGCTCGCGGACGTGCACCCGGCGGATCCACGTAATATCGTGTTTCCTGGCCAGGACTATAACAATGCGCGCATCCTTGACTTTAAAGACGTCAAGGATTACGTGAACAATGGACTCAGTGTGCTCGAGACGGCGAGAATGCCATGGCATGATGTGCGTATCATTGCGGAATGTCTGTTCGCAATGTATATTGATAACCTGTAGGTACACACAACATTGTGCGGTCCAGCCGTGCTTGATTTGGTGCAGCACTTCGTAGAACGGTGGAACGAAGTCAAATTGCGCAAGGTTCGTGTACTTCCTCCATCTCTCGTCTTCTGTATCTCCGACTCACGGTTCTCTGTACAGTACGAAAAGGAACAGTAAGTGTCGAGGCTTGCGACTGCATACTCATAGTCCCTGATGCCGCTCGACCTCAGCCGATACGATTGGCTCGCCTTGCCTAAAGAAGAGGAAGAAGAAGAAGAGCCACCCACTCCGGATGAGGAAAGAAGACGTGTGTATCTCCAGGCGTTTCGCCCGCTCCTGCCTTTCTTTACACCGCAGACGTGATACATCTGACCTTTCGTGTTTTCTCAGGTCATCCTCATCGTGATAAATGGCGCGAAATAGGACGGGACTTCCGGCAGCGCTTCCACGGGATCCATCGGCACGAGGTGCTCGACCAGCTTGACGACCCCAAGCTATATCCTCGCCCGCCGAACGGGACATGCCGCGTACAGGCGGTGCGAAGCGTGAGCGACTGGAGCCATGGCGTGCTGACGGAGCATAGTATTCAGAATGCCTGTGAGTGAGCGTGTGGTAGCCTCTGTCTCTCTTGAGGTGGGACGGGGGAGACAAAGCGAAGATAGCTAATGAAAGGAGAACAGACTGCCAGTTGATCATGGAGGCTTCTCACTACATCTATATCGGTGAGCATGCATAAAAATGCATTCATATATGGTGCTCAGTTTAGCTGACTCACACATCGCAGAGAATCAATTCTTGTAAGTTTCCTCCTGCCATGATTGGCAGGCTGGTTCGCCTTACAGCCTTAATGCTTTCAGCATTTCGAACACGCAGAAAGAGGGCCCGATTAAGAATCAGATTGCTGCTGCGCTTGTTGCGCGCATTCTCAGGGCTGCGCGGGAGGGAGTCAAGTTCAAGGCAAGTGCTGTTGTCGACCAGTCTTTGTATGCTTTCGTTAAGTGACATTGTTAGGTTGTCATTCTCATTCCGGAGGTCCCAGGATTCGCAGGGCCAGGTAGAAAACTGACGTTTCCCAATGTATATGTAACCGCTGATCCATCAGCTCAGTGAAGGAGGAGACGGCTATCAAGACTATCATGGCTGCACAGTACAGGACGATGAACCGTGGCGGACACAGCATCTATGAGGAGATCAGAAGGGCAGGCTTCGAGCCGTAAGTGCTGCGTCAAGAAGACTGATGTATCACTCAAATCCGCCTACAGAGAGAATTACATCCGATTTTACCACCTGAGGGCCTATGACCGCATCAATGCTCCATATAGTGCGATCTCTTCATCCTTCTATCTGCGTTCAGTACTCAATGCCAACATTCTATTTTCTCAGCATCATATTTGAGCCAGATTGAGCAGATTAGCAGCGTCAGGTTCCATCAAGCCATGGCAGCTGTCGCCCGCCTCTGGGTGGGTCCAGGAGAGGAGAAGGATGCGCCCGCGAACCTCACTGTCGTTCTCCCTACGGGCACACTCAGCGAGGAAACGTCCGCAGCGGGGCCTCCCAGACCGGAGATGAAAACGGAAACGTATCCGCTCCCGAAATCATACCAGGAGGCGCACGATATCCTGTGGCGCTGGAAGGAAGCCGCGTCGAAGCTCCGGAGCGACGAGTCAGTGGCGGACAATGTGGTGCAGCATATGCTCCATGACAAGACCAGCTTGTTGGAAGAGAAGTGGTTGGGCACCCCGGAGGAGGAGAAGGCAGCGTATGTGTCGGAGCTGCTGTATATCCATTCGAAGCTTATGATCGTGGATGATCGCCGGGTTATTGTAAGTCCTCTCCTTCGCTGTCCGTTCTGGTTCTGATCAGTGATTGCATGTAAGATCGGCTCAGCGAACATAAATGACCGAAGTCAAAAGGTACGCCGGTTGGCTTTGTGCATGTTTCGGTGCGCTCATGCCATGATGTTTTAGGGAGATGGTGATTCTGAGATCGCCCTGGTCATCGAGGACGAGGATATGATCCCTACAACAATGGACGGCAAGCCCTATATGGCAAGCCGCTTTGCTGCGTCTCTCAGGCGGAAGCTGTACCGAGGTAAGAGTCCTCATCCTCTGACTCCGGAGTTTTCGTTATCATCTGATGGGACGTAGAACACCTCGGTCTCATTGCTCCCCACTTCTGCGACGATATTGAGGAGGTTACCTCGTTCATGCGCCCAGCGCCGCATCCCAATAGCGACGAGACGTTCGACAAAGAGGACTACATGGTCGCGGATCCTCTATCGGAGGAGACTGAGAGATTGTGGAACGAGACAGCTAAGCATAATCGAGATATCTTCACTGAGATCTTCCGTCCCGTCCCGACGAACCTCACGCGGGACTGGAATGCATATTGGGTAAGTGGCTTCTTGACGACGGGTATTTGATGAATTTGACTTTCGCAATTAAAGCGGTATATTCCCAAGAACATGCCTGGCCACGTCGCCCCTGAGATTCCTATCGAGCGTGTGAAGGACCGGCTTTCGAAAGTCAGAGGCTCGCTTGTTGAATGTCCACTGGTGAGACTGTCCGATTCGATGGTCGTTCGTGTGCAGCGCTCACATTCGTATAGGACTTTTTAATCGATGAGAAAGTCTTTGTGCAAGGCGTCGATTGGAAAGGACTGAACCCGACGCTGCCTATATATATCTAGAGATATAGCGATTGAGCTTGCGCTAAATGCTGCTCAGGCAGGTTTAAGAGATCTCATTTCAAACTGTATTTGTCAAGGATGGCTGGATATAATACAAAGGGAATCTAACGGAGCAGGTACGTATCTGGGCTCGACGATTGCGTTGTGATGCGCACTCTGGTTGTGTGTTGGATGGCTTTGATGCTGCCGTTGTTCCAAATAACAGAATGTTATTTGGCTATACCATGACTGCACACTTTCCCGCTTACATAACATAGGAGGTTGTCCGATCGCCCTTTTCCGGCTCCGATGCCCCCGAGGTCCACTGCTATCCCGCAGTGCCTCCCAGGCCCCAAAAGCCAACACGCCCCCTCGAGCCAGCCGCCTAACCAGCTGCCTTGTCTGCAGCTCCTTCTGTTGGAAGTGGCCGACCGACGGCACTGTCGGTAGAACGCGCTCAACGCGTCGGGAGGGACGAGCGCCAAGCGACGGCTGAAACGCGTCGCAGGCGGTACCTGGAAACGGAGCGGGCGAGTACGGAAGGGTGGAAAAGCATATAAGTACGCACCTGTAGTACCAAGGCCCCAGTCGTTTGTGGCCTCACCAGCCTCTCACTCCCTTTGCACCCATGAGATGGGAAGGTGCCAGCTGGCTAACACCCTTGCTGCACCACGATTTCCTAGACCTTCCGCCCTAACCAGCACTCCCTGGTTCTGTCGCATTTCTATAGTGCCCTGGCTACAGGCGCTCCTCCCAATGCCCACCCTGCCATGTCCGGCCCAGCCCGCATTGCCCTGCGCATTTCGCTGCCAAACCCAGCCCAGTTGCTCTCGGAGTTTCCTGGTCTAAGCACAGCGAGAGCACAGCAAAGACGAGTCCGTTGTCCAGGGACCTCGTTGGAGTCGTTTAGATGTAGTAAACTACCGAGGTATGTACATCTTCTCGGTCCGTTATTTATTGACTAATGCCACGGTCGGACTCTATCGTACGACACGCACTCATTGCTAGGGCATGTCGCTCCGACCGTCCGACCGGCCACTTCTCCCCGCTTGCGACAAGAGCATACCTGAGTGCCGCGCGCACTCTTCTTCCAACACGCCCCCTTGATCGCCGTCGTCAAGCCGTCAGAATAGGCGAATGTGGCCGTCAGTATACGCCACCTTGGCCTTCGCACCCTTGTTGTCCGGCTTCCCTTCCTCGTCATCCGAGTCGTCCTTGCCATCATCCGACTTGGTCGGGCAGTCCTTCCGTACGTGCCCTATTCCTCCGCACTTGAAGCACTTACGCTTCTCGCCCCCCTGCAGCCGCCTTCCACTTCCCTTTCCCAGCCTTAGCCATCATGGCCACCGCATCCCGGTCATCCTCCGTATCCTTCTGGCGGGTCTCCTCGTTCAGAAGTCTCGCTGTAACATTTGCGACGGTGAGCTGTTTGGGTGGGATCGAGTCGAGCGTGACTACGAGCTGGTCGTAGTGTTCTCCAAGGCCCATGGTGAGTCCCAACACCATGTCCTCTTCTTCTACTTTGATTCCGGCATATTCCAGATCTGCGGCCATTTTCTTCACCCACCCGATCCACGCTGACATCGCCTTGTCGGGGCCCTTCACCGCCCTGTAGAAGCATCGCCGCATCGCCAGTCGGGTCGCAAACCGTACGCTCGGTGCACCTGCACCAGAGTCGCCCAGCACTCCATAGGGTCACGACTCACCAGGTGCACCAGCTGCCCTGCCGATACCCGCAGCACCATTTCCGCCCGCGCTTTCGCCATCTTGGTCGTCAAGCGCTTGGCCTTTTCCGCCTCCAGCCACACTGCTGCCTCCGTCTCCGTCGCATCCGTCGGTGGCGATGTTTCAATCGTCATCACCTCCCACAGCTCCTTCCTGATCAGCTCCGCTTCCATCCTGATCACCCACTCGCCGTAGTTGCCCTCACCCAAGAGAGGGAACTTCGTGGTTTCGGTTGTCTCGGACATGTCAGGTTGATGCCAGTTGCACAGGGAGAATGCGAGCAGACGCAGCAGAGGCCAAAGAATAAGGTATGGGGGTAGTTTATCTCGGAGTTTCTTGGTCTAAGCACAGCGAGAGCACAGCAAAGACGAGTCCGTTGTCCAGGGACCTCGTTGGAGTCGTTTAGACGTAGTAAACTACCGAGGTATGTACATCTTCTCAGTCCGTTATTTATTGACTAATGCCACGGTCGGACTCTATCGTACGACACGCACTCGTTGCTAGGGCACATCGCTCCGACCGTCCGACCGGCCACTTCTCCCCGCTTGCGACAAGAGCATACCTGAGTGCCACGCGCACTCTCCTTCCAACAGTTGCACCCACTGCCTTGCCTCAGCCCTAGCTAACCACTCCAGCCTCAGCCCCTCTTGTCCATGTGCCCCGCCCCCTGATCTGGCTCTGGCACTTTGCGTGTGGTCTTGCATCCACGTCGCCTTCTCGACACGCACAGTCTGAGGTCCCCCCAAAGGATCTTGGGTCCCTCCCGCCATGCCCCATGCTCACAATCACGCCCGGGCTAGGACAGCCCCCTCTCCCCTCCCCACTCTCCAATGGACGCTACACACCCTATCCCAGTGCCTTGTACCAGCGCCCCCTCAACCTCTGCCTCCTCCCTACACTGCCCACCATCCGCCCCTCATGCTTGCACCTTGAATGGCCCAGTGCATGGCACCATGGTGTTGGTTGCATCGAAGAAGGTCAGCCCAGGTTGACTAGATGAGAGCCCAGAGTATAATGGAGAGTCCCAGAGTATCGATGGCTCGTTTGTGTTGAACAATGGCAGCCAAGACCGGTGCCATGTCCAATAACTCATGACACCACTTGGGATTTGGGTACAAACGAGCAAGGTAATGCTACATTTACTACCTCTCTTTTAACCATGCCACTTCAGGGCAGGTGGCACAGCTCGCACACCCGGTGCTTATCCGGCTGCCATTCCTGCAGCCCCTGTACCCGGCTCCGATGCCCCCGAGGTCCACTGCTATCCCACAGTGCCTCCCAGGCCCCAAAAGCCAACATTTATCAGTTTTGCTATGACGGAATGTTTAAGAGTGCCGCATTTCCGCTCTCATACGAGCGCTTCCTAACTAAGCGCTCGCAAGGTCTGCCGCCGGTGACAGCCGGCGCTTCTCGAGTACTGAAATGCTGATGCTGAAGGTGCTAAAGTGTTAATGCGCGTGACAGTTGTGCCAGCATGTAGGCGCGCGCTTCTTTACTCTTCGGACTCCTTCAAGTACTATAGGCTCAGCCTCTGAAGTTTGGCTCCAGTATCACTCTTCCTCTTCTGCACAAGAGGAAGTGCCCTGACCTGTTTGCATGAATTGAATACTTTGGGCCGGGGGATTCGCATGTTCTAATGGTCTTCACGACATTCCAGAGGCGAAAAAGGTCACAGTTGTTCGTAATATGAACTGCAATATACTAACGGTAAGGAGTCGCTTTTCGCATCTACAAAGGGTTGATAGCACATGTATCTGATATTTTCCACGAGATGTTTGCTATGCCTCAGTGCCAGAAGGCTAGTATCAGAGCACCAAGATGCCAGAGGAGAATCGTCACCGTTAGACTAAGACAGTAAGATCTGGTAAGGCATTGGAAAGATGGTTAAGAAACTAAGCGGTGAGATACTGCATAGACACGATGGGACGTGAATCCATAGAGCCTACGTGAAGTGGAGGTCTTCATGATATGTTGCGATGCACTGGAGGCATAAGACCTGTGGCTCCTTTGCGACAAGATAAGCCTTGAACTCAATATTGGCTGCACTTTACACGGCAAATCAAGTCGAAGTTCGTGTTGAACGTAATACTGATCGATATGTCCCGGATCGCCACGGGACGCTTCATCCCTCTTTCCAGTCAGGTGGTCGTGGTTCTGCCTGCCTGTCCTGGAAGTTCACAGCCGGTGCCTTCTTATCGACGTCGACTTCTAAGAGCATCCGCTTATCTCCTCTGCCATCTACTTCGTGGTAGCTGCGACCAGGTCCCTCGCGAAGGATAGATTTTTGCTGCTATGCAGAAGAAGAAGGTCAAACCATACCCCTGCGCCTTCTGTGACAAGAAATTCAAAACAACCAGTGGTTGTGAAGATCACACCAAAGTGAAGCACCATGCAAAAGAGCGTCGGTTGCTTCAGGGCGGTGGGATGCTTCATCAGAGTAGCACGTCTCAGCAGAAAAGCACTCTCGCTGCTGGGATCCCAGTCCAAGGGACGAGCTCTTCAAGGTTCAAATGTTTTCAATGCAACAGGTCCTTCACAAGCGAGCACGAGTGGCAGCGGCACTACGGCGAGATGATCTCTCAATATTCCTGCTCTCGATGCTTCCAATCGTTTGCGGATCATTCAGCGTTGTCTACGGTATGCGATCCCGAATTTCTTGTGGTCCTAGGGTTGACACCTCTGGGATGCAAGCATATGAAGGATGTGCACCTAATTGCATACCTATCCTTCCATGAGGAACTGCAGCAGCAGTATAGGATATGCAGGGCACAGTTCACGTGCAGTGCGTGCTCCATCAGTTTCAATACACTGTCACTGTTTGAGGCGGTAAGGAGTCTTACTTTGATCAAATGATATGTGGTGCGTCTTACTGATGCGCTGTTCCCGCAATGAATAGCATCTACGCTCTTCCCATTCAAACCACGTGAACAAGAGCCAGCCGACGGCTTCAGTGTCCGGGCTGGCTTTATCTGTTGCTACCGCGTCTGTGCAAGCAGCATCGTCTTGTGGTGAGATTACGAACTATCTCATGTTTCGCGGAATGCTAAGCATGTCCATAGTACCGCAAAATCAGGAATTTTCTGGTGAAACATTTATGACTCACCCGACGCCGAGCCTCGATCTCAACAGGTGCGCTAGTAGTCAGCGTTATATCATGGGTACAGGGCTCATCAGATCGCAATTTGATGTCCACATAGCATCGATAGTCCTACTTGTCATCAATCACCGAGGTCTATGAGCATTGAAACCACGCCGCCCGATCAGAAGTCATATCAACGTTCGAGTGATACATCTTCACGATTGTCCAGCGTATCGAGTCCATCCATGACACCCAATATGCTGTCCACTGCGACTGCTATCGAATACTCCATGCTAGAGAATGGCAGCATCATTCCTGAGTTGCCCAGCGGACAACCGTCTCCTGGCTTTGCACAGCCGCCCAGCATCGCCTCTCCATCAGTTTCAGCGAATTCTCCAGAGAACACCATCACGGAGATTGACCCTCAAGCACGAATAACATCTTCGTCAATCGACGGGCACCAACCGCCTTCAATTGAAGTGATCGGTGCGGATCGGTCAACATTTAATAAGCTGCTGTTTCCAAGGTACTGACGTCGTTCTGTGACATCTTTCTTTCAGCGCTTGATCCCCACATCTCTCTTATCAGCGACGCTACGGCATCGGAGCCTGAAAGAACAGCAGATATTATGAAAAGCCCGTCTTGGCACTGCAGGAGCTGTCTGAGGGACCCGTGCGACAACCCAGCAGCGACGATGTGTGGACATATCTTCTGTCACCGGTCAGTCTAATGTTTGTCCCCGCCGCAACGTGAAGGGTATGCTGATCGACGAATGAAGATGTATCGTCAAGGAGCTAACGACGAACATGCAATGCCCAGTATGTAACAATCCGATACTATTGAGTCTACAAGTGGAATCCAGGTAGAGCTAGCTGGCGCGCGGAGCAGAGCAACGGCTTCTATGTAGGATTTTCCGAACTGTATAGTGATGAGAATTGCGTTTGGCTTGATATACTGAGATTGAACATTTGTCTACATTGACTGATCCGGGTAATTAGCAATTACCATGTCTCGCACCAGTGAATAATCCTCCCTATCCAGTCGGTATGACAACTTGTTGCAAGTTGCCACCAAATGCAGCTTGTGAAGAAATTTCTCTGCTGACTGCTTTTAGTGCCAATCGAATGGTCATGATCGCCTGCGGCTTGCGAGTCAACCTGGTCAGTCTGGATAAATTATTGTCGTCTCATTTGCTGCTGAGCATAATACCTTCACCAGGTGCCCGGTGAACCCCAACGGCAACCTCGCAAACGCTCACCACGTCCGATCTCCGATTTGAGTGTATCATTGATTGCGTCCCGGTATGCAACAATAGCGTCGACTTCGGATCGACGTATGTCGTACCTTGGCTACACGGATTTCTGCTATTCATTTACGGTGCTTCAGATACAGACCCGCGACAGTCATATGGAGTTGCTACTCCTCCAACACCAGTACATAATATCGAAAATGTCAAATGCACCAAGCCGCAAACCTGAGTACTATGCTATACTCATAAATTCCGGGCTAGGTTCCTTATAGTGTCGGCATACCGGCCATTCAGCACTACGAACTCCTCGATGGTTGATTCAACCAGTCAATTAAGCACATCTTCTGCCCATACGGAGGACTGTGATTCGGACGCGTGTGTCAGGCTTACTCCATCATCAAAGGACTCCGTTTCATCCTGGAGACCACTGTGCCTCAACCCATCGCATTCTCGATCCCGACCGGTCCATGTCTGCAAATAATATTTTGAGAGTTCCACGCTTGCCGTGTTCGGTAACACGCGTTAGACTTGACCACACCATTCCGCTGTGCGTCGGCAACTGGCAGTACTGCAGTGTCGCAGCGTCAGCACAAGCCTTCGAATGTTACGAAGGGCCTGTCATGGCATTGCAGGAGCCGCTCCTGCGACCAACCAACGGCGACGACATGTGGACGCGTATGCTGCGACCTGTGAGCGAAACTTTCTCGTTGTGATGAGCGTTGGGGCTAATTTGTTTTTGTGCAGTCGCGTTATTAATGAGCTTGCGACCAACAGGGCGGTGTTGCGTCTGCAGGAAGGTGATGTTACCGTTGAGGCAGCAGGCTGCATGTCGAGTCTAACGAGCGTAAGACATCTACGCATAAACGTGTAGATTTCTTACGCACTTTTCGGACTGTTCTATATCTTTATAGAGGTACCACCATCTGTTCGTTTCGTTTGCATTCGCTGCGTAGTCAGAATAGCTGTTAAACAACATCAATAGTGTATATGACAACGATCGAGACTCAGATCGTGACTCCGCCGACTGTGTGTGGCGCATCCCGCGCATCTGCTCCAATGTATGTACTTCACACTAATGACGGCCGGGTCGGACTCTTGGAGTCGAAGTGATTCGGAACTATGGCAGATACGTCAAACGGTCAAACACTTGTATAGTTTCCCGAACATTGGGGAAAGATTTCCCTGTGGCAGGCTTATTTCTGCACTTCAGCAGCTCAGTGGTATTATATGGATTTCATATGGTGCTGTGTATTATGAGCTCTTCAACAATAAGCCAGAAACCAGGTTATATAAGCCCATTAATATGAGAGATTCAGAGAGAACAGCGCCGTCAATGCTGCGAGGCTCAGCCACAATGACGTCGGACTTTGGATCTGAACGTGTTCGGATGCGCGAGCAATGAGTGGCGCGAAATGAGCACCTCCTAAGATCAGCTCTAGATCTGCGCATGCCAATTGCACGCTAAATCCTGGAGCCTTCTGTAATCTGTACACTAGGCGTCCTACGCTCGATATAAATTGAACGAGTCTTGTGAAAGAAGGCGTATTTCAGCAGAAGGCTATGAACCCTGCACGCGTTATAATAAAATGTCGCCTCCTCCGACCTTCGTGCCCTCGACCCTCACCTCAAACCATGCGGCTTCCATCTATCTCCTCTCGCGAGAAGTCGGATACTGAAGATGGCGAGAAGGCTGGTCAACGTCGGCTGGAATATTCTCCCAGCAGCAGGGCGAAGTGCATCGGTGCGTGACGCGTGAGGTCTCGTGGCTGTCGTCGTTCATCACTTTTATCGCGTGTCCCTAGGAACGCTGTGCAAGGGTCAGTTTCTCAAGTCACCCGGATTACTTGGATCCTGATAAGTGAATGCAGGCACTGACATTGCAAAGGGCGAGCTCAGGCTGGGAACTCTCAAAAATTACGCTGATGGGAAACTGTGGTAGTACGTCGTCTCGTAACCCGTCCGAGTTCCACCATCAATATATAAGCATCACTCTCTGCTCTGTTATCTTACGGTCCTCATACACTTGCTCACATACTCGTAGCAAATGGCGTCACTGGGGCTGTGCGACGCCGATGGTGATCAAACACCTAAAGAAATCGGTCGAAATCGCGGACGAAATCGATGGCTTCCATGAGCTGCTCCCAGAAGACCAGGAAAAGGTACAGAAAGCCTGGGCGGAAGGCAAGATTGCGGACGAAGACGTTTTCAAGCCTGCAAAGAAGCCCACTGAAGAAGAGAAAGAAGAGAAGGGTAAGGATAAGGTGAAGAAGAAGGCAAGAAAACCCAAGGAGTAGGTTACTTGTGTTGCGACTCGGAACGGTATGCGGACTGTAAACGCCACGGACAAGTTTTTATATATGCGCTGTCTTTCACGTTGCCTTCCTCCTGAGCAGCGTTGAAGCCCAATGGACCAATAATGGTTTGAATACATCTGTTAGACCTGCTCGCTCGTCGCAATTCCCGGTTCTTCAATTAGCCGGATTCTTACCTGAGGTCTATCCCTTGCTGCATTTCGCGACATATGTCGGTCTTGGGCGGTGTCTCGGTGGGCGATTCTGCAGTATCTCAGGATCAGCCAAAGTCTTCGATTGATCCGAAAGCCCCATCGTGGCAATGTAGAAGCTGCCTGAGATATGCCTGTAAGCAGCCAACGGCGGCGACGACGCGTGGACACGTGTTCTGCCATAGGTGAGCGGAACATTCTCGCTGTGACGAGCGTTGGGACTGAATTGTTTCGCGCGGCGGCATCATTTAGCAGCTTGCACGCATTGTCGTGCCTCAGGAAGGTGAAATCGTTATTGCTGAGGCTGCATGTCGAGTCTGACGAGCGCAAGACACCTACACATGAGTGAAAGTGTAGATGCCTTGCGCACTTCATGGGCTGCTCTATTTCTTTGCAAATGTGCTGCTGTCTTCTCTGTTTCCTTGGACGTCAGAGTAGCTGTGAGCAGCGTCACTGGTGTGTTCCTCGTTTCTTATGAACGAGGACTTCACCAAGGCGACTGTGCAGCAACATACCTAGACACCGCAACAAAGTCCATACTTTTTGTGGTTGTTCAGAGTCTCCAGTCGCAACTTCACGAGTACGTTCCCACAAAGCTGTCAGGTGAGTCAACTTCCCATCGCACGCGAAGCCTGGAACCTTCGAAGATACCGTAATCTGTACGCGAGGCATTGGCATTGTAGAAGCTTTGTGAAAGAAAAAGGTGCATTTCAAGCGGACTCTGAACCCTACATGCCCGCGCTTTAAGTGTCGCCTCGCCCGTCGTGTCCTCGACCTTCATCTCAAACTGTCCGGCTTCCATCTTTCTCCCTATCGCAAGATGTCAGACGCTGGGGACCACAAAAAGGCAGGTCGACGTCGGCTGGAATATGCCTCCAACGGCGGGGCAAAGTGCGTAGGTGCGTGTGGTCTCGTAGCTGCTGTCGTTCATCATGCTCATCGCATGTTCGTAGGCCGCAAGCCGTGCAAAGGTCAGTGTACCTGAAGCGACCTGGATTACTGTGATCCTGATAAGTGAGTGCAGGCACTAAGATCGGACAGGGAGAGCTTCGGTTGGGAGTTCTTATCGATTATGATAATGGAAACACGGGCTTGTAGGTCGTCTCATAACCTGTCCGAGTCTCACCATCGATCTCTCAACGTTGCTCTTTAATCTATCTATCACTTGATCGTACTCGCAGCATATGGCGCCACTGGGGCTGTGTGGCGCCGGTGTTCATCAAGAACACGAAGAGGTATTTCGAAAAGGCAGATGAAATCGAAGGCTTCAAAGATCTGCGCCCTGAAGACCAGGAGAAGGTGCGCAAAGCCTGGGCGGAAGGCAAGGTTGCGGATGAAGACATTCCCGAGTCTGCGAAGAAGCCCACAGGTGCTGCGGCGCGCGATCCTGTGGTATCTCAGGATAAGGCGAAGTCTTCGATCGCTCCGAAAGCCTCGTCATGGCACTGTAGGAGCTGCCTGAGAGATCCCTGCCACCAGCCAACGGCGACGACATGTGGACACGTTTTCTGCCATAGGTGAGCGGAACATTCTTGTTGTGGTGACTCGTGAGCTTTGAGACTGGATTGTTTTGTGCAGCTGCATTATGAAACATCTTGCGACAAACATGCAATGTCCCGTCTGCGGAAACGTGATTCTGCTGAGGCTGCAGGACCCAGGTCGAACCCGATGAACGCGAGGCATCTACATTGAGTACAGAGGAACGACTGTTCTCCTCTACGAAGGCTGATTTATGAGCTTGAATCTACCCATGAACACAGTCGAAAGTGCAGATCCTTGCACACTTCTCGGACTGCTCTATCTCTTTGTATCAGTAGATGTACTACTGTCCTCTTTGTTTCATTTCTTGTAAGTCAGAGTAGCTGTGAGCAACATCATTAGTGTGTTCCGCATTTTTAACAAGCGAGGACTTCTCCAAGGCGACTGTACAGCAACTGGTAGTGGTGGTGTTCACTGACACAAGTAGCAGCATCTTGCGTGCACGGGGAGGATTGTTAATTATAAGTAATTGTGGTATATTCATGTCATCTATTGTAGACTTCTCCTACGCTTAGGGTGGCTAATATTTTAAGATAGCGAGGCGTAACGCTGGCGACCCGACATGGCAAGAACATTTCCTTTCTGGTCGGTTTGTAGTCAGTTTGTAAAATTCGTCATCTGTAACGTGGCTACGTCACTGAACCAGCGAATCTGACATCCATCCTTCGTTAACACATGCAATAGCAACTGTTTCCTCCATATGTATATATAAATGGGTCTGTGGGCCTATCCCTGTTCTCTCCTGGTTCATTCTCCAGACAACCCTCGACACTCAAATGGCGAAAGTCCGAACTTACCGTTAGTTGGTCTGCGTGCATTTTTCTCGTCAATGAAGTCGAAGCTGAAGCTTGAGCTTGAAACTTGAAATTCTTCAAGGCTCACTCAAGTCTGCTCAAGTGCAAGTCGTCATATATTCGGGGCAGTTCCGGCCGGCATCTGCGCTGACATGACAAGGCATTTCAGGGTATTCCGGCTGCAGCACTTGAGTCGGACTGTCGGTCCGTTGTCGCGGTCCAGGACTACGAGTTTCGATCGTCCATGTCCTATAAAAGATGCCCGACAACCTCAGAGCTAAGTACTCCTGAACAAAATAGTCAGCACAACGGCCTTGGACTCTACGCTAGGGCATACGCGTGGGTGAGCGCCTTCGCTCTCCGTCTTGTGCATTATAATCCGATTGCGACGTCATAGAGATCGTCAATGTAGAATATATAACCGAGACGAGCGCACGATGGGATCTCAATATTCAATCCACATCATCATCACGTGTCGCTGTGCCTATCTGCGCTGCGATCGTTGTTACGGGAGATTTTCTCGGTTTTGACCTGCTCAGGTACGTACGCGGTACTTACTGTGGCACCGAGTCGCAAGCAGGGCATCAGCGGACGACAGATCCTCGTCATGTCGCATTCAACAACCTGCAGCCTCAGTTCCGCTTCATCGCCGTTTGGACTACGGTATCAATGAGAAGACCTCTTGGCTTACGCTTGCGTCCGCTCGTACATTCTGACGGAAGGCTGAGGCGACGGGCCGCAAAGCAATTCAGTCGGCAGCTCATATACCCCTTCTCGGCAACTCGGCATCCACATACCAGCATCGGCCGCTTCACCCTTCGCCCTTCGTTAAAAGGCACGCGCGCTACCGACGCCGTCCCGCGCAAGTTGGCGTTCTTTACGACTCGAACGCACTTCCCATCGTCGCGGAGGGTTGTAGTTCGCTCGCCCCAGGCATGCTAGCACTCCTTCACCTCCTTCGCGCGGTCGCCTTTGTTGGCGTTGCTGCCACCCCTGCGATTGCGGGTATTAGCCACTCGCACCTCAAGGACGAGCTTGTGAAACTAAACAAGACTGTCGGAGGGCGACTGTACAGGGCTGTGCCCTTTGAGCTTCCGTGCTTTGCGGAGTACAATGGCAAGGCAGTCGAGAGGGACGACGACCTGTGCGAGGCCATCCAGGAGAACTATACGGATCCCATATTCAGGGTCAATTACTTTGGCGCATATATGATGGTGAGTTGCCGTGTTAGTACAATAGATGCACGAACGCTGATAGTCTTGCGATGGGGCAGCCGCAATGGGAGACATGCCAGGTGGCGAACAACAGCGGGTGTCTGCTCGATTACAGCGACCCATCTGACCCACTCGCGTACGAGGATGTGGACTGCGAGCTCGGCAACATTCCGCCGTACTACGTAAGTGCCATTCAGATTGATCGTGATTGTGATGATCCTCAAAATCAACCGATACTAAGATCGACGTGCAATCAGCCAAGGACGTACAGGCGGCGCTCACGTTCTCGCGATTGACCGGTGTGCGGCTCTCGGTGAAGAACAAAGGACACGACTACAAGGGCCGCTCGAGCGGGAAGGGTACATTGGCGCTCTGGGTATGTCGCATATCCTTCTTTCTTTCGATTAGGAGCACAATTGACTTAGATTATTCGAATAGGTCACCAACTTGAACTCAGTACGTTCCATAGTAGACTTGCCACTCTTAGCGTGTGCGCGAAGTCTTACTTGAAGCATCCGCGCGCCCTCAGATCAGCTACAACCCGTCGTTCGTCCCTGAAGGCTGCGCTGCTAGCACCACTTATGATGCGCTAACGATCGGTGTGCGTGTCTTCCCCGATTTCACCCAGATAGCATTGCTCACCTTCTGAATCCGCGTGCCGCATTTCTCTTGTCCACCACAGCCGGGTGCCATCGCCGAGTCAGTCCTGCAGTATGCTGACAGCATAAACCGCACGTTCATCGCCGGGTACCACCAGACCGTTGGCACTGGTGGTGGCTACACCCTGGTGCGCATTTATCCAATGGTTTGGAGAATCGCAGCACGGGAAGCCGATCTGTTGTGTTTTTAGGGGGGTGGCCATAGTGTGCTCTCGCCTGTATACGGGCTTGCAGTTGACCGAGTGGTAAGTTGGGCGCCTTTCCCGTCATTTAATGTTTTGCATCATTCACTCCAACCTTCCGGCAGAGGCAAATGAAAGTCGTCACCCCGTCCGGCCAGTTCCTTGTTGCCAATGAATGCCAAAACTCGGATCTCTTCTGGGCGCTCCGTGGCGGAGGCGGCAGCGCGTTCGGCGTTGTGATAGAGAATACTCACGAGCTTGCGCCGAGGATGACGCTTCAGGTGTATGTTTGTCCTCCCGGCTTGCTACACAGCCGCACGTCTCTCACCCTCCACGCAGCGCATACGTTACCTTCACCTCTTCCAACGTTACTGTACTCGCAGAGTGGTATGACCTCCTCGTGAACAACACTTACCACTGGGGTCTCGAGGGTTGGGGCGGGCACATCCAAGGCCCGAAAATGATCTATGTCAACCCGCTTCTCTCGAATGCCGAGGCGAACAGCAGCATGGCAGAGGTGGCGGAGTTTGCTGTGGCATTGGGAGGCGAGGCGATCGTCGAGGAATTGGACAGCTACCTAGCATTCTTTAGCAAGTATGTGACGGCGGCGGAGGCGGTGAGCGGAGTTTTGTTAAACCTTTGCATGCATTGATGTCGCTGACGTGCGTGCATGCTCATTCAGGCGGTTGCTACGGAGATCACGCTCGGCACGCGATTGCTCACGACAGATCTTTTCGACTCTGAGGAAGGCCGTGCGACGCTCTCAAAGGTCATCACGGATGTTCTTCCGTTCGCCAGCCCGTATGTCGTGGTCAGCACCCCGTTCCTGTATAACTATACTGCGAATACGACGAGCGTCACTCCAGCATGGCGCGACTCGTTGTGGCATGTGCGTCGCTCGTCGTTCTCGGTGCTGATCCCATGATGCTGATAAGTTGTGTGCCTTCAATGTTAGCTCTCGGTCCACAGTACTTGGGCGTGGAACAGCACCACGAACGATACCGCGACCCAATACCTCGAAGTGAGCGAGCATACCCAGAAGTTCCGGGACATCACCCCTGGAAGCGGCGCATACTTCGTGAGTAGTACTTTCCCAGTGTCATCTTGGCCGGGACACACGTTGATGCCTATTTGGCTCCACAGAATGAAGGCGATGTATACGAGCCGAACCATACGTACTCGTACTGGGGTGACAACTATCCGCGCTTATTAGAGGTTAAGAAGAAATAGTAAGCCCATGGCCTGCGTACGCATATCATACGTTCCGTTGCTCACGAAGGATGACCGTTGCAGCGATCCCGAGAGCCTGCTTGACTGCTGGCAATGTGGTACGTTCTCAGTCTCCCAAGTCTCGAGAGACTTCTCCCAAGCTGAACCTATTCGTCTTTTTCCTGCAGTTGGATGGAAAGGCCCGGAGGACCCCCTTTACCAGTGTTACATCTGGCTTCCTCAGTGATGATGACGGCCTTAGCTGCTGTCTGATGACGCACTGGGAATCTTTGTCGTGGCTGCACGCTGCGCGGAGATCTATACCATATACCAGAGAATCCGCGGGGAGTACTAGTTGAGGGCTTCATGAGAGATTCGAGAGATTGAGGAGAAGCGTAATGGGGTTGTCTATAGCAAATTGCATTTATAATGTCCATATAGTTCGCATATATTCTGCTAGCGGAGAGGTTTATGTGACAATTGTAATGTCCCATTGCGAAGTATCGGAGCGAACTGTTGGGATGCGCAACGCGTTAGCATTCGATGCACAAACCCCTTTGTGTTTAGTGTCGTGTGTTGTCGATGTCGTGTCCTGTCGTGTCGCGTCGTATATATGTGCCACGTGATCGCGTTTACTTAAGGTGCCTGGTGAGCATGCCTGGGCGGCGCTGTTGCAGCATCCTTACACTCCTGTTGTTATAGACTCTTCCCTTCCTCTCCTCTCTTCCTGGCGTCTTAGGTTCGAGAGACATAGCATATATCAACTCAACATATAGACGAGAAGAACTAGATCTGGAAGCAAGCGATGCTCATTCAGGAACGAGACGACTCTGGCCGTCTCACTGCAGCATATGCGATCGATATTCCTGTCTCAGAGCCCAAGGGACCTCTCAACGAGGCAGGTTGCACTTTCTTTCATCTTGTCAACGGATTGCTGATAGTGTAACGTTTCTCTGCAGAATGCACACGCAGACACAGACATAGAGCCGTCGATGAGCAGCTCAAACGTCTCGGTGAGGGTTGGGCGGCAGCGGACTGATTGGCGCAGGTTCTTCAGCAACGTGTTCTTACCTGCAGGATACCCCGCGAGTGTCTCTCCAGGTGCGTTTGCTATCATGTAAGGAGACTTGGATTTGTGACTGACGACGCGATGACTTTACCTGTGCAGATTACCTCCAGTAGGAGCTCGTCTTCATCATTTATATGCTACCGCTGACCATATTGGTGATCTCGCGTATATAAACGTGTTATAATATTCTCTAGATACCAGATATACAATGCGCTGCAGGCGTTCTGCAGCTCTCTTGCAGGACTGATCGCGTCGAGAGCGGTGCTCATCGGTACGTTTCTTGCCAAGCTTTGCGCGTGCTCGGTGCAAAGACGGCGGTGTTGACGTACTTCGACAGGCTTTGGCGTTGGGAATGCGAACGCCTCAGCCACACATGCTATCTTCCTCACCGCGCTGCAGGATGTCTTCTTCCGGCTGACCAGTCAGTGATACCTCCACGTCACCCAGTCGCTACTCACGCGGCACGTCCGCCTCGTCCCTCTGCAGCAATCGTTTCCGCGTATGCTCTCGGAACCTCGCTCTTTCCCGAGGCCAAGACCTACCGATTGCTTGCCGATGTGTTCAACGACGCTGCGATCCTGCTCGACACGCTCTCCCCGCACCTCGGCTCGCTTTGTGTCATCTATCACGTCCCGTTCCTTGCGTCGTGCTCGGGCTCTCCGGTACGCGTGGCGGCGCTCTGCGGGAGTTCGGCGTTCCGTGCGCTGTGTGGTGTTGTGGCTGGAGGGTCAAAGGCGGCGTTGACTGTGCATTTCGCTGAGGGTGGTAGTGGGACTGTGAAGGGAGATGTTGGTGATCTCAATGCGAAGGATGGTAGCAAGGAGACGGTGCTCGCTCTTCTGGGTATGCTGGTGAGTTCGGCTTCTAATCATGAATTTCACAAAGCGGTCGTCTGACTGGTCATTTTGCGCGAATTCGTCCATAGTGTGGAACGTTTGTGATGCATTATGTACACAGCACCCTTGCGACGTATGGAGTACTTCTCACACTACTTTCCTTCCATCTCCTTGGAAATTACATCGCCGTCAGAGTGGTCATTTTCCGGACGCTCAACCGTCAGCGAGCCAGCATCCTCTGGATGACATATCGCGCCAGGTCGAGGGAACAAGGTACATTTCACGAATCCGGTCGGGCCTCAATGCTCAGTCGAACGATCATATAGGCGGGAATGCGGTCAATGTTCCCGTTCTTTCTCCAGAGGTCGTCGCCTCCCATGAGCGCATATTCACCGACCCCTCGGTGATACGTGACACCAGCTCATCGTCTAGGCCACGTCTCGCGAAATGCCATCTCGGCGCATCTTTCGCCTCTCTCACCGGGATGTCCGGTCTGTCATTCGCCCTACCCTTCTTCGCCTCGCCCATCAACAACAAACAAGCCCAACTCCGCCTCTCCGCCGCGGACCTGGAGAGCATCCTCTCCATCTTCTCCTCTGAGGCCTACCTTCTCTGGCCAAGCCCACACGCCCACGTGCTCCCGCACATCCACGTCTGCATGAAGGCCGGCCACACACCACTCGACACGCTCAAGGCGTGGACGCACGCGCACGAAACCGCGCGGCTCCTTGCAGGGCGCACGCCGCGTTCGTTCGACGTCGCACTTGCGGCGGTGCAGACGGCGCTGCACGCCGTGGATGCGGACTTCTCAACGTTCGTGGAGAAGGCACGAGTGGCGGGTTGGCAGGTAGACGAGGTCGGTCTCGTCGTGGGCGCGCTGGGGTCGGTGGCCGTTGATGAGGGCTTGGTGGGCGTGGATGTGGGCGTGGATGCTGGGCATGCGGTGGGTTGGGAGGAGCGGAAGAACCAGTAAACGGCGGAGGGGCGGCCTGCTGCCGCCGCTATCATCGCGCTGTGGGGTATTTGGGTTGTAAGGGTGTACGTCTGGGGTGTTCTAGATCTAATGTGCCGACATCATCCGTATAGGGGCCACTTCTCGTTTGGAAAGGAGCGAATGAAACGCTGATGAGGAAGTCCGAAGTCACCAGCTGGCGAAGTTGTGCGATGCAGAGCCCGCCTTCTACGATACGACATTGCTCAAATGGGTAATTTGGGAACTGATGATCAAGACCATGCGCTTTATCAACCCAAAAAATTACAATTCATAGTGCACGGACAGACGTCTACACATCACAAATGAACGATAACATAACACCATATTGGTGCAATGACACAATCCTCCTCGATCTCAGTCTTCGGTGTGGTGGCGCATCTTTTTCACCTTCTTCGCGAGCCCGAAGAACCGCCCGCGTGCGGCCTTGGCCTCGAGGCGCAGGCGCTCCTCGTGTTCTATTTCCGCCTCCGAGATGTGTCCGCCGAGCGCGTACCACACCACCGTGGCCATGCCGAGCACTGCCGTGAAGACACATCTGCATGAGAGGGAAGGACGCACCGATGATCAGCGAACATGACATTACAGGTGGAAGGGATTGCTTACCCGAACATGGCACCGATACCTCTCGGATGCCAGCCGTTGTTCTGAATGAATGGGCCGGTCGTCAGCCCGCTGAGGTCAGTTGCAGACGCGTGCCCTGCGGCGTTGCCCGAGTACGGCTTGCCCAGTGTGGCACACTGGTCGTTCATGCTCGATGGCATGCTGTTGCGCTCCTGCGCGATGAGCGGGGCCTCGATGATCTCCACCGCAAGACCGACTTCCAAATGCCACTCGATGTGACCTGCGGATGGGCTTGAGATCAGCATGCTTGTACGGTGATAACAGGTGCAGGATGAAACGCACAGTGGAAAAACCAGGCGCCAGGGTTGTCGGCGATGAAGCGGAGAGTGTAGGCAGCGCCGGAGGGGATGATCACGGTATCGCGGCGCATCGGGTTCACCTGCGACTCGTTGATGGGCGGTGGGTTCGTATAATCTGGCGCGTAATTCACCAGCTGCATCGTGTGCCCGTGCAAGTGGCTGTATGCGTGCACACGGTTAGCCGAGCTTGTGGACACGCACACGATGGGAGTGAGGTACGTACAAGGGATGCATGTTCGAATCGCCATTCATGAGGACGATGTCGACGACGTCAAGGTGGTCGACGACGAAGCAGTTCGGGCCGTACGCCTCCTGGGCGGTCGCATTCTCGCCGAGTGTGAGCATGGACATGATTGAGGGCACGTTTGGCGAGTTGTACGTCGTGAAATTGACCGTCGCGTGGTTTGTGCCGTCATCCATCGTGTCGAACTCAAAGTAGAGCGGGATCGTCTTCGTTGCAGGGACAATGCCAATCGGGTCGTAAGGGACGAGCAGCGTGTCGTTCGTCAACAGGTACCCGTCCACCGTGTTCTCTACAACGTCTGCTGATGAGGACGTGTTATAGACGATATACGAAGTCGCATCTGTGCATGCAAGTGTATGAGAGGAGGGCACATGTGAGCGAAGGGGTCCGTCACTCACTCGGGTTCAGAGTGTCGGGCACGGTGTCGAACATACTCGTATCAAAGTTCGCATGGATGGCGTAGTTGGCCGTCGTGTCATTGAGCGCGGTGACCAGGATGGAGTAGCGCTGCGCCACGCCCAAATTAATTTGGTCGATCTCGTACTCCTCGGTGTCTGTCTGATAAATTGCCGAAGCGTTGGCCGCCATCATTTCACAACACTGATAAACAACAACGCACCCCATCCGCTTCGATGATGCGCATCTGATGCCCGTCGATCCAGAAGAAGAAGCCTGCGAAGCCACCGTTGTTCACCACCCGCAAACGGTAAGTCTTTCCTGCCTGTTGACGTGCACGTCGGCATTGATGCTTCGACAAACAGAACTCGCAATGGACACACCTCAAACGATAGCGTCGCGTTCTCGTTGAAGCCCACCGATGCCGTTGTGGGATACGGGTTTGAGCCAGCTTTAGGCGGCACATATTCGCCTGTTTGCGTCTTGAGAAAATACATCAGCGGTGCGTCTACTCATCAGGGCGTTCGCGATCAGCACTCTACAAAATCACACAGCGCGGGTCAGGCACGCACCGGGCACAGGCTCTGCGCCACCAGGGTTGGAGATGCTGATAAACTCGGTAAGGAGATTGGCTTGCTGGTCATGGTACCAGTCGGCGATAACGATGGTGTAGTCCTCGTCGTAATCATACTTCTCCTCTTCGGGATTAATAACGAAGGTAGAGCGCAGACCGTCGACGTATTGGCCCTGTGAGGTTGGCGGTAAGCGTACACGCTACGGCAATGACTAGGAGGACGGTACTAACCCCGGCGTGCGAATGCACCCAGTACGTTCCTGACTGCCCAGACGTGTTGATGGGCACGACGTAGGTGAAGTCCTCGCCGGGAGGAATACCGCTAATGTGACAATGTGTTAGTCCGTGTTTTGGGTGGGCGATCAAGACGATGGGCTGGACTTACCACTGGCCGACTTGCTGGGCACCGTCCATCCAGGATGTCGAGTTGAAGAACATCCCATGATGGTGCAGCGTCGCGGGCTGGTCGAGACTATTGTGGGCATGCACGACGAGAGAGTCGGTCGAGTTGACCGCGTAGGCTGGTAGGCTGTCAAAGCGGCGAGTGAGTATGTTAAGAAACGCGAGTGCGGGAGGTTCACTTACGGCCACGAGCCGTTGACACCAATGACCCGACGCGGGTAGAGGCCATCGGGGTTGATGTCCTCAACGTACGTGATATTCCACCACATCTCGTGGATGCCCGCGAGGGCGGGGGCGGCAGCGGCGATGAGGGCGAATGCAGACCACATCATCTCGTCCTATCCTTGTCTCTTGCTGGCCAGCAGGTGCTGGGGTGGGCGATGGCTGGCGAGGAGGGAGAGAGCAGCGGTTCTATGAGACGGTTTGAGGAGGGCGAAATTGGCTCAAGTGGACCGAATGCCCGCTCAGTTTTCAGGGTGCGGCAGCGATGGTCGGAGTCGCACGGGGAGAAGGGCGGTAGGGTGCCTCTCGACGAAGGAGCAGCGAGGGACACTGGCAAGGGAAGTTTTATCTGATAAGGCCGAGATGATCGAGGATCTCGATGGTTCTTGCTGATAATCAAACCCCAAAACGGCGGATTGGGAATGGCTGGATGTGGCTACGCACCCTCTTGGCTGATGCAGAAGTCTGTGCGCGCTCTTCTCCGCCCACTCACCTCCGCTGGATTGCTCGACTTCGCGATGGAGGCAGTACACGTCCTGGTCAGCAGGGTGCAAGTGCAAAATCGGCCTGCGCTGGGAGGAATACCAGCGCGTCTTTAAGCGAGATGCCCAGCAATTTGAGTGTGCCAAGCACAGGCATGACGTTCTCGCAAGGCCGCGATCCATCGGATGCTATCATATCAGATAAGATATTTTGCCGTCGGCCCTGATTGCGAAAATTATCAGATAGTCCGCATTCTGCCCCGACCATTCATATACTCCATCCACCATGCCAGGGCACTCCGGCCTTGCCCTGTCGCGTTCAGCCCTCCCGTGTCGCGTCCCACGCACCACTCACCGCCCGACGTCCTACATCGTGCCGTAACACACCATGGGCAAGAGCGTCTTCTCCGTGCCTATCTTCTTCATCGTCTTTCGTGAGACCCTCGAGGCGGCCATCATCGTCTCCGTCCTGCTCGGTCTCGTCGAGCAGATCGTGAAGGAGAGCGACGGAACGGCGCTGGGCTTGACGGAACACAATGCGCAGGAGGAGTTGGGCGATGCAGAGCACGAAGCGAAGCCACATTCTGACACGGCTTCATCGACACAGCACGGCGATGAATCTGCACCTGAGCTCCTGGACGAAAGCGACCGCGAGCTCGTGATGAAGCGGCTGATGCGCAAGATGCGGCTGCAGATATTTTTTGGTTCTCTTCTCGGCTTGATCATTGCAGCTGCTATCGGTGCTGCTTTCATCGCCATCTGGTTCACCCAAGCGTCCAATTTGTGGGCAAGTACAGAGGAGCTGTGGGAAGGTGAGAAGACGCGTGCTACCGCCGCAAAAAGCACTCCGCTCACCGGTGCTGCCTGCAGGAATTTTCTCGGTCATCGCATCGCTCATCATCTTCGTTATGGGTGTTACCATGCTCAAGATGGACCGCGCAAAGGCAAAGTGGCGCATCAAGCTACTCAACGCCTTCTCCGGAAAGCGTGCGTTTGCCATTATGGCTAACCGGGAGATTGTCTGGCAGCTGACTTGCCACTTCTTCATTTCAGGCGTGGACAGATCGACTCGTGCCGGCCGCTGGGTACTGTTCATCCTGCCGCTTATCACCGTCTTGCGTGAGGGCATGGAAGCTGTCGTCTTCGTCGGTGGTGTGTCGCTCGGACAGAGTGCCACCGCGATTCCGATCGCTGCTATCGTCGGCTTCATCTGCGGCTGCATCTGTGGATACCTCATTTATGCCTTTGCCAGTCGCACGAGTGAGTTTCTAGCATTCAGCGTGTTGGAAACGCGTGATTGAACTTGCGCCTTCCCAGCATTGACGATATTTATGGTTGTGATGACGAACTTCATTCTCCTCATCGGTGCCGGACTGTTCAGCAGGGGTGTCTGGGACTTTCAGGAGCAGCACTTTGACAACATGTATGCACGTCCTCCAAGATATTTTTGCTCTCGCTGACAGCTGTCCTTCTTTCTCTTCATAGCGTCGGTGCAGATGTCGACGACACAGGAGGCGATGGCCCGGGATCGTTCGATGTTCAAGGAAATGTCTGGCATCTCGACTGCTGTAACCCCGAGAATAACTTGGACAGTGACGGCTGGTCAATTTTTAACGCCATCTTCGGCTGGACGAATAGTGCGACGATTGGCAGCATCCTCTCCTATGTGTTCTACTGGCTCGCCGTGATTGTCGTGCTCATTTACCTCAAGTTCAAGGAGGTCTGTATTTTGTTTACCGGATTCTTCGCGGGAGAATTCTAACGTATGATGTTTCGCTGTTTCTAGGGTCGCACGAAGCTGTTGGGCAAGGAAAGTGCTGCAGGCGTGCGTCGCCGGGAACGTCAGGAAAGGCTCGCGCTCGAGGCAAATGACGAGAAGGCCAGCAAGCCGGAGGAGGAAGTCATCGCATGAGGACCGCAACGGTAGACATGTGCGTTGCGCGTGTGCACGCATATTGCAGACGCTGTTCTTTTCGCCCTTTCAGCTTTCTGATGTGTTTCTTTTCGTACACTTCTTGTTATGGCCAAAATGTACTGTTGAAACGGTCACGTCTCAGAAGGGGCCCGTTTTGTAAGATAGTTGCTAGGATCAATCAATGGCGTGAATGGTTCAAGCTTGTACGTGCATACGATGTGCCTGGTCTACATAGTCAGCCTGTCAAATCGCGACGCCAAGAACGTTCTCACCAGAGTTCGATGGAAGGGAATCCTCACTCAGCATAGCGTCCTGTTGCGCGGATCCGAGGAGCTATTTTCGGGTGGAATGGCCATGTCTTGGCGTAGCCCCTCGCGTGCAGCACAGTTTACAACCATGTGATCATCACCGGCGACCTTATGGGCAGACCCGAACACCACAGCGCACATGTCTCCGCGCTCGGCTCGTGCGACAGAGCTTTCCAGCAGGAGCAGGCCGTTGCAACCTCGCAGCCGAATGTTGGCCGTATTCGTCGGACGGACCTCCGACGCACAATCGGACATCGCACAGGAAACGTCTCCACCGTCTGTGACGCTATGCCCGAATCGCCGCAGTGCGTCGAGGTCGCCTGTGCCGTCCGTCCACACCAAACAGTGCTTGGAAGCAGCCGTTCGCAGACATGGGGATGAGCGCCCGTGGGCACGGTTAAACATGATACCGTCAGCGTTAGCACGATGGGGATAGGAGCGCATCATGAGCCTGGTCGCGACCAGATTATGCTTGGAGGTCCCCTTGATGGGAGGGTGTGGGGCAGTCGGACGTTGCCTAGCCTGATGGCGTTTGTCAAATCAGATAGATGGACTGCTCGAATCGTTTTGCGAGCGACCGGGAGCTGGTGCAATAGAGCACGCTCAGAGCACGGGTGAGAACGATCCTCGGCTGACCATGTGGATCGAACCACGTCAACTGGCACGTAGATGGGATCGTCGCGGGATGAGAGGAGGGCAGCGCGTGACGTCGCAGCCGTGACCGGCATCTGGGCGGTGCCTAATCAGATAAGATATCCAGGGTGGGACGATATGATCACACTGGTCTCTCCCACCAAGCTCAATGAACGCTTCCGACACCAGGAACACGCATAAATGCGCACTCTACTGCACGCCGTTGAGGCATACCGGCAGCTGGCCCCAATAGAGCGGTAACAGGCTGGATTATCGCGAAGAATAGGATTTCTCCGCCGCACTAGGATCGCATGTGTAACACTCCATCGGCTGGTTGCCGGTTCTTGTCTTAGGTGCACCAGGAACGTACGGCCACCCGCGCTGACACACGGACACGCGCATGTGGACTGCAGAGCAGCGAGCGGAACATCGTCCACCGCTAGATGGACAAATACAGATACCCTCGGCAGATTTGCTGTTGGTACGGAAGAAGGCATGCTGTGGAGGCTTTGCGGCTGGGTTGTTGGAGGAAAAGGGGTCATATGGTTTCCGCTGCGGCAGCCGCCAACGCCAGTCTGACATTCGTCCTGGTAAAAATTTCTGACCGACCACCAATTCATGGCGCGATCTCTGCGCCAATTTTCCAACTGACGTCGTGGCACTGCGAGAGAACAGTGGTCGACATTTATGCAATGCGGTCAATAGATTGTGAAATCCAGAAAGCACGGGGACTATGTCGATTCCGAGACAAGCCCAGACTGTCAGACGCAGTGTGTGGTGGACTGCCGAAGTCGATATTTCAACGCGATGTAATAGCGTTCGACGTATGGAAGGTATCGGCGAGACTGTTTCCGCACTCTGGGCCATCTGATCGTGTGGACACAACGATGAGCTCCGCTATGATTTGACAATTCGGAGCCCGGATTGTTCTTGAGTCAAAGATCCGCACATTTGTCTCAGCCGGCACAGACGGTGAAAAGGCACTTATGCCTAAATGAGCGAAAGGCACCATGGCATTTTTCTCGCCTTGCAGGTTGCTCCGTTGCACGCGGACGGGTCCAAGTTGTGGCCGGAACTTTTTATTCGTAGATGCTGCAAGCCTAGGGTGTTGATAACGAATCGAATCTCCACGAAAATTGTCGACACCAAGCATCGGAAATCTAGGCGCGAGGCGGACTGATGACGACAACGCAAAGTCGAGAAGGGAAGCAGGTATGGACAATTTGACAGATACACCAATGTTGTTGTGAGTGGTCGAGAGCAGAATCCCCAAGTGCACCATGATGCCGCTCAATTTTGCGATTCAAACGTGTTCCTATGCGATCACAAGGTGGTTGCAAAGGGACTAGCGACTGCCGTCAATGTACGCGTCCATTCACCATGCTTCATCACGGGCGAATGCACCGAATTTTAACGCGTGCGGATGGTGGAGAACTAGACAAGTCCATGAATCTAATTCGAAGTCGAGGGAGGTGCCTTGAGAGGACAGAATTGAGGTGTGACACGACTGAAAAAAGTCGATGGCCAATACCCCCCGCGAAATAACAATGCTGCGCCTTCATGTATACATGCTTCCTAGTCGCAGGCCATCCGTTTAGTGTTATGAAAGATAATTGTCCTATGGGAGCTGCTAGCATCACATGGACCGGCTGACCGGCTGCATACGGAGAGGGCTGATTGGAATGATGCTGAAATGGACTAGCTATGACGTGAGTCAGCAAAAAAGCACAGGAATGATGGCAAAACCTACGCCTGACCCAGCCTCGCAGAGCGCACTCCAGTGCAACAAATTGAAATCATGCGTAGACCAGTTGGAATTGGAGGCAATAGGATATCAAAAAGCATTACGAAGCTTTGTTTTTCGTGGCTGAGGTTGATTTGAATTTAGTTTGACAAGCCAAGAAGACGCCATTGGGCACCTGCGGCCCAGAAGCAAGGCTAAGCTGTGCGGATCCAATTCGAACCTTTGGCGCGGCGAAGGAGATTTACGACGTATGTCTAGAGCATGTGGGATGGAATGAAGAAAATGTATCGCGATTTTGCTTCAGTGTTCACGTTTCTCCGCCATGAATGCGGCTGGGGCTTTGTGAAAAGTCGATATTGCGTGGGTTGAAGGCATCGACCCCACTCTACCGAGAGATCCTTTAAGTTGCATACAGTCTGCGAGCACGGACGGCAAAGATGAAGAAAGAAAGACGCACAATGACCGGAGCTGAGTGACAACATCAGACAGTATGATTGCTCATGCGGAAATCAGGAGAAGTCGGACTATCGTAGCAAACATCGCATTTAGGACTTAAAAACTAGATGGAAGATGGTCTTCGATCACGACGATCAGACAACAGACAGTTCTTCATTTTTTAGATGATGTAGGGCTTACTATCAATGATGCTGATCATAAATGCCACTGGAGGGATGCTCTGCATCGAACTAGCTCTGAGCATCGAAAATTCTTGCAGTTGCGATCACATTGTCGGGTACCATAACCTGAGGAAGTAAATCTGGTCTGAGCGATTGAGACACAACTAGGCCACACTCCATCGACTCACTGTCTCAAGGATCTAGGACGGCGGCATCGCATATCTCCAAACCAGGCCTATAGACACTGGAGAGCTAGCCAGTGATGGCACCTATCCATTTAAACACATGCTGTTTTAATCAATGAGCTCTCGAGGTAAAAATGCACGCCATAGTAGTACATGGACAGTTACTCGCCATCCACCACATTATTCCGACGATACCATGCTTCTCGGGCATTTTAGCGATAGAATCATCATGAATTTGATTGATCTAAATTCCATCCAAAAGATAATAGCCGACGAGTACGTGCCACATTGTGCAAACATTAGTTGCTTGTCATTTGTTCCTGCACCACCCATCGGAGGAATGGCTGCCAGCGCTCTTCCCAGAGTGCGAGGGCGTGTACCTTCTCTGCATCGTCTAGAGACGAGTACTAACATGTAACGTCTTCAGAAATGCGTCTTCTTGTGGAGAATAAAGTCAGTTGCACCTTAATACTGTCACGAGCGAACTCGCCAAGGGTCATTAACCCGGTGACCTCACTCGCAACCAGTACCTATCAAGGCGCAGCTAATCAGGTTATCAATGTCAACGAGATGAAGACGAGATGGTTGACCTGGAAGAAGTCGAACGATAATCCCATGTTTCCGAAGATCGCAGGATCGTCAGAACACAAGGCGACGTGCACGCCGTGGTTCACGAGTATCGGTAGCGGATGTGTGGGCATGGACGATGTCAGACGCTGTGGATCACTCCAGGTCAGCACACAAGCTGCGAGCAGATGCAACATCCACAAAGACCGTACCAGAATCTCATTGCTGGACGATGTGCACGGCACAATTGTCAAAACAAAGAAGCTATGAAACCCGACAAGTCACTTACGAGATAGGACACACTTCCACGGCAATATCCCTCTCCTTGCAAATATCCATGAGCTTGGGGTGCTTAACAAGTGAAAACCTGCGGCATTCATCAGATGAGATATCGTATGTAGCAATGCGAGTTACCCATGTCCAATCCGTTTGGTACCAAGGAGAATAGCATCGTACAAGTTCATATCTGGTGCATTGCCGTCACCGAGCGTCTCGCCTGCATGCAAGATGAAAGGCACGTCAATCCCGAGTTCCTTTTGGCGTTCGACAAATCTAGTGAGAGGCTCGATATAGTCTATGAGCGGACGCAAGGAGTCCTCGTGACCGACGAGGTCGAAGCCTGTCGATAAGCCGAATTATAAGACGACACTGTTGCTAGAATGCGACAGATGCAACATACCTGCAAGTAGATGGGGAAACTCCTTCTTCAGCTGTAGACAGTCTTCAAGGTACCATTCGAGATCCTCCGGCGCGACGAGCCGCACCGTGGTATATATGATCTTCGCTGGCAGTCAGCGGCAAACGGACGGTTTTGTACCATAAAGCCCAACTATACCTTGGCACCGGTGAACTCGTTCTCCCGTCCTTGTTGTCGTAATTCTTTTTTGACGCCATTCACGACATTTTCAAAGATCACGAACCACTCTCGATGCGAGATGTTCTCTGTACCGTCTGCTCCGGCCATGGTCCTAGCGGTCTAAATCAGGGCCGAAATTGCAATGCGCAGTTTCGGTACTTACTTGTGGAAGAAGTTGATTCGAGGTTCAAGAAAGGAAATGCCATCCTCTACAGAAGAAAGTAGGAACAGACGTATGTATTCTTCGAATATTGGCGCGTAATACACCAATGGCTGCCCAACAGGTTATATCAATGTCACTGTTTTGATATCTCACAGACAAACATACATGAGATATGCGGAATATATTGGAGAACTTCGCCCAAATCTGTTACAGGATGTTCGGTTTTGAGTCGGGTTGACAGCGCATCGACAACATGAGACATACCTTCGTTGGCATGTCATGAGTGCCGTAGGCTTCAGAAGGGTTAATCATGAGGGCGCTGATACACCAGCTATCGAAACCATCGGCACCGCCGAGTGTTTCATCGAACGTCTTGCGAGCCTTATGAAGCGGAATCCACTCATTCCCTGTATACGATGCATCCGTCAAGCTAGTCCGATCAGTGAATTCACTCTGTGGAAGTGCTCTGAACTCCGGGAGTATAGCTTTGACGTTGCGAATGGTCAGGCGGGCTGACGCACGGACGTGCATGTTGGGCTGAGCAGCGGCGAGGTTAAGCAAGACCTGAGCATTGACGGTGGCATCGAGATGGATGTGTAGAAGGGCGCCTTTGGGCATCTTCGGTGGACGTGAGTTCCAGAGGCCCCTTGAAATCGGTGCAATGAATTCGCTTACCTTGCTCAGAATCTGAAACAGTCTCGTTTTCATCACCGTCTCTCGGGCTGATAGTTGTCACTTGAGTGCCACAAGGCGTCCTGCTCGGACATACCTGTCAAGAATGCCATTCCCGGGAAGACATTGGGCGTGGCATCCTCTGGATTGTAATCGAATATCGACTGGCTGTCCATGGCCCAAATCGACTTCGCCTCGGCAGAACGTACGTCGCGCACAATGCGATCCGCTCTCTTCTCGAGCTCTGTCAGAGACTGGATTCTGGCCGTATCGACGCGTTGCGCGCGATCCTCGCGGATGAGCTGTTCCCGTTGTTTCCAGTACGTCTCGAGCGACATGATGTGAGAATGCAAGAACAAGGCGATTGAAGACGTTATTCACGCCTTGATCAACGGTAAGTAGAAAAGGTAGAGGTATTGTCAGGGTATTGCCACAAACGCGATCACGCGTGCATAGCGCCCGTGCTAGCGTGGCGCGCACTCATGTGCGTAACGACCTTGGCCTGCATGCCTACCTTGAAACCCGACGGCAAGAAACAAATAAAATGTTGATGGACACCCCTAGTAGCAGCTATTGGTGAGTGGTGACTGAGATACTGAAAGAGATCTTGCGAGATATCGACTACGAGTGCATACAATGATTTATTATTACAAATACTATGAGAACAAAGATGGACATTCGAACAGCCGACTTCACTCTGACCTAACATCTTTTATCACTATTGCAACTCAAACATCTACTGTTAGCCGCAATGGCCACATTTTCTTGCAAATCGGACACTACAGAGCCGTGCACAGCTCTTTGATGATACAGCTGGAGATCTGGGTGAGCCGCTGGCCATGCTTCTGGCGTAGAGACCTACTTTTCGTATGGCACAGTATTCGTCCGTACATGGCTGCTAGTGGCTTGTTCCACGGATTATTCATAAAGCTCCCGCGATTCCTCGAGATTTCGAGACTGAATACGGCGCCTACTATCCGGATTGTATAAGTGTTGGAAACTGCTCAGTCATCTGCATGTATCAATTGCAGTTACTGGCTTGCAATAAACTCTGAGGCCGATTGAGTGCCGGAATTCGCCATCAGAGCAAGGCATCGCAAAATCAGCGAAAGCGCAGGGGAAGCATTGGCCTTGCAGGCTAAAGTATCTTGGCGTTGAAGTGCTGAACCGAAAGGCTGAAGAAACCTGAGCAGTCCCGAAGATAAGGTGTCCGTGTTCTTAAGTTCTGCACACATCACCGAAGAATCCTACGATGCGCGATCTGTCGGCTTCGGAGAAACGATTAATTCACAGATCGAGTTAGTATAACAGCCATTTGCATGAACTTGAACTTGATGGATACGCTATGCTCATGACCCTTGATGGTCTCTGGATGGCTCTGGCGCATATCCTGCACCAAATGTTGGCGTAAATCCCGAATACGACACGACAATCCGGAGATGGACTTACCTGGCGTGATTGGTACTCTCAGTCACTGACTCACGCTGATAGATGTCGGATGTGAAGTCCTGGATTGGGACACTTGGGGGAGAGAAGAGCTACAGAAGAATAGCGATGAGAGGGTTACATTTGACTCACGGACGCTAGGTCCACATTAACTTCCTCCAAATTAAGATGGATCGCATGACCCGTGACGGTCCGTAGTAGAAGAGAGCAGGTAACCACCATGGAACCCGTTGGACGAGGTGCGGCCGAAGATTTCGCTATTAAATGCAGGGCAGAGAACACCTGGATCAATCAAAATTTGATCTTCAATAATTTTGGCCGGACGGGAATTGCAATCCCTGCCTGTTCATCGTGTTCCACAGTTCCACAGGCGCGAAGACGATAGAGTTAAGGTCGGGTGATGCCATTCATCTGTTAGCCACAGGGCGCTTGAATATTACGTAAGCACGAAACTTGAGTGTTACGATCATCGTCGTAACCACCTTCTAGGCGCTCCAAGGATAGGACGCCTGGACCACTTCACCATATATCCTTACCATATAGGGACTCAACACGTGGCTATCATAGGATACTCACACCACCAAGGGACATTTGGACATCCCTCGGACATTCACAAGCCACGTGACCCTATGTCACGATGACATCATAGACCTAGACCATGTAGAAGCACCGAGGCTTCTACAGACTCGTCTGGACTTGGCTACGTCATAGCACACCATAGCATGCCACTATGGCCTAATCTTGTGTATTAGGGTACCGCTGGGCTTACTCCCGGTATCAGGGGTCCTACCCCACTAAGATATATACTAGTTCGAGCTGGGGCCTACCCCCCAGTTTCGAGTTAGATCTTCACCCCTTCTACTTGAGTCAAAGGACCCTGGCGGGTCAGGTGAGAGTGGAATGTGCAGGTTCTTTAGATCCATAACCTAACTCGAAACTGCTTCCTTAGAGCTGTGGGCACTGGTAGCCACCTCAGTCCGGACTTCTCTTTGGCTATCACTATATCACCTTCATCTCGCTGCGACTGCCCAGGTCGTATGCATATCACCCTCATTTGCCACTTCAGGCATCCCATTTCCACTTTCCCTCTGTCAATAAACCAAGGACTGATGACAGCGGGCACTTAGCGACATCCAGGCAGGATCTGCCAACGACACCCCTGATGCTCCGAACAACCAGCAAGAAGCTGACTCTGACATCGACGACAATACCCGGCAGGCCATTCATAGGCTCAAGCCCACAACACCGCCCAGGCAGGACACCTAGATCTGTCATTGCAACCACCACCACTCATCAGAACAAGGCAGGCAGCCCCGACGAGCATCAACCCCAGATCAACACAGGCAGTGCTGGGGGGCCCCAGGGAGTAGGATCTCCCTCACAGTAGGCAGACAGCCATGTGAAAATAAAGCCACCACATGGGTCTACCGTCTAGGTGGAGTGCTGAAGGTTATTCGAGAACACCGTCCTCCTTGCATCAGGGCAAAAATGACTGAAGAGATTGTTAGAGCCCTTAGGTGGCAAGGCAGGCTATGGATGCCACCCCAATAAAATGAATGAGCGCATGACAAGTCAGATAAAAGGCCTTAAACAAGCCTCCACGAAAGTCAGCACAGAATGTGTCACAAGTTTACTGTAACCTCTGGTGAAAGAGGACTCTGCAGAACTGGGCAGTTAAAACCCATTGAGGCACAGAGGGCTTCAGCCTGTTGACAGTGCAATGAGCTCGGGCAGAGGGACACAGCACTCCTTAAAAGGGTACTGCTATAAGACAACCACCACAGCTAAAGTGCACCGGTGATCTTGACGGTGGAGCTGCCAAGCCCATAGAAACTATCCTTGGCCTTAGCTGCCATGTGACTGGACAGTTTACTGTCTAATAGCAAACGCTGAACCTCGGAGGACCTTTTAAAGTCTCACGCAGGCAACTCAGTGAGATAGCTATCTCAACATATGAGCTCCACGAGAAAGGGCTTCCGTTCAATGCTGTAGGACAGCAATCATCTGAATTGCTGATAAAGTGTGACCTGCGTAACCTCAGATGTCGAGGGACTAAACACACCTGCTCAGTGCCAAAGCAGCACCAGGTGCAGCCTTCATCTCCGCTGCTAACCTGACCTATTAGGGAATTAGTTATTCATAGCCACATAGTAAATAGGCACTTAGTGGCAGAACGAACTATGGGAACACTCAGTTGGAATGACCAGTGAACCAGGGTACTAGAAGACCCTTGGAAGTTGTTGGACACTGGCAGTGTAATAATCAAAGGCTGTTAAGACCCTCTCACAACTGCAGACTGCTGTAGGTTGTCTCCATAGTTATAAGTAGCTAGCACTAGCAAGTTGGCTGAAGAAGACCTCGCCTGGTCAGGCACTTCGAGCTCGTGTAAAAGAGCATCCACCCTTGAGGCATCACCTCCAGATTAGGGTCCACTGCCCTGGTGCCCAGCCAAAGGTTGTTTTATTTGTGACCTCCAGAACCAACCAACCTCAACAGTCCAACCGATGAAGAGAATTGGCGAGGAAGTGGATCAAGCAGATTGAGGGTCAGGACTGATCCGTGAGCGGAGAACTGCTCCAATCCATAATTAACGACAATGGCCGAAGAAGTACTGAGCTGATGAACAGGGCCAAAGAAGTACCATGCCTATGACAACTGCCCCGAGATAATCTGGGCTATGGCTATCATAAAGCCCTTTTAACTTTTGTAACATTAAAAGATGGGGTCTTTATGATGATGCTGTGGACGCAGCCGAGCAGAGCTTGGCAGGGGTCTGAAAGGATCCTTGTACTTAATTCTGTCTCCCTTTTTATTCATATCCTGCTCGGTCACAAAAGGCCCAGATAAACAGGATCAGTTGAAAGCCCTGGCTCTGTAGATGCCATTAGAGGGAACACCTTTCACACTTCGAAGCCTTGGCTGCTCTGAGCGCCATTATAAGGAACAACTTCGGAAATTTCAGTTATTTGGTGCCTAGCTTTGGCGTATAGGTTACCACCTTTATTGCCCGTGGTCGTCCAGCCTAAGGGTTATTTTTTAGAATAACATATTCTTCATCAACTCAAGATAATCTGGTCAGATCAAATCAAAAGTACCAAGGCAGTTTTTTGGATACCATTGTTCTCGACCACGTGGATGCAGGCAGTATCCCGAGGTACTGTCACGGTAACACCGGACAAGAGATCAAAGAGACAAAAAGGGGCAGTCACGTGGAACGTGCCACCCTAATCTCCCTGATTCCAAAAGTATCCCCCTGAACCCTATGTGGTGCAAGAGCCTGTTGACTTACTGGTCGATGTGGCAGATGCAGGGAGGAGTGAGAGATATATGAAGGAGCTGGTGAGCTCAGTGAGTGCTACAGGTAGTAGATGAGGAGAAACAATCTGAGGTTTCGTCCCCTACATGGCTGGTCTTATATACATGTACAGCGGGCTATCTTACCTAAGCTACCTATCTACGGGTATAAGCGAATGGCTGTACATGAAACAATAGGATGTCCGGAAGTAGAACAATAAGTGGGAAGATCGATGGTTGCCGCAGTAATGCGTGTGCACATCGTGCCTATCTTGGTTTCCCTTTTGTTCTCCGGTGTGAACATTGTACCTATCTAGGCTTCTGGCTAAACTAATAGGAAGTGGAAGGCCGATGCATAACAATAGTCCTTGTTCCCTTTGTTCCCAAATGGGTGCCTCTATTGTATCCTGGAATAGACAGGTCCGACCGTATCATCCACGGGTCTGGACCATAACATGTGATGTGGACTATCACCTGATCTCTACGCGTCACATCTGTGGCTGAGTGGCATGAGATATTGGTGAAGCACGTGATCTGTGGTGTGAAAAAAGTCACGTGCAGACTTTGTGGCGAAAATCTGTGACACTACCCCCCTCTCAAGGCTCATTGTCCCGAGGAGCCAAAACCTTTATTACCCCTTCTAGTTGCTCACAACGGTTGATAGCTTCAGGAGGGAAGCCCTTCTGCATAATACTCGAAGATTATTTGGGCTATTCTATCTCCCGGCTTGACCGAAAATACGAAATCTGTTGTGTTGATTAGTACGACCTTGAGTTCCCCAGTGTAATCTGGATCGACGACTCCTGCGCCCACATCAATTCCTCATGCAGCCAGTCCGCTGCGTGGAGCTATTCATGTATAGGTATGCTTGGAGGGGTCAATTGTGACTCCCGTTCCTACCACAGCTCGTGAATGCGGGGGGATTTCATGCGTTTCTGCTGCATAAATATCCCATCCTGCCGCTTCATTTGAGGATTTTTTCAGTGATTTGGCGAGATCTGTCATCTTATGATATAGGAAGAACTCGTCTGGATGGTCGGACATATTGATTCGGTGTGTGGAGATCGGTGCAACTTCATATGAGGATAATTCGAAGCGTTTTCCACCAAAAGTGACGACCCTGATTGGTGCTTTGGCTGCATCTGGGTGTTGCCTGTGGAATTCGTGAAGAAGTTCATCGGCATTGGTAAGATTTGTTCAGGGTTCCCATGTATCATCAGAATGGTCATAGCCTTTCCATTTGACGAGGTATTGGACCCTTCCCCTTACAACCTTTGAGTCTAGTATTTCCTCAACTTCGAATTCTGGTTCTCCTTCGATTTCTATGGCTGGGGGCTTTGGGGGTTCGCGGTTTGCGACCGTGTCTTGATGGTACATGATCAACTTGCTAGCATGGAAGACTGGGTGGACCTTCATTTGCTTAGGCAGTTCCAGTTTAAATGTGACTGGGCCTAGCTTCTGAAGTACTTTGTAAGGTCCGAAGTTTTATGTGCCCTAGCTTCGCGGACTTGACTTTTACTCTGAGATCCTTTCCCTTGAGTAAAACTAGATCTCTGACTTTGAATGGGACTTCTCCCTTTTTCTCATCAAAGTACCATTTCATTCGTGAAGCTGAAACTTCCAATGCTGCCTTTGCCTGTTCTTGTGCCTCAGATCGGTGGGCGAATAGATGTTCCAATGAGGGATGACATATTGATTCGTGTACGTCTGGTGCCATTTTTGGATGTCGGCCATATTTGACAAAGAATGGGGAAAGTGCGGTGGATTCATGGGTCTGGTTGTTGTATGAAAATTCTGCTGTCGGTAGGTAATAGACCCAATCATTCTGTCTATGGTTACAGTACATTCGCAGATACTGTTCCAACACCTGGTTAACCCTTTCTGTCTGACCGTCTGTCTGGGGGTGATATGCAGTGGACATTGTTGACTTTATACCGAGCTTCTGACAAAACTCCTGGAATAGTTTGCTCGCAAATTGATTACCTCTGTCTGAGATAATTTGGCGTGGCAATCCGTGGAGTTTGAAGACTTCGTTATAGAATATGTTAGCGACTTGTGATGATGTGACTGTATCATCCGTTGCATAAAAGTGCGCTCGCTTCGTGAGTCTGTCCACGATGACAAGTATTGCCGTCTTCTTCTCTCCCCTAAAGTCCATGGCTGGAGGAAGTTGTGTGATGAGATCTACTGTGACGATCTCCCATGGTCCTCCTGATACCTCGTTTGGTTGTAGTAGTCCGTATGGTTTTTCTCTTGAGTACTTGTTGCGTTGACAACTGTCGCAACGTTGTACGTATTGTTTAACCATTACAGACATTCCTGGCCACCAATAATTCTGAGTAATAAGCTCCAACGTCTTGAATCTGCCGGGGTGTCCGGCTGGTAAGGTGTCGTGATGGAGTTTTATTAGGTCAAGGCGTAGCTGTTGATTCTTGGGGACATAAACCTTTCCGCGATGGAGCAGCAGTCCGTGCTCAAAGTTCCATTCTGTGAGGTTTTTCCCAAATTTGCGCTGTCCTGTAGTCAAAAGTGCACGATAATCCTTGGTCATCATGTCGTCTGTGAGTGCCTTCTTGATCCTTTCCAGTAGTTGAGCATCATCAACTTCAGATGCGTGAGCGGGTCGAATCGCATTGATAGCGAAAAATTCAGGTTTTAACAGCATTTGGTTCGAATTGTCGCTGTCTACCCCCCTCTCATGGTCTGACCTCCTGGACAAAGGATCGGCACGTAGCATAGTCTTTCCAGGTCAGTGACTGAGAATGAAATTAAATCTGGTGAGGAATAATGACCAGCGCGCTTGGCGCCGGGATAATTTCTGTGCCTGACGGAAGTATGTAAGGTTGAGATGGTCCGACCAAATCTCAATGGGTTCTGGATGTCCTTCTAAATAGTGCCGGTATTCTTCGAGTGCCCGAATAATAGCAAGCATCTCCTTGTCATAAATCTCATAGTTCCGCTCATGTTCGTTGAGTGACTTAGAGTAGTATGCGACTGGATGCCATAGCTTGTCCTCTCCTAGTTGTTCAAGTACTGCACCAGTTGCATAGTCTGAAGAGTCTGTCTCTAGACAGTATGGTGCAGTGTCGTTGGGGAGTTGTAGGATCGGGGCTGAAGTGAACGCCGTTTTAAGTGCACTGAAGGCTTGGTCTTGCTCTTCCTTCCATTGCCAGGGCACGTCCTTACAGGTGAGAAGCGTTAAAGGTCGTGCGAGTTTCGCAAAGTCCTTTATAAATCGCCTGTAGAAATTCGTGAATCCTAAAAAGGCCTGTACTTGTTTGACCTTTGTTGGTGCGGGCCAGCCAAGTACACCTTCGACTTTAGCAGGGTCCATCTGTACTGAGTTCTTGCTGATGATCATGCCAAGATACTCGATTGAGGACTGTTCAAAGAAGCATTTCTCTGGTTTGGCATATAAGTCATTGTCCCGGAGGCACTGTAGAACTGCTTTCACTAGTCGTCGGTGTTCATCGAGATCGTCCGTAAATATGAGGATGTTATCTAGGTAGACTACCACCTTTCCAGTGCGAATTAAGTCTTCGAGGACTGTATTCATCATTGTTTGGAAGGTGCTAGGAGCATTGCAGAAACTGAAGTACATTACAGTGGGTTCGAAGAGGCCACGATGTGTAATGAAGGCGGCTTTCTCTTCATCTCCTTCCCTAATCCTTATGTTGTTGAACCCCCATCTCAGATCAAGCTTCGTAAGTATGCTAGCATGTGAGAGTCTGTCAATGAGGTCCGAAATGCGTGAGATTGGGAACTTGTTCTTCTTTGTGACTGCATTGAGGTTCCTGTAGTCTTGTATGAGCCTCAGTGATCCGTCTTTCTTTTTGATGAAGAAAACGGGTGCTGC